TGCAAAGAACGAGATGAAGCAAGTAAACAGGCAAGGAATATTATAGACAATGTGGGACAAACTTCCCAACAGAAATTGCAGGCTTGTGATGGCTGTGGGGCCTACTTATCGCGACTAGATAATGATCGTAGATTGGCTGACCATTTTGTTGGAAAAATTCATTTAGGATATGTGCAGCTAAGACAATCTTATGAAGAAATGAAACTGAAATACAGGAGGGAATCCCGATAAATTAAGAAATAAAATAAAAAAGGAAAGGAATTTTGATAAAGATGACGCCGTAGCTTGTTGATAAATAGAAAACCTATATAAAGCCAAAGGCACTTTACTTATTAGGCCAGGGGCAAAGCCAAGGCACTTCATTTATAAAGTTAAGGCGCTTCATTTATAAAGCCAAGGCACTTCATTTATAAAGTTAAGGCGCTTCATTTATAAAGCCAAGGCACTTCATTTATAAATCCAAGGCACTTCATTTATAAAGTTAAGGCACTTCATTTTTTTGTACTTCTCCTTATATCTCTTGCACTATTCCTTTTCACAACAAAGACCAGTTGAACTTTTGGCCTGGCTCTTCTTATCTCGACCGGACATTTCCTATTTTGTCGAGCATTTTTTTTTTCTTTTTTTCTCCGCCCGCTGTGCGATGGATTTTGAAAAGCTGAAATATTCAATATATGCAAAGGAAAACTGGTTGACATTTCGATTGGGATTATTGTTAGTACAAGACTAAAGGTAGCATAGTGGCTTTGGTGGTTTCGGTAGCATAGTGGCTTTGATGGTTCTGGTAACATAGTGGTTTTGGTAGTTCTGGTTTTGTTTTGCGCAAGGTGTTCAAATGAGGAAATACCAGCTAATAGGAAGAAAGGGCCGTTTATTTTCTAAAAAAAGGTCGGTAAGCTATCCGCAAGCTCATCTCCATTCATTCCCATTAGAAATTCTACTACGAATATTTTGCATTGTACTGCTCGATAGTACAGATATATTGGCATTAGCACTTACATGTCAGAGGTTTCATAGCATTATTTGCAAGTATTTATTATACAACTCGCTTGAATTTAAGACGCCATCAAAGTTCTTTCGCTTCACTAGTCAGCATTTGAATAATGAAACAAGCAATAAAATTAATTATATTGAAAGTGTCAAGTTTGTCAATCCGCAAATTGAAAAATCTGCCAAAAATAAGATTACTATTGCTGGAAGTTATGCGGCGGAATCCAATAGTCGACTTACTGATAATTTGAGTTACTTGGAGTTTATATCTTCGTTAGAGGTATTGTTTGCACATTCGTATGGGCTCAAATGCTTAGAGTTTAGTGAAATTGCCCCAGAATTTGCATTTCCAAAAGAGAACAAATCGAGCCACCTGAGCATGTTTAAGAAAAGGATAGTCAAGACTAAGCGGAGACTACCCAAGTTGATTCTCAAGTCCCAGTCCGGTTGGTCTATCCCGTTACGAGATGTGCATTTGTCTCTAGTATGCAAGTACTTTGACTATATCGACGAATTACAGCTTGTAAATTTTATTATAGACAGTCCCATTAGTCTTGATATTTCGGTGGGGATGGTGACATTCACGTCGTGCTCGTATTTTCACAAGAAAATGAAACTTCCAAGCTCAACGTTTAGCGATATTGCAACATTAAAGTTGGATCGTATGACGAATGCAAATCTGTTATCATTGATTGATTTGGTTAAGATTGAGAACAAGAAATTGAACACATTGATAATTGACCTTGCATCCAGTATATTTTACACGCCAGGAGGTGGAGACTTTAACTTTACAAAATTCAACCCCTTTTTCAAATTGTTATGCTCTGGCGAGGGAGGTTATGCAAAGTTGAGTACCTTGATACTTTTTAATTTCGACTTGTTCACTTATCTACAGCACGACGACGTGCATAACCAAGACGTCGATTCCTGGGTTGAACCTCCAACCAACAACTTTGAAACATTTATCAAATACATTTCCCACATGTCGAAATTGGTTTTGGTTCTAAAAAAGACACCAGTTAAAGTAAAGACTTGTAAAAGATGCGGATTTAAGGAGCAGCAGCTGGATAAAATGATTGAAACATTGACTCATGATGAATGGAAAATCTTTTTGAACCCGTTAGAGTTTCAAGAAAATGTACTTCAAATTCAACTGTATGATTATAAAATCTTATACTCAGTCTCAAAATATACATAGAGTTGAAATACTAAGCACCCACAAGGATGTTGCTAAGATGGTCGACACTAGAAGTATAGCACACTTTTCTGTTTCCTTTTATTACAACGACAAAGACTAGTCTTTCTATTAGGGGCAGAACACACTTACTTTATTGGTTGAATATGCTAGCGTACCAGTGTTTCACTGAGTCTGTAACTTTGTGCATTGCATTTATCAAAACGCTTGGGTTTTCTTCGCCGGGACGGTCTACGCCAGTTGCAGTTGTTTCTTCAACTCGAACACTGCTAGTGGAACTGGGTACACTATTACCTGTGATTTTGAATTGTTCCTCAATAGGATCCATATTTGAATGTTGTTGTTGAAGTTGAGATTGTTGTTGTTCTTGTTCTTGTTGCTGCTGCTGCTGTTGTTGTTGCTGTTGCTGTTGCTGTTGCTGCTGCTGCTGCTGCTGTTGTTGTTGTTGTTGTTTCAGTTCTTTCTGTTTAATTTTACGCAATTTATCATACGTACTGCTTGTTTGCGGTGAGCTCAAACCGCCATCTTCCGTTTCAAAGTCAACAACCACATCAATTTCATAAGGTGAATTATACATCTCTCCTCCCAGCTGGAAAAACTTTGCATCTGTTCTCAAATCTTCCTTGGTTAATTTGACGTATTTTCCAGGCTTCACGTCAACGCCTGTTTCCACCATAGTGTCGACGATTGAAGGCGGCACTCCTTTGGATATATCTATATTACTGTACAGCGCCTCGCATTTGGGAATTGCCGTTTTATATTGTTTTAATCGTACTTGAATATCCTTGGCATTTTCCTTCATTGATTGTACTATGAAGGTAAAATCTAACTCGGGCAATGTGTCAAACTTTTGCTTCAACTGCATGAAGTCCCTCAACAACTTGACATCTCCATTTGGCTCCATGGAAACTAAACCAAAATTGTTTGGCTCCTGTGTGAACTCGTACACTAAACCTCCACTAAACACATCTATCATGTTATTGGTGTACAATACAGGAACCTCGTCGAAGTTTCGTGGTAGAACCTCATTGCAGCCATATTCGGAGAAAAATATTGGTTTAGTGTATCCCTTATAATCATTGACCAAAATGTTGTATCCGCTGCTGTAAAATGTTTGATCACCGCACCATTGGTAGGAGTTTACCCCATAGAAATCTATGCTTTCCAATGGGTTATCATTGGCACATTCCAAGTATCGAGCTAGCGGCATACGGTAATTCAAATCATCTGCAGCGGAATAACCGACTGGAATGGGCCTTGGCGAATTTACACTTATGTAAGCCTTAATATCCCTAACAACAGCTTTAATGAATGGCGCTGAAACTGATGCTGATATTGGATCATTGATGATTTCGTTACCCGCCAAGAACCCTAAAGTGTTATTGTAAAGTGAAAACTGATGTACAATTTTAAATACATTTTCAAAATAGAAAAGGTTGTAGCTGGTCCATGGCTCGTATCTGTTTAGGTGGTGGTTTGGCAATGGAGAGTTGACATCCAAAACCAAATAGATTCCTGCTGCTGCTAACATTGTCATGCATTTGTCGTGATCTAAATCAGCATTTACTGAATATATTCTAACAGTCTAAAATAAAAAGAAACCAAAAAAAATACAAGAAAGGGGGGGGGGGGGGGGGGTTGAAGGGGGTATGGTTAGTATTACTTGCTTTACTTGTAACCTTTTTTGATCATGAAAACATACATTTATTCCCAACTCCTGAAACAATATTATATCTCTTGCGCATTGCTTGGGATCCGACAAGGGATCTTTTTGATTAGAAACGGCCGACGACCCACCGGGCTGATAGTCTATACCTTTTATGTAAAACTAAAGTCATTTGAATATTAGTATACGCCAATACTTTATCATCCTTTCATTTTAATATTGTATTCTTTTATTTTTTTTTTTTGGATTATTTAGTGGTGAAAAGAAAAAGCATACTGGTTCCTTTGTAACACTATTGACAAAATAATGACCGTGGATTGTTATTGGGTGCACATTTGCAGCAACTATTTTCAAGAGTCCAACAAATAAAGTGAATAGAATAATCCTAGACATAATGCTTAGATAAAAGAAGCTTGCTATCTCGATTTCAGCTTTTGAAAATGTGGGTTTTCTTTTGGAAAAACATATGTTTAATTACAATTTTTTGATATCTCAACTTTATCCAAAAAGAATAAAAAAAAGAAAACGGCTGCAAAATATCGAAGAACATAAATCCGGTATGACACAAAATACAATTTCCTAATTAGGACTTGTTATTGAATCTCAAATTATCATCAAAGCGGATTTTTCCATTGAAAGCACTGACTGGCGTGTCCTAGCTGGATAGGTTTCATCTACTATTTTTAAAGCAAATCAAGGGTATCGTTACCTAAAAGAGATTCTCTTTGATGTCTCAAAACAGTAGGCTCTTTTTATATAGAAAAAGAAAGAGCCCTAAAGCCCAAAAGCCCAAGCGGCCAAGAGTCCAAGAGTTCAAGAGTTCAAGAGTTCAAGAGTTCAAGATCCCAAGAGTCCAAGATCCCAAGAGTCCAAGAGTCCAAGAGTCCAAAAGCCTAAAAGCCCAAAAGCCCAGGAGCCCATTATTTTAGAGTGACTTCGTTTTTTACAGCTACAAATCAGTTCCAATCAGATCCAATTAGTCGTAGTAAGTCAAAGAGTCGCTAGTGAGTGCTGCTCCACTATCTCACTCTGCTCGATAGTGTCGAATGTAACAACATTGTAGTTTTATATTTACAAGCTCTTTAAATAAAATCTTCTTTTGGATATGGCACAGGACATTTTTCCTCCTTTAAAACAAACTGCCTCAAGACATTTTTTTGAATGTGTTTCTTGACATCGTCCAATGGCCTATCTTGAAATTTTTTCAGCAAGACTTCTGTTTTTAAAGCCAGATACTTGGAGTTGTGCATCAATTCGTTTAAAATGTGGTCCATGTAATAAACCCTTTTCTCACTTTCTGTATGATACAAGGGCTTTGTTAATTCACTCTCTAGTATTGGATCGACTGACGGCCAGGATTTAATTTCATATTTTGCTTTGATCAAATTCACTTCGTCCACTAGAGACTTGTATTCTGATTCCTGACCTTCCACATCTTCGAAACTGGTAATTTTATGGCTCAACTCATCTAATCTCTTCAAGTCTTGCAATTGTGTAATAATATTTTGAAACTGTTTTTTATTGTCGAGAAACTTTTGAGCTTCTTTTCGATCTTCCTCGATGATTTTCTCTTTTGCCAATTTCTCATACTCGGCAAATTGCTGACCTTTATTGACCTTAATTTCTGCTATAGCAAAAGCCTTGCGCTTAGAAACTTTGGGAATACCCTCAATTCGTACAAAGTCACCTTCTTTGCAAATATTTCCTTCATCGTGACATAAAAAGTCTTTACGACGTACAATCTCCTTATCTACCCTCCTGTCGTATACTCTTCCCTGAACCCTCACTTTCACCGTCTTGTTCATCCGCCCCTGCGAAATGACCAATCCAACAAAGTTCTGCCTCGCCATATCCTGCAAAAATGTGTAATAAAACCAATCAAACCTTGGTTTAGAAAAAGAGCCTTATGTTTCTCCATATACATTGAAAATTTTCCAGGTCCAAAAAAAAAAAAAAAAAAAAAAAACTTTGTTTTCTTCACACGACATGTTATAAAACAAACTTCTCTTATACATACAATCTTTTCGCAGCCAAAACCTGAGTCTTTTATAAACAACGGTTTTTTACAGCTGCTAGGAAGGGAAGGAAGGAATAGGGGAAAGGAAGATAGGAAAGGAATAGGGGAAAGGAATAGGGGAAAGGAATAGGGGAAAGGAAGAGAAGAAAGAAAGAAAGAGGGGAAAATGCTTTGTTTGTTTTTGGTTACATATTTAATTCGCACAAGACTTGCTCCAATTTTTCAAGCATTTCTTTATTTTCATCCTCTGTACCAATAGATATTCTTAGCGCACCTGTGCAATTAAGCTCGTTGCCTCTAAATCTAACAACTACAGCATTGTCTTTCGCCAACCGATTGTACAATTTCAAAGCAGTTTCGTTTGATGGCTGCTTGGTTTTGTCTAGAATCTGCACTAAAATGAAGTTGGCGTCCAAACCACCAATGTTCTTTCCAACATACTCAAAACTCAAAATCTTACGTAGCACAATGTCCCGCTGTTTTGTAATAAGATTCACATAATGTTTCATAACACTCAATCCCGAAGGTGATGTTGCCTTTAATGCCACATTTGACGTCAAGGATGAAATGTTGTATGGATATTTCATCGAATTCAACAATTTGGCCAATTGCTTGTTACAAAACGTTACCCCCAATCTAATCCCTGCTAACCCAAAGGACTTACTCAAGGTTTGTAGTACTACTAAGTTCGGATACTGGTTGACTATTGTAGATAACGACTGGCTGAACTCGCCATTTGGGGGGGCAAAATCAATATATGCTTCATCTACTACAACCAACCCATTCCACGTATTCCCTGTTCTTTCTAAAAGTGCAACTATCTTGTCAACATTGATAAGGGCTCCCGTTGGGTTTCCTGGAGAGGTTAAGTAGAGTAATTTGATATCAGGATCTCTTTGCAAGACCTCAATTATTTTCTCAATGTCAATTTGGAAATCAGGCACAGTTAATGGAATCTTAACAATCTGCACATCGTTCACAATTGCACATATACTGTACATTCCATAAGTTGGTGGACAAATCAACAACTTCTCCTTTTTGGGTTCGCAGCAGCATCTCAACAACATATCTATGCTTTCGTCTGACCCAACTCCCAAACACAAATTGTCAACTTCTAAATTTGATTTCGAGTATTGATTAATCTGAGAGTTTCGGAAATCGACAATTTGTCTTTTCAATTCTTCTTGGTGTGGGTCAGGATATCTGTTCAATTGCAACAACTTTTCAGACTCTGTAACTGCAGATAAAGCAGGTCCATAAGTATTTTCATTTGCATCCAATAATATACCTTCTTTGAAATCATCCCTTGCACACCGGTACGGTTCTAATGTAAGAATATTCGGACGTACAATAGACTTTAAATCAAACATCACAAAATGAAAAAAGAACCTTGATAGGTACTACAGATCAATAGAGCCAAAAAAGTGACAATCAAAAGAGAAAGAGAAGAAAGAGTAAAAGTGATAAATTGGTTCTTTATCTTGAAAAATTTCACAATTTTTTTTATTTTTTTTCTTTCCTTGAAATGAAAAATGAGTCAAAGATCGTGAGAAGGCGCACCACGAATGTCGACTCATTGTCCTCACCACTCTTAACACAGTGCCAGCGACACTATCGAGCGACACTATCGAGCAGAGCGAGATAGTGTCGTAACAAGATACAAGGTGTTGCTCCACAATTGAACGAAGCGGGATACTGTCGCTAGTGTTGTAACAAGCTATTTAGTACTGCTCCACTATCTCGCTTCGCTCGATAGTGTCGTTCGATAGTGTCGGTCAGTACTGCTCCACTAGCTCGCTTTGCTCGCTAGTGTTGTAACAAGCTATTTAGGACTGCTCCACTAGCTCGCTTTGCTCGCTAGTGTGTCGCTAGTGTTGCTTCACTATCTCGCTTCGCTCGATAGTACATGGTAACTTTGTAGGGTCTAATGTCTCATCAGTTATCTGTGAATTATCATAATCAATAGGCTGTCGTCCTCCGGATTTGAAGAAACTATTTTCATAAAATTCTTTCAAACTAAACTGATTATGATTTCCCAGTTCATTTCGATCTTCTACTATGGGGAAAAAACTTGTTTTTCTTTGACAAATCTCATTTTCAATTTCAATTTCATCAACCTCTTGTATTGACTCAATAGTGGGCATTGGCTTCTTTGCTGGGGGAGAAACGAAATCAGGTAGTCGTTGCGGGGATAGTAGAGCTGTAGTTGACTCCATTATGGAGTCATTCTGGTACGTTGCAAATGGACGAAATACCGAAATTGAATGATTTTTGCTCAACTTACGCACCCACGACGTCGAAGTTGAAGTTGAATTTGACGTTGTAGTGGTGGTTGGTTTTAGTGGTCCTGCTACTGTTTTGGACTTGTTTGATATCAACAATTCCTGTTTGGCAATTTTTTCACCATTTCTTTTAGTTCGAAATTTGAGCCAAACACGGGAGAATAACGAATGTTTGATTCTTGTATCTGCCGCCGCTGTTGCTGTTGTTATGCTCTCGTCAGCAATTGGGTTGAATGAACTAGTTTCGTTTTTATTCTGACAATGGGATTCTGCTTTAATTGGAACCTCATTTTTTCTTTTACTATTAGTCCATGCTTCCGAATTTAGTATACCAATATCTGCAGTTTCTTCTAGCGTATTGAATGCAACTCTCATATCCAGAGCCATGTGGAAAGAATTAACCAAGCTCCTCGTAAACTCTTGACTAAGCTCCGCGTAAACTCTTCACCAAGACCCTCGTAATCTCTTTTTCACCAAGACCCGCGTAATCTCTTAACTGTTTCAAACCCTTTCGTTGAATCAGAATTCCGGCATACTCAAAAATCTGGCTTAATTGAAATTTAATGATTGCAAAAAGAAAAAAAAGAGGGTCTTACTGGGGGGATACATTTGGTAGCACATTTGATAGATTTTTCAATTCTTTTTTTTTTTTTTTTTTTTCCTTTTTTTTGTGAGGGATTGATATTGATAATCAGTAAAGAACAACGCAGAGGAAGACAAAAGAAAGGTAGCCCTTTTCTTTTTATTGAGGTAGATATAAGGTATAGATCATAATGGAGACTTTATCATATGACCCCAAGGTCAAGAAGGTATTGCTAGACGCGGAAGCAGCCAAAAGCTCACCAGCATTAAAGTTGGAGATTGACCAACTTAATACTATAACTCAAGAATTAATAAATCAGGGAAATGATGTTCCGCCGGTACCTACACCTGAGAATTTCAACAAGGACTTATCTAAAATGATAAGGAAATTGTATGAAAGCGGAGTACAGTCTTTCAAAATGGGTAAATATGAAGATAGCGTCCGTCAATTTTCTATTGGTATTGAGATGATTTGTAGAAGGCCCAAGCTTGAAAGCTTCCAAAGAACTATACAGGAATTGTCCATGTTTTTAATGAGCAGAACCGATGCTTATTTGAAAACTAAACAATATATGAATGCTTACAATGATGTTGATTTATTGTTGAACATGCAGATGAATAATCCAGATAATTTTTTAAGACGAGGTGTAGCCAATTTCTTTTTGGGTAATTACGAGCTAGCTAGAGCCGATTATCAGCGAGGATTAGTCTTTGACGAAAATCACCAAAGGTTGCAACACGAACTTACCATTTGTCTCGATAAAATCTTGAAGGAAAATGGTGACTACTTGTAAAAAAAAAAAAAGAAAAATATATATACAGTGACACTATCGAGCAAAGCGAGATAGTGGAGCAACACTTTGTAGCTTGTTACGACACTAGTGACATCTAGTAGCTTGTTACAACACCGACTAATGATACTAGCTCGCTTTGCTAGATAGTGGAGCAACACTTTGTAGCTTGTTACGACACCGACTAGCAATATATATATATAAACATACATATATCAAGAGGTTGATACATGGCGCTATAACTGATACAAATGGTTATGATATCCACCTCCTCCACTTTGTATAATTAAGCATGTCAAAAAATACATCAGGAAAAACCGCGCTCCATATTTAGTGCTGAAAAAAGAAAATGTGAAACAATATTTAACAAGTAGTTTTAGATAGTAGAAAAGGGTTCTTTTACGCGTCATTTTTTATTACTCGAAAACCGTTGATACCTTTTAGTTTGAATAGCAAGTGTTGTTATCTTGGAAGGAAGGCGAGAAACTATAAAAACCCAAAGCAAAGTTACCTCTCTTTTGTCTCTCCTTGGTCTCTCTTTTTCTTCTTCTCTCATACTGAAAATTGAAAATTGAAATTGATTCATTTAGATTTTTTCCGTTGGATCTAGAAATGAGTTCGGCATGGGCATCAACAGTTTTTCATTCCCCATTTAAGAGACGAAGAATGGAAGTGATAGAGCCAGATTTGAACCTGACTCATCGTGAGATTATAGACTTGGTCTCTGACGAAGAGAGTGAGAATGAGTCGGTCCATAATAGAGCTGAGGCGCCAAATGTACTGATAAACATCGATGATAGTGATGATGATGATGGTAATGGTAATGATAATGATAAGGATGATAGGGGTGATAGGGGTGATAGGGGTGAAAGAGATGGTAGAGATGAGGATGATGACGACGATATAATTATCCTAAGTGAAGGCGAGGCCGAGAAAATGGTATTCAAATCCTCGTCATTTGACTCAACACCACCGAGGGAAGATTATACATGGCCAAAACCGCTGCTGTATAGGTGGGATGAGACGAACCGCTCCTCATCCCCACCACTGTCGTTTGCCATTACGGCAAACCACGCAGGAACTAAACCAGAATCGGCGCATTCCAGCGGCGCAAGTCAAAGTCAAACTAAACCAGAATCGGTGCATTCCAGCGGCGCAAGTCAAAGTCTATTGCCTGGCTCGTCCTACGTACCTCCTCAAGTCTACAATGATCTTGTATCACTGCAAAGGGAAATTTTGAAAAAACGCGAACATGAAAGACTCCTCGAGATTAATAGATTGATAGATACAAAAAGGATGATAAGTGCCCAGATGCAACTCCACCAGACCCAATTCGATAGTCTGTCACAAAAGAATCAGGTGCTACAGGTTGAATTGAATCGCGCTATGAGCATGGGAAATCACACAATGGTAAATGACCTTCGAAGAATGATTGCAAAAGTACAACATTCAATGGAAGGCCCAAGAACACATATCAATACGCTTCAGAGACAGCTACTAGTTGTTGAGTCATCACTATCAAGGAAGCAGAATGAATTAAGCGAGATAACAACGAAACTCAGAAATATAGGACATGCTTATAATGCATTGTTTAATCCGTATGAGGCTGAAATAAACAGAGATTTCCAGGAGTTGGAAGATTCCGATTCGAGAGTACAAGACGTAGACTTGCAGATTCTACTTGACAACATTCGGCCAGATGAATCTACAGAGGAAGAAGGATTGGAGCCGACTCCTCCTGAAATGGCAGTGAATTTGTTGAAACATCAAAGAATCGGATTGCTGTGGTTGAAACGTATGGAACTGTCCAAAACAAAAGGTGGTATTTTGGCCGATGATATGGGATTGGGGAAGACCATCCAAATTCTTGCTTTGATTGTTGCCAACAAGTCTCAGAACCCATTAAAAAAAACTACTTTGATCGTTGCACCTGTATCCTTATTGAGACAATGGATGGCTGAAATACAGTCCAAGACACATCCACATTGCGAATTGAAGGTAGGGATTTATCACGGTGACGAGAGAAAGTCATTGTCATCTTTTACAGTTTTGAAAAAATTTGACATTGTGCTAACATCTTATGGAACCCTTTCATCTGAGTGGAAAAAGCACTTTGCTGAAGAGCTTCAAGAAAACAAAGATGAGGGTAAAAAGTATTACCCTCGGGAAGAAGACGGCGGAAAAAGTTATGTATCGCCCTTTTTTGATTCAAATTCTCATTTTTACCGAATTGTTTTGGATGAAGCACAGAATATCAAGAATAAACTTACAGTTGCATCAAAGGCTGTCAATTACTTGAAAGGCGAGTATCGCTTTTGTTTATCAGGAACACCTATGCAAAACAGTATTGAAGAATTATACCCAATCATTAGATTTTTGAAGATTAGACCTTATTTTATCGAACAGAAATTTAGAGTGGAAATCGTTCTTCCAATCAAATCCAATTCCGATAATTACAATGAAATTGATAGAAGCAAAGGTATGAAAAAATTGAGGGCTCTATTAAGCTCCATTTTGTTACGAAGGAACAAGAATACCATGATAGATGGAAAACCACTTTTACAGTTACCAGAGAAACATATTGTTTCCAACTATGTCGAGCTTGAGGGTGACGAGATGCTATATTATAAAGGAGTGGAACAGGGGGTGCAGACATTGGCAAAGAAAATGCTTAGTAGTAGTGACCATAGTCATAGCAATGTCCTTACACTTTTGCTAAGACTTCGACAGGCTTGTTGTCACTCTTATTTAGTGGAAATTGGGAAACTAAAAACAGAGCAGAAGCTAAAGGAGGAAGATATGGGCTACAAGTTGGACTTGAGGAAACAACTTCGATCAGCATACAGTTTAAAGGAAAACGTAAAGAATATTGTAAAGGAACGAATATGTTCCAGCAGTAACGGTCAGCTAGCTTGTCCGGTTTGTTTTGACACAGTAGATGAGGAAAGCAAATTGGTTTTGTTTAGTGAATGTGGGCATCTTATTTGTCACGCTTGCATTGATACTTTTTTTGACAATAATCTTGTTGAAGAAGAAAAAACGAGTGCCCGGATCGCTGAATGCTTAGAGTGTAAAACACGTGTGAGGGAGACCAATCTTTGCGATTACGCGATATTTGAGAAACTTTACATCAAGCAATTAGATATTGAGGAAGTTGAGAATTACTGCAGAAGCCAGTATAATCGGAAACAAATTTCAAATATGAGTGTGATAAAAGAGTTGACTACTAGAGATGAGGGATTTGAGCCCTCTGCAAAAATCGAGAAAAGTATTGAGTTGATAAACCAAATTCACAAGTCTAATCCTAGGCAAAAGATAATTATATTCTCCCAATTCACGACTTTGTTTGATTTGATGAAACTTGTTTTAGACCATGAAAAAATACCGCATTTGAGATATGATGGATCTATGTCGATTGAGACCAAGAATAGCGTAATTAAGAAGTTTTACCAATCGGACAATGATAACGTTTTGTTGTTATCCTTGCGTGCAGGTAACGTGGGTTTAACATTGACGTGCGCCAACCATGTTGTTATCATGGATCCTTTTTGGAATCCGTTTGTAGAAGAGCAAGCGATGGATAGAGCACATCGTATTGGCCAAGAAAGAGAGGTGTATGTCCATAGGATACTAATAGCTAATACAGTGGAGAGTAGAATAATGGAATTGCAAAAGAGGAAAAAAGAATTGATTGGCGATGCATTGGATGAGACTGAAATGAAGTCCATATCCAAATTGGGAAGAAGAGAGCTTGGTTTCTTGTTTGGATTAAATCAGCTTCATTAGAAAAAGAGGGTGAGATGAGACGAAAGGAAACGAAAGTTACGTGAGGATGATATTATTTATTGACCATTGGATTTTGTAGTTTTTTCAAAGTTGATTGACTCTTTTACTTTTACTTTTACTTTTTTTTTTTTTTTGGTTTTTTGGTTTTCTTTTTCACCGGTACTTTTTGACTTTTGCCATGTTTCTAAGCCAGTCCTCTTCCTTGATGAGCTGATTTTGAAAGCACAATTTTTCCAAAATTAATGGCTCGAATTCAAACTGGAAAGTGGCCAAGGACTTGCAAAGATATATTAGTTGTAGTAACAAGCCATCGATGGAACTTTTTAACTCTATATCAGAATCAATAGCTTCCACTGCTTGTGATCTGATTGACGGTAGATATTTGTTGAATTCGTCACATAAATTATATCCTAAGCTGGTAACAAATTTATTCAAAAGCAACAAATTTATTTCATCTTTGAAAATTGTGTGATACATAGATAGAGTGGAGTAAATGTGTTCTCTGTATGTTTCAACAAATCTCTTCAAATAAGTGAGTTTGCTGAATTTCAATATGGGTACCAAACTCGATATTTCATTGATAATATATTTGAAACGGCTATTCAAAAAGATCCGTTGTAAGGATGCTTCATCAACGTTTTCCAATTGGCTTAGTACCTGAAAGATTTTGAGTATCTGGTTTTGTTTCAAGTCGGTATTTAATAGCTTGATTAAACCCTTTAACATCATTTGCAACTCACTTTCAATCTGTTTGGAAATAGCTTTGAATAGCTGTAATTTGGGGAACCGAATGATCAACGACTTTGCAAACATTGCTATGTCCAAGCTTTCCTGGTAGTTGCCTTGAAGAATACAAAGCTTGCATAGAGTCGGTAGTTCGAGCACATCCAAAACAGAATCCATGCTGCTCAATGTTGCATTGTTGAGTCGTATAGAGTGAAGTTGCTGTTTTTCGCGGTTTAAGAACCCGTTGGGCCCAATGTGAAGATTCTTGCTCAACGAATTGAGACATTGTTGGTAATCAAAAGATAGCTTGTCATGTACATCATTCAAATCTCTATTGACATCAATTATAAGATCTTTGTTGGAATTTGTCAACAAGCTCAATTTCTGGTTAAGCTGGTACCGCAGCGAGTCCAATTCTGCAATCTCTACATCTATGGTACGGTTTGTTTGAGTGGTTGATGTTTTAAAAGTGTCTATTGATAATAGCTCATCATTCACAAGTAGATCTTGTAGATACTTTTCTGAAATTTCCGAGACTTGCAAATTGGAATTGAGTATCTCCTGGTACCTTGGGTCCAAGTCACGTTGAAGCGTATTCAACAATATCAGCGAGGACATACCAACCAACCAATCTAACCAATCTAACCAATCTAACCAACTAACCAATTAACCAATTAACCTAGCTAACCAAATAACTAGTCTAGTCAACCTAGCTAACCAAACAACCTAGCAATTAACCTAGCTAACCAACTAACCAATCTAACCAATCTAACCAATCTAGCTAACCAGTCTAGTCAACCTAGCTAACCAACAAACCTAGCAATTAACTGGAATGAAAAAGTGGAAAAAATTGAGCTCATCATAATGCGGAATTTGTACACGAAAAATAAAAACCTTGTAAAGTAGTTGATTAATTTCATTAGACTTGCTAGACTTGCAAGACTTGAAAGGGTTGAGGCGTATAGATTTAATAAGATGGAGGGTTTGTTTTTCAATGTGGATTATGGTTATGTTGAAGGTGTTGTAAGGGGCTACAGAAATGGACTTGTCGGTACAAACCAATATGTTAATTTGACGCAATGCGATAACTTGGAAGATCTCAAGCTACAATTATCATCGACTGATTATGGCAATTTTTTAACAAACTATTCTGGTCCTTTGAGCACCTCGATTATTCAGGATAATTTGAATAAAAAAGTATTCCAGCAGTACCAATACATCAAGAGTCAATCGAGTGGCACTTTGACCAAGTTTATGGACTTTATACAATATGGTTATATGATTGATAATGTCATATTGATGATTACCGGCACTTTGCACGAGAGAGACAAGTCGGACATTTTGAAGAAATGTAACCCTTTAGGGTGGTTTGATACTTTGCCCACATTGACCATTGCAACAGACATTGAGAGCTTGTACTCAACAGTTTTAATAGATACTCCATTAGCACCATTTTTCAAAAACTGCGTTAGTGCTGATGATTTGGATGACTTGAATATTGAAATAATCAGAAATAAGCTATACAAGAACTACTTAGAAGCATTTATGCAGTTTGTTGAAAAAAAGTTTCAAGGCCCAGATAAGGAAATCATGACACGTTTATTGATATTAGAAGCCGACAAGAGAGTTATCAACATTGCTCTAAACTCAGCAACTAATCAGGAGTTGTCAGTTGATGACAAATTGAGTTTGTTTCCCAACCTAGGTAAATTATATCCAACATACCACTTGGATTTGGCTCAAGCTGATGATTATGAGCAATTAAAATCGATTGTGGAAAACGTTGGAGACTATAGCCAGATATTCAGCGACACAGATGATTCAAAGTCTATTGGTGATTGGTTCTATTTATTGGAGATGCAATATTGTAGAGACGCATTTACACAACAGTTTACCTTGAGTACCATTTACGCATGGTTAAAGTCAAAGGAACAGGAGATTAGGAATATAACATGGATTGCTGAGTGCATTGCCCAGAATCAAAAGGGTAGAATCGAAGATTACATATCCGTGTATTAATCACGTAGTTAAACTAAAAAAAGTAAAAAAAAAAAAAAAAACAAAGATCCATCTGAACAACATCAGAGAAACAACGGTAGTTGTGCCAGTTTGCTACTTTTTTTCTCTGAAACCTCATTTTTGTGACGCTTGACTACAGCAGCGTCGTCGTCGTCGTCGTCGTCGTTGTTGTTGTTGTTGTTGTTGTGAGCCGAGGTAGAACCATTTCTTTTGACGGATTTCTCGAAAGATTTAGTTTTCTTGAATGAGTTGATCAAATTTCCGTTCCACAGCCCATGGGTTAAATTGGCCACTATGGGAGCAAGAGCAGGAGGAGCAGGAGCAGGAGCAGGAGCAGGAGGAGCAGGAGCAGGAGCAAGAGCAGGAGCAAGGCCAAGTCCAAGTCCAAGTTTCCGACGAGTGACTGCTTGTATCTGTTCAATTTGGTTTTGTTCTTCTTCTATAATTGATTTGATCATTAATTCGTCATGCATCATTTCCGTTAGATGTATTGTTATCAAAGTTCCCAGATAACCACTCTGTTGGTGATTTTTGCAAAGTAACTGAATGGAAAACAAGCCTTGAAAATCTTTGATAATCTTGCATCTCGAACTTAGCTTTACGGACTTGAGAATTTTGTTGAAATCGTTGAAATTAAACTGCGATAGTACATATTGATAAGCAGAGTTTATGTCTAGTTTCTCCATAATAGTTTTCTCATTGGGGAATATCAACTTTGACACGCCAATGGGCCCACTGCTAATAAAATTGAGCACATTTTTCGCACAGTAAACAAACAACGTTTCAGTACCTATCTGGTGCAAGTCTTGTAGTAAGTTTGTTAGCACGTCACTTTTTACCAAGACTTCCATAACAACATTTTCATAATCTATCTGCAGCGCATTATCTAGTATACCCATAGTATCTTCATTGTCAAGGAAAAAAGTGTAAAATTCTAGCTTTTCAGAGATGTAGTTATCTTCAAATTCAATCACCAAGGGGTGACCTTCACCATTGTACGTCAAATAGCAGGTTACTGCGGACTCGAACCTAATAGTGTTCATAACAGACGTGAAACAATCGGCTATTAAACCAATGTCAACTCCTAGTCGAAGTTGCAACTCCTCTTGCTCAGCGTGCTCTTCCTTCTCTGTGTCCTCTGTGTAGTCAGCATCCTCCCCTTCACCTTCTTCTTCTTCCTCCTGGGAAATATTGAAAATGCTAAACAAGGATGGATCTATATTGACATGAACGTTGGTGGTGTAGTTACAAGTTGAATGTAGCGATATGCCTACGGGTTTAATAATTATTATAGTTTGTTTGTTAACGGATAAAAGGCTTTGAAACACGTCTGAAAGATGTGAGATTTGAGTCGTCGATGCTGTAAATGTCAAATTTTTTTTTGGGGGGGTGGTGGTGGTGGTTGGCTTGTTTTTCGAATGTAGTAGTTTTCTGTGGATACTTGGGTTAGAGCTAGGACCGTCATCCTCCTCGCTGGAGTGTACGAATAAGGACATAATGAAACTGATTAATATTAGGGCCGAAAAACTATAGCAGTGTGTCTATGCTTTTAGTGAAGAGCAAAGAGCGATGAGCTATGGGTCACGTGATTGAGCAAAACACCGACACTATCGAACGACACTATCGAGCAACACTATCGAGCGACACTATCGAGCAACACTATCGAGCAACACTATCGAGCAAAGCGAGATAGTGGAGCAATACTGGCTATCACCGACTCTACCAACACTATCGAGCAAAGCGAGATAGTGGAGCAATGCTGACTAACGACATCTGCTTACTTCGCTAGATAGTGGAGCAACACTTTGTAGTTTGTCACAACACCGACTAAGGATATTAGCTCGCTTCACTAGATAACTGAGCATTGATAAATATATATGTGCTATATATATGCTATGTAATTATAAATTCATAGTCAATCAAAGTGGAAATGAGTACCATCTATCTAGCACTCAGAAACTGTCTCACTCAGAAACTGTCTCACTCAGAAACTGTCTAACTCAGAAACTGTCTATATAGCACTTAGAAACTGTTTATATAGCACTCAGAAGTAGCACTCAAAAACTGTTTATATGGTACTCTGAAACTGTCTACGTAGCACTCAGAAGTAGCACTCAGAAACTATCTATATAGCACTTTGAAAGTCTGCGTTCTATCTCGCTCTGCTCGATAGTGTAGATAGTGTAAATTATTTTATTTTTCGCAGCCTTTTCTTTTATCCCGGCTCTGCTCGATAAGTGTGTGCAAATATATTGTAGCACTCAAAAACTGTCTATCAACACTATCAAGTGGAACGTGATGCAACACTATCGAGCAGAGCGTGATAGTGTTTATGAGAGCTAGTGTTTATGAGAGCTAGTGTTTATGAGAGCTAGTGTTTATGAGAGCTAGTGTTTATGAGAGCTAGTGTTTATGAGAGCTAGTGTTGATGAGAGCTAGTGTTGATGAGAGTTAGTGTGCTCCACTATCTCGCTCTGCTCGATAGTGTTGCTCGATAGTGTTGCTCGATAGTGTTGCTCGATAGTGTCGTCTTTTTCTTTTTTGTGATGCATCAAGAGCAATGTAGAAAACGTTTTAGGATATAACATAATAAGTTTGCCAAGAAGGATCTTGGGAATTGACATGTATTAATCTTAGTATTGAAAGGGTCCCAAAGAAGGAAAATAATATCTCAGCTATCATTCTTGCATAATCCAATCTCTATTGATTTATTCTTTACTCTGATATCAACTGATTAAAGAAAATTCCCTACTAAATTTCAAGTACACACCAAAAAGCAAAAAGCAAAAAGCAAAAAGCCTTTTCTCATCGTATTATCAGAGAGAGAAAAAAAAACAATAATAGAGAAGAGTTTATTATCACTAGTAAAGAGTCGTTTAACCTATAGGATAGAGGTTGATAAAGGTTGATAAAGGTATACTAAGGTTGATAAAGGTTGATAAAGGTTGATAAAGGTTGATAAAGGTTGATAAAGGTATACTAAGATTGATATTCCTTTCAAGAAGTTATAAACGGGGTTTGAAAGATAATCTAGAGACCTTATCCTCAATGCAGACCTAAGAAAAGGAAAGGCTATTTTACTTTTCGCCAAACCTACTAATTTTTTTTCCTTTCTTTTTTGAGTTACTATACAAACAAGGATACTTATGGCTTGGGATCAACTTGAAATCGAAACTCCGCATGTCGCTTATGCCTGTGTGGGGATATTTTGTACTTTGTTCTCCTTGGTGTCGTTATTTGTTAAGGAACGATTGTATATCGGTGAAGCAACGGTGGCTACCATAGCTGGCTTGATCTTAGGACCACACTGTCTTGATTGGTTTTCCCCGACAAAATGGGGCAATTCAGATTACATCACTTTGGAAATATGTCGAATAGTTTTGTGTATCCAAATCGTTGCCGTGGCAGTCGAGTTGCCGAGAAAGTATATGAAAAAGCATTGGGTTTCGGTTTTTATATTTTTAGTACCAGTAATGACTACAGGTTGGCTAGTTGTTGGACTATTTATTTGGTGTTTAATCCCGCATTTTGCATTCAAGGATGCACTATTAGTAAGTGCGTGCATTACTGCTACTGATCCAGTTTTGGCAGCTGCCGTTGTTGGTAAAGGTAAATTTGCTGAGCGAGTCCCTGGTCACTTACGTAATATACTATCTGCAGAATCAGGCTGTAATGATGGTATGGCATTCCCATTCATATATTTGTCTTTATACTTGATTACCTATGCAGGAAACGCAAGAGAGATTGTTAAAAACTGGTTTGTTTTGACTATATTATGGGAATGCTTTTTTGGATGCTTTTTGGGAGTCGTCTTGGGCTACGTTCTTCGGAAATTGGTTGCATTTGCAGAACAAAAAAATTTGATTGATCGTGAGTCATTCTTGGCTATTTTCGTGTTTCTTGCATTCAACTGTGCCGGTATTGGCTCTATGTTGGGTGTTGATGATTTGTTGGTATCATTTGCCGCAGGAACATCGTTTGGGTGGAATGGTGCTTTTGCCAAAAAGACCGAGGAGTCCCACGTTTCGACTGTTATCGACTTGTTATTGAATTTGTCATTTTTTGTCTATTTTGGTGCAATCATACCATGGCCTCAATTCAATGATGGAACAATCGGATTAAATGTTTGGAGACTAATCATTTTAGCATTTGTCGTCATTTTCTTGAGACGTGTACCTGCAGTTGTGCTTTTGAAGCCAATAACTCCTGATGTTAAAACTTGGAGAGAGGCGTTTTTTTGCGGCCATTTCGGCCCAATTGGTGTAGGTGCAATCTTTGCAAGTATATTGGCAAGAAAGGATTTGGAGAGTCACTACACAACAGAAGAAACACCACTAGCAGCTTTACCAAACGATGAATTTCCTCATTATCAGTTGCTAGCAAGCATATGGCCTATTGTATGTTTTATTGTTGTGACGTCTATTATAGTCCATGGATCTTCCGTGGCAGTGTTGACTTTGGGAAAAAGATTGAACAGAATGGCTATTACAATGTCTTATACGCGTACGAATGGTGATCAAACTGGAGGTGGTGGATCCAACTGGATACAAAGATTGCAAAAACTTGATAGAGCAGACTCGTCATTTTCTTTGCACAGAGTGGACTCAGTAGCACGGAATGAAAAGGATGAATCAAAAAATATAACGGACCAGGAGGAGATGTTGCCAGAGACTAGCGGAATCAAAGTCCGGCCTGCAGGAGGCGCCAAAAGAAGTAAGAGAAGAAAGAGAATGAAGAAACATAGTCTTATTAGAAAAACGTTATCGAGAGTCCGGAGTGGTGGCGGTGGAGATGATCAAGAGAAAGAAGGAGAAGAAGGACGGCGTGAGAGATATAGGCCTGCTACTGAGTTTTTGCAATTGGGAGTTGGTGCCAACAATAACGGTGTTAAGAGTACAATATCAACCGAACCCGAAACATCAACTGCAGAGGTGAAGGAATCATCGTCGTCTAGTGCAAATAGCGAGCAATGCGCCGAAGAAGAAAGACTAAAGAAGGAAGAATCAATAAATTATGCGCCATACTCAAATGAGAAGCAATCAGGAAAGTCTAAATATGGAGAGTATACAAAAGCAGAGACGATGCAGGTCCCAACCACTGCATATCAAGATGGAGATACTTTGATTGTTGAAGATCAACATGGTGAAGTTATAGATGACATAAAAATACAAGACGAGCCAGCAAACAGTAAAAAGATCAGACTGGATGGAGACGGTAAAGGTGAAGAAGAAGGTGAAGAAGACGAAGAAGACGAAGAAGACGAAGAAGATGAAGGTGAAAATGCGGAGGAGGAGGAGCAGGAGGAGAAGGAGGAGGAGGAGGAGAGTATTCATTCTATGGAGTCATTACAGCGACATTTATCTCAATATTCAACTAGTTCCCCTACTCCAAGGGAATTTGTACTGGATGATGAAACTGATAAAAAGAATATACCCCTTGTCAAAAAACTTTCACGTTCCCTTTCCCGGCGCACATATTACAACAAGGCTGATCCTAAGAAACGCAAGGTATTTGCACATCGCGTTGACAACTTGATACTTATTGAGAATGAGGATGGTGAGATAATCAGAAGATACAAAGTAAACAGGCATGCATCATCCGTTCCTAAAGCAAAAGCCAATAGATCCAGATCATCAACGCTTGTTGGAAAGATGAAGTCATTGGTAGGTATGAAAACAGATACAGATTCGGCAACCGGTAGTGGTGGTGCATCTCAAAGCGACAATCCCAATGAACCTTCTCCTTTTGTAAACGTGACAGACTTGGAGAAAGGTGTAAGTCATAATGTGCTCATTCCACAAGGAGAGGTGAATCTACATAAGGATAAAATCGACAAAATTGAGGACAAGATTGCACAAGTTTTGCAGGAAAAGCATGAGCGAGGAGGAAAACATTCTTTAGTCAAAAAGGTGTCGCCGCCACCCCCTCTGTCTAAGACTTATGATCAGTTTAGTGAAGAAGAAGAGGAAGAAGAAGAAGAAAAAGAGGAAAAGGAAGAAAAAGAAGATGGTAATTTTGATTCCGAGGATGAAACTGGGGTAGAGAAAAAGCGAAGACTTCAAGCGTTGGGGCAGTTACCCAACACCAACCGTGATGATTCTGATGAAGAGTAGGAAAATAAAAATAAAAAAGAAGAGAAACAAATGAGGAAGAACAAATGAATGGATGGAGTGCAGTTTTTCATTGAAATTCTTATATAAATTTTAATAGACAGCCATTGAAAAGTGCATAGGAGGTTGAATACATGGAAAATGAAGAAGAAGACAAACAAGTTGGCCCTTGAGGATTTTGGAAAGTCCTTGCTTTTCTTGTTCTCTTTATTCTTGTTCCTTTTACTCTTGTTCCCTTTACTCTTGTGTTATTCATTGTTTTGATAAATTTTGAAATTTGTGGAGATTTTTTTTTTTTCTTTTCTTTCCCCATAACTTTACTCTTTTATTCAAAGATGGACTCGCTGATAGACACATCTACCACTTTGTCACCCTTGGCAATCAATAGCAATAAGCAGATGGAGCATAACTATAAGCTAGCGTTGAAGCAATTTATGGGTAAGAATTTTGCAGGGTCATTCAAGCTAATACACGAACTTTATCTCGATGCGTTTTCGGAATTCAAACAGGGAACGATTTCAACCAATTTACTTGTTAAGATCATCAACTTGTATCTCGTAGTAGTAGGAGTGTGTTTAAAGGATAAGAGACTTAACCAAGTACAAGCTAATGTGGCTCGGAACTCAGTCACTAGCAACGAAGTAACTAATTTGATAAGAGCCATATGGCTCCCAAATGAAATACCCTATGAAATCACTTTTAATTTTAATTTGATGCTTATTTTAAACCAAGATCTTATTAATAATAAGGACCAGTATCTTCATGATTTGAAAAAATCCTACATTGATATCGACGAGAGTGACAAGTACGGTAAAAAGTTTTTAGATTTGGTCAAGTTTGAAATACTTCCTCAGCTTGACCAATATGATGAAGCTTTTAGAATAATCGGCAACAATTTAGAAGAAAAGAACAAACTAGCGACGCTCAAGGAAGAAAAACTACTGAATTTGCAAAAGACCAAGAATGAAAAGTTAGAAGCGGAACGAAGAGCCAAGGAGCAAAAGGATAAAGAAGATGCTGTGGCCAGGGCATTAGCTAGAGAACAAAACTTGAAATACAAATCAATAAAGGAAATCAGAAGAAGTTATGAGAATGAAAGAAATTTGGAACTGGGCAAAAAGACAATGAAACCTTCTGAGCAAGACATCAAACAGAAGCTCATGTATTTACTCCTGCTAGTGAAGGTATACTTGCAGAAAAACGTCCTCATTTTGCTTGTGATACTGGCAATAGTGATGAGTTCGGGGAGATATCTCAGAAATGCCAATATTAGAGATAAATTAGTGGATACAGTGAAAATGGCATTCAAATTCACTTATGTATGAGAAAAAAGACAATAAGAAGTCCCTAATCAAGTCAAATACAGTTTCATAATATCTCATACCCCCCCTCTTCACCCTAAATGTAGCACTCAGAAAAAACACACGGGTTTGGCAAGTAAAAGCTAGTTTTAGCTTTAATGTTGACCAGATGAGTCAGTTAGTAAAAGGTTGTCGTTACTTATGCTCTGCCATTATATATATATATATATAAGGATAGCTGGTCATGTGATTTTGCAGAAAGAGCAGTCGCTAGCGTTGCCTTCATCATCACCGCTAGTAAACACAATAGGTAAGCTTTAAGTAGCAAGGAAAAGTGTGAGTGTGGATCATCAAAATATAGCCCAATTTCTATTGTTTCAAAATCCCACTAAACTAGTAGCATCTATATCCGTATTCTCTAAACAAGCTGATTCAAGTCATCGTTGTTTGCACTCCGTGATGACAATCAAGGTTCCAAGATGAAAGCGCTACCAGAATCTATAAAACGCAAAAAGCTGTGACAAATTTCGCAGCTTTTCTATACCGGGGAAGAGGGCTACAAGTTGAAAGCTTGAAATACCTTAGAGACTGTGACCAAAAATAGTTATGACAATAGACTCAGGCAATGGAATGTGGGTAATTGGATATGGCTCTTTGATATTTAAGCCACCGCCCAATGTCTCATTTAAAGTTGTGGGTTATATACAAGGGTATGTACGCCGATTTTGGCAGAGTTCCATTGATCATAGAGGAACTCCAGCGTCTCCAGGACGTGTTGTAACTTTGATATCTCTAGACGAGCTCCGTAAGGGAGAAAAGTTTTTCCATAATGACTTGCACACTTATGAGTTGAGAGACAAAAAGATTGTTGATGTTAACCATACTATTTCTGATTTGAAGCCTGAGGATTTGAAAGTAAGTGGTTGTGCTTACTATATCGAGCCGCAAAACGTAGAAGAAGTTAGTAAATATCTTGATATACGTGAACAGAATGGGTACGAGTTAAAGACTGTTAAGTTTTACATCACCGATACCGATTCTAAATTATACGAGCACGTAAAGGTAAAGGAAGATGAGTTTGGAAGGTACTTAGACAGCCTGATATATATTGGCGGGTTGGAATTAGAAAGCTTTGTTGGGCCAGAAGATATTCGCAAGACTGCTGCTATTATTAAAACTAATGTAGGGCCAAGTGGCAAAAACAGCGAGTACTTGATCAATTTAACCAGATCAATTAGAGAGCTTGGATGCAAAGATTATTATTTAGAGGACTTGATAGAGCTAATAAACTAAAAAAAAAAAGCATATTCTTTTTCTACTTAACATCTTTGAGTTATCTACACCTCCCCCCCCTCCCCTAACCTTGTGCATTCTATATTCTAACTTAAACCAAATTAAGGAAGTTCCTAGCTGCATCCTCTATCGCGAATGCTAACCGGTTGATTTCATTCTGTGCCAGACTGAAATCTTGTTTTGATAAGTAACCTCTAACAAATGGGAATGTATTCCATTCAAACTCACCACCACCTGTTGTCGATGCATCAAACGGCATGCCAAATAACATATTCCTATAACCAGACCTCTTTGGCTGAACTTCCCGTATAAGAAACCTGGCGTTGAAGTCCACCATGTTATCATTCCATGCCCAACGGGTCCTACTATAAACAGGTGGCTCCAAACCTCCATTTTGATTAAGATATTCATCCCACTGTTCAGACCACTTATGAAACTTAGCACCGACATCCATCAAAACCTTTACAGCCCTCTCCAACCTATCAAAGTGCATTATGGGTTTCACCGTTAACGGAGCAATAATGGTTTCTGTATACTTTTCCAAATCATGTACGTACAGAAACAACATGTTGCCGAGATTTTTAAAGTCATACGGAATCAAGGGGCTCTCTGCAAAATCAAACACTATCCTGGACAATAACTCAACCATTTGCGCGTGTTTTAACATTTGTTTATCAATGTTAGATTCTTCGAAATTTTGGAAGTTGTCGTAGCAAGAGTTTCGCGGATAAGGTCGACCTTTGTACTTTATTTCCAAGGAAGGAATATTGACAAGATTGATGAATGGAATATAGTTTTTCATTTCCAAAAAATTATTTTCAGCTTTATTTCTCTCAACCAAGCTCAAGAGCGTCTTATCACCCGCTTTCACTTGAAATAAGGCCTTAAAAACGGATTTAAACAAAAACGGGTGCATATTTATATGAAGGTCATCGCCTGAAATCAAGTCACTGATGTCTACGTATAAGTAACCATCTTTTCTCAAAGATTGTTTTTGATTTTCAATCCATTCCGTTGATCCAGCCAAATTATACTCAGTGGCATCAAATGAAGCAAAATATATTGACCGCGACGGTGTCCATTGGTATCGCCTTTGCAAAGAGGTGAAAACTTTTATCATTTCGAGAAATACGGCAATACCTGTGTTTGTCCCAATTGTTCCGTAGCACGTTGAATCTCTTTGCATCCCAATTATTATACCTTTATCTCCTTGTTCACGACCGTCAATAGATCCAACAACATTCCAGATTGGATGCACGGGCCTGTCGATATTGCTAACTTTGAGTTGAAGATCCGGTGAGTTTCCATCACCGCTGCTAAAGCCGTCCTCAAACTTAAAGCCCATATTCAATTTTTGAATTAGTGCTTCGCCATCATTCCAGGAAATTGGTATTGAGGGTATTTTGGGCGTTGTCTCTGACTTATCCCAGGACAACCGCGTCACATATCCACCCTCGGAAGACCAACCCGGGGTTAAAATATCACCTGGAGCCATCCTGGTTAATCCCACATTTTCTCTTTGGATAACGTCCCCTTGCATTGATTCAAATTTCGGAGTGATGAAAACAACTGCTTTTACCCCATATGTTTCTGCAAGGTGAATTTTGTTTGGTTCTGGAACATCACCGCCGTACTTGATCAAAATTATTTTCCCCTTTGGATCAATACCTTGTTGTTTTAAGTTTTCATAATCTTTAGTGGTACCGTAGTGTAAATAAAGGAATTTACTTGAAATTGTATCCACCGTATTCAACGCATTGGGGTTATATGCAAGATATTCCATGTTTTCATTATGCTTTTCATAAAGATTTGCATTGAATGAGCCATCAGCTAAGCGGAGAAATGTCTCTTGCTTATTAGGATAGTTTATAAAGCTTTGAAACTCGTTGATTTCAACATTATGTAGACCATTATTTTTCATGTATTGTTCAATATATCTTGCCAAAGCGATATCTCCCTTTGAACCGCTAATGTGCGGGATAGAGGAAAAATATTCCAAATGTTCCTTCATCGACTTTGCATCAATAATACGGCCAATTGTGTTTGAAAGTTTTTCCATATCGTAAAATTTGCCTCTAGAAAGCGCTCCCACAGACACTCCGTTGACTGAATCGTTTGTATTATATTTTGACATCCCAAACACAATAAGCATCATAATTAATACATATAATAGTCGTTTGATGACTAATGGGTTTCCAATCTTGAGTATCAGTTTTTCATACTGCATTTGTAGAAATTTGTATCCTTCATATATGGGATCAATCATTTTGCTGATGGGGTGGATAATGCGTGTTTGGATATTATTAGCAAACTTTTTTGAGGCCGTTTGGGCTCGATTTAGTAGTGATTGTTGTACGATTCCTGCCGGATCTTCAATTTCAAATTGTTCCATATAAACACCACCACCACCACCACCACCACCAGCAGCAGCAGCAGCGGACGAGGACGAGGACGAGGAGGACTCGTGGACTGTGCTTTGAATATTGCTATCATCGTCAATATCGTCATATTGTGGCGGACTCGCCGGGAGATGCATGCTCAGACTGCCTAATGATCTAGAGCTCGACTCCAACCTCTGATAATTATTATGCATATATGTATTAAAAAGGAAAACTGATAAAGCAGTGCAGCAACAAAAAGAGAACCAAAACGAAGGAGCTGATTTAGGTAGTGATGCTATATGCTAACAGTACTGGAAACCGGGACAATGCTGGCTCTATCGGAGTCTCACCAGTGTAAACTGCTCTCGTGTAACATCCCACATAAGCGCTTTCTTTTCCCGGTGGCTTTTGGCGGAGCTTTGTTTCGGGTAATTATGTCACGTGATCTACCTGGTAAAGGGGGAAGGGCCAAAATGCTACCAAATGTCGATCAAATGTTAAAGGCGCGTCTCGATCAATACACTGGACACTATCGAGCAGAGCGAGATAGTGTCGGTGTCGATGTAGTCAATGTGCTCCACTATCGAGCAACAACCAAGACACTATCGAGCAGAGCGAGATAGTGTCGGTGTCGATGTAGTCAATGTGCTCCACTATCGAGCAACAACCAAGACACTATCGAGCAGAGCGAGATAGTGTCGGTGTCGATGTAGTCAATGTGCTCCACTATCGAGCAACAACCAAGACACTATCGAGCAGAGCGAGATAGTGTCGGTGTCGATGTAGTCAATGTGCTCCACTATCGAGCAACACCCAAGACACTATCTCGCTCTGCTCGATAGTGTCGGTGTCGATGTAGTCAATGTGCTCCACTATCGAGCAACAACCAAGACACTATCGAGCAGAGCGAGATAGTGTCGGTGTCGATGTAGTCAATGTGCTCCACTATCGAGCAACACCCAAGACACTATCTCGCTCTGCTCGATAGTGTCGGTGTCGATGTAGTCAATGTGCTCCACTATCGAGCAACACCTAAGACACTATCGAGCAGAGCGAGATAGTGTCGGTGTCGATGTAGTCAATGTGCTCCACTATCGAGCAACAACCAAGACACTATCGAGCAGAGCGAGATAGTGTCGGTGTCGATGTAGTCAATGTGCTCCACTATCGAGCAACAACCAAGACACTATCGAGCAGAGCGAGATAGTGTCGGTGTCGATGTAGTCAATGTGCTCCACTATCGAGCAACAACCAAGACACTATCGAGCAGAGCGAGATAGTGTCGGTGTCGATGTAGTCAATGTGCTCCACTATCGAGCAACAACCAAGACACTATCGAGCAGAGCGAGATAGTGTCGGTGTCGATGTAGTCAATGTGCTCCACTATCGAGCAACAACCAAGACACTATCGAGCAGAGCGAGATAGTGTCGGTGTCGATGTAGTCAATGTGCTCCACTATCGAGCAACACCCAAGACACTATCTCGCTCTGCTCGATAGTGTCGGTGTCGATGTAGTCAATGTGCTCCACTATCGAGCAACACCTAAGACACTATCGAGCAGAGCGAGATAGTGTCGGTGTCGATGTAGTCAATGTGCTCCACTATCGAGCAACAACCAAGACACTATCGAGCAGAGCGAGATAGTGTCGGTGTCGATGTAGTCAATGTGCTCCACTATCGAGCAACAACCAAGACACTATCGAGCAGAGCGAGATAGTGTCGGTGTCGATGTAGTCAATGTGCTCCACTATCGAGCAACACCCAAGACACTATCTCGCTCTGCTCGATAGTGTCGGTGTCGATGTAGTCAATGTGCTCCACTATCGAGCAACAACCAAGACACTATCGAGCAGAGCGAGATAGTGTCGGTGTCGATGTAGTCAATGTGCTCCACTATCGAGCAACACCCAAGACACTATCTCGCTCTGCTCGATAGTGTCGGTGTCGATGTAGTCAATGTGCTCCACTATCGAGCAACACCTAAGACACTATCGAGCAGAGCGAGATAGTGTCGGTGTCGATGTAGTCAATGTGCTCCACTATCGAGCAACACCTAAGACACTATCGAGCAGAGCGAGATAGTGTCGGTGTCGATTTGCTCCACTATCTCGCTTCGCTCGATAGGGTTGAGGTGATGATTGAGGTATTGAGAGAATATGTCTTTTAAATACTATAAACTTTCAGAGCTAGGTAGTGAGGTGTCGACTATTGAGCAACACTTATGACACTATCTCGCTCTGCTCGATAGTGCCGGTGTCGATGTGTTCCGCTAACGAGCAACACTTATGACACTATCTCGCTCTGCTCGATAGTGTCGGTGTCATGTGCTCCACTATCTCGCTTTGCTCGATAGTGTTGGTGTCGATACTTCAAAGCTTTGCATTCAGTGTGTTCTTATTCTCATCAACAACTTTGTAAACTTCCGATTCGAATTTTTGAATGTATTCGATATTGGACTCATCCATATATGGCAAAACTTGAACTGCATAGAACCCGCCAATTTGGTTTTTAAAATCTATCCAGTAACTCAAGTTTGCTAAACCGCCCCAGTATATTGAGCCCTTTGGTCTACCTGTAGGAAGGTCGTTTGAGCAATAAGCATTTCCCGTTAATGTCCAGCCATCTAGTTTTTTTTCCACTTTGCCATCGTCGTCGTCATCATCATCGTCAACAAAATTATGGGCGAGCCCGATGAACTCTAAATTAATAGTTTCTGGCAAGTGGTTTCTAATGGCATACTTTACTGTTGATTCCGAAAGTATACGTAAACCACTATCGGGACTAAATCCAAAATTCAACCAAACCCTTATAAACTTCAAATAATCGCCAACCGTGCCAAAACATCCCTGGCCTCCTAAATCCAATTTTGGATCCAAGCTCAATGAGAATCTCTCCTGTAACTTGAGCGACTCGTCTTGTTTCCTGTAATGAACCCGTACAAGATTCTCAAAAGTCTTTTTTTGGAATGTACAACTATTCATTCCGATTGGATCAAACACTTCTCTTTTCAAGAATGTGCTCAACTTGACGCCGCTGATTTTTTCAATAATGAACCCTAGCCAATCAATACTGTGACCATACATCCAAGCACTTCCCGGTTCATGAACCAAGGGCGTCTTTTTGAAAAAAAATTCCATGCTTGGATCGATTGGATCCAATTTTTCGCCCTTGGTGATTAAGGTAAAGTAGTCTGGGTGTATGAACCCGTAGGAGAAACCCGCGGTGTGGGTAATTAAATGCCTCGCAGTTATAGGAGTCTTGGGTGCTTTCGGTGGCCGCAAATACTCTCCTGTCTTTTTATCTAAAATTCCTGGCTCCAATACACCAATATTACCCATTTCTGGAAAATATTTGGTGATTGGGATGTCCAACTCCAATAGTCCCCTTTCGTACAAGATCAATGCGCCCATTACAGTAATCGACTTGGTACAAGAGAAAAACGCATAAAGATCTTCACTTGTGGCCGGTTCTGGTTCATTCAAGTTTCTGACTCCCTTGGTTTTTAAAATGACCGTCTTCTTATTATCGGTTACACCCATGGTACAAGCAGGCGCAACAAGCGGCGGTTGCCCATGCTCATTAACCAGAGTTATCTCGCTAAGCAACTTGTCAATGTTACCACCTAAACGCTCAACTTGATCATCTGTAAAGCGCATGGTAAAGGAAATGTTGAGTAGAACTTGTTGAAAAAAGACAAAGGGTGAAGGCGCGGAAGAAATGTTCAGTAGAACTTGCTGAAAAAAGACAAAGAGTGAAAGGGCGAAGGGGTGAAGGGGTGAAGGGCGAAGGGGTGAAAGGGTGAAAGGGTGAAAAAGTCAAATCGAGGGGGAAAAATTATTAACGTTTTATTATGAAAAATTCATTTTCTCCGCATTCTTGGGGGGAGGGGCACCATCTCGATATATCCGCTTATTATTTTATCCATGTTTTTTTTTCCTTTTGCACCCAAATGAAAATTGAGCTTAACTTTCTTTTTCTTGACACTATCGACTCGGACACTGTCGAGCAAAGCGAGATAGTGGAGCAAATTGACACCGTCACTATCTCGCTCTGGTCGATAGTGGACTACATCGACACCGACACTATCTCGCTCTGCTCGATAGTGTCTCAAGCGTTGCTCAACGATGCTACCAAATGGAATGGGTGCAAAAAAAAACCCCCATCAAAACCCGTGTGTAAATTAGTGCCATAAAAAAGCCCCCATCTTTTGAGTAAATATAATTTAAAAAATATTCCATTAGGCCCAAGGTGCGTCCTTCTGTCTATTACTGTTCCCCCCCCTCTCTTTTGTGAAGTAAGAAATGGCAGGATCTAGCGCTTCATCTGTTTCAAAAAGGGCGATGAAGGCGCTAGCCAAGGCCAAAACAATCCTAACGCCGGACCATTCGTACGGGAAAAAAATTCAAATGGAGAATGTGGAAAATTATCAAGAGTTATTAGGTCCCTTGATATTCGATACAGAAAAGAATTGTTGGAGCTCTGCAGCTGTTACCTTAACCAACACACTAAATGTTCCCATTAAAGAAGTGTTGAATTTAAAAGTGAGGCCGGGAGAGCCATACTTTGTCGTTTGGTTTTTGATATCGTCGTATTTCCCGTTAATCGCCGCATGTCTCGGTCCATTAGCAAATATGTTATCTGTTATTGCGTTGATACAACACTGGAGGTTGGACACCAAGAACGGAGTATTGTTGCAAGATCCTCACAAGGTGGTTGTCATGAACATCTTGTCTCTTGTATTGGGCATTGTGGGGAACATTTCATTATTGATGAATTTTTCTCGATCGGTAAAGTACCTCATTACGCAACTGATATCGATTGTTGCATGGTTTTTCGCGTCGGTCTTTCTCACTGCCGCCGTATTGGTTACAAAGTACAATGATATTGGTCCCGATATGATTCTCCTGGAAGGATTTTTCTTTGCTTGTTTCACCGCCGGGTACTATATATTATGCATGGTTGTTTTGCTCGTTAATTTCATGGGTTACAAACTAGATAAATACCCGGCAACATTCAACTTGGATCAGAAACAGAGAACGTTGATGTTATATACAGTGTTTTTTGCTATTTGGTCGGTGTGCGGAGCAGTTAGCATGGCACATTTGATTGAAGATCTAACGTATGGTCTGTCGTTGTATTTTTGTATTGTTTCATTCCTTACAGTTGGTTTAGGGGATATAAAACCGGTGACTGCAGGAGCAAAAGTGGTGGTTTTGATATTTCTGTTAGGGGGTGTATTGATAATAGGATTGATTGTTGTTACTTTCCGCTCACTTATCCTTTCATCGGCTTCGGCAGCGATATTTTGGAACGACGTTGAAATTGCGAGAAAGAAGTATGTCGAGAAGTTGAGAAAGGAGGACCGCCACATATTGAATGAGAAGTCCTATCGCAAGATGAGACAAATACGTCACCAAGTCAAACAAAGGAACCTAAATTCTTCTTTGCTACTAACTATACTGGTATTCTTGGCGTTTTGGTTGATTGGAGCATTGGTTTTCCATTTTGTTGAGGGTTGGTCTTACTTCAATGGTGTTTATTTTTGTTTCCTATGTTTGCTAACCATTGGCTATGGAGACTATGCTCCAGCAACAAATCTCGGGAGGGTGTTTTTTGTATCTTGGGCAACAGGGGCTGTTCCACTAATGACTATACTAGTGTCCAACGTGGGAGACAAATTGCTTGAAATCTTTAACACTTTGAGTGAATGGTGTGGCCAGTATCTTTTTGAGCCTGATGAAGCTTATCAATTTAAAAAGAGGGTCAAAAAGCAAATGAAAGAAAGGCAAGATGAGGACAAGATAAGTTTGAGTTCGACTTTTTTCTTGGAAGATGACGTGAAAGATGAGACTGAGGACGAGGAAGAGGAAGAGGACGAGGAAGAGGAAAAGGAAGAGGAAGAGGAAGAAAACGATTTAAAGGATATCAATGAGGATCTTGAGGATCTTGAAGAGTTAAGCAACAAATCCAAGAATGCGTCCACATCAGGCTCATTGCTCAACAAGAAAGTTCGTCAAAAAGCCTTCTACAGAAAAGACGCACATGAAAAGCTTTTGAAGTACTTGAATAGTTTAAGACTTTTAATATTAGATGGAATTACAAATCCACAAAAGAAGTACACATACATTCAATGGCGAAAAACGTTCAAAGCGTTGGGGTTGGTGGAAGCTTCCAAAGTTTTTGATGGTAATCAAGATTATGGAGGGTTCTGGCTCAGCCAGTACAGTCCGCTACGAATGCCTTTGAAAGAGCCAAATTACTTGATATTGAAAGCTTATTACAAAATTGAAGATACTTTGCGAAAACTCATTGAGGAGGAAGAAGATGAATACAATATCTGAGCTTTGAAATATTTTGCCTAATGAGCTTCAATGTCTATTTTTTATTTTCAAAACAAACGAACATTTTATAGAACAGAAATAGATCAGGTCCAATTTCTCTCTCTCTCTCTCTCTCTCTCTCTCTATTTTCCTTTATTGATTCACCACAAGCACAAGAAGATAGCTAAAAATACTACCTACCGCCAACCCTACACTCAAAAAGACACTAGTGAAGCCGCCAGCAGCCTCTTTCTCGTCATCGGTATCACAGTGCTTACCAACAATCATAAAAGACGATGTACACAATTGTCCGTTTGAAATTCCAAACAATAGTTGCAACAAGATATACCAAATATCAGACTTGATCAAGGGTTCGGATACACCTGGATGTACATTACACGTCAAGAACAATGGAATAAACACCAATCTTGCTAACGAGTACGTTATTAATATTCTTGGAGATGTGACAACCATGTTCAACCTTGGGAACCCGCACAGTACCCTCCCTAACAAGTCACCTAGATTCCAAATTAGATAGATAAAGGGTACAAATATTTGTTTGTTGAATAATTTAAACTTCAGCTCAGTATGGTTCGACTCGACAACTGATGCAAAAACAGGAAACGCCAAAGTAATGCTAAAAGTGAAAAAAATGGTCATGACTATGAGCTTCAATTTTGACCATAACTGGAAAAAGGGTACAAATTGCTTTTGTGTGGGTATTGAATCAACCAATTCCTGTTCTTCCTGTTCTTCCCGTTCTTCTTCTTCTTGTCCTTCTTCTTCAGGAAAAACATTGTCGTCTTGGGTGATTTGATCAAGCTTGTGGTACTCTAATCCACTCTCATACTGTGTTACCAAATACAACAAACTTAGGCCAACTATGCAGATCAAACTAGCGGTGATGTAGTACATAAAGACACCAAAGTCCTTTTCGATTTTATGTTTCTCCTCCAGACCTTTTTCACCAACAAGAAGTACTGACACTATAAGCGCACAGGAGGGTAAAACACCCGCTATGGCTTGACCAACCATTACTGCGTTCGCGTAGCGACTTCCCATCACATTTACCATGGCCATAACTCCATTTTGGGCCAAGCATGTAGCTGCTGCAGACAAAAACACCATGAACATCAAGATGATAAAAAATGCAGTATCATCCATATCGATAAGTAGTTGTACAACACAGGTTATTGCCATAAATACAAATATGAATATGGTCATGTTGAGGCCAATATGAACTCTTTTGCGATAATTCACACCAGTTTGTTTTTGAGAAAGATAAAAATTGTATGCTGTTGAAGTAATTGTTGATACTGACATCATCGTTGAAGAGTATATCTTAACGAGAGACAAAGTATTCAGAAACCTGGTCCCATAAAATGCCGATGCAGATAAGAAACAATTCCATGGCCATAACAATGCAACTCCCATAATCATGAATGTAAGATACTTGAGTTGCGATAACTCTAAACTGAATATCTCACCAACCTTCATTATAGTTAGGTCCACCTTCTTCAGCTGCTGCTGATGATGTAGTTCTTGCCCTTCCATGTCTTCGTCATCTCGTCTATTTGCCTCCATCACTACTACCCCCAAGTCCTAACTTTTTTGAGTGAAGATGAAGATGAAGATGAAGATGAAGTAAAAGGAGTTGAAGAGTTGAAGAGTTGACTTTATTTTTCTCTTTATCTGAAATTTCAATTTTCATTCAGGCTTATAAAGACCACCATCTTTTGAATTATCATGTCTTCTGACCAGCTTAAATCAGTCGGAATCGCTACGCTCAAGGGTATAGGTAAAGGATCCAAGGCCCTAGGCAAAGCGGGGTATCAAACATACAAAAAGAGTGAAGCAAAAAGAAAGGGAACCGTATATGTCGAGCCGACTAAAGGTAAAGATGATCATGATCATGATCATGATCGTCATCGCTCCGACGATAGGAGAGACGAATTTGATGAGCACCATTCCGGTTCACGCTCAGCAAGACCGTTACCATCAAAGGAACAGTTGCAGTCGTTTCAACCGCCTCCAAGGAGAAATGTGGATGCTACAGGTGCACCCAAACGTCAAAGTGAGCCATCCAGGTCTAGTACTTATCGACAAACAAACCAAGGGCAACAATACCAAGGGCAACAATACCAAGGGCAACAGAACCAAGGGCAACAGAACCAAGGCTATCATGAGCATGCTATACAAACACAACCCTCTTATGCTCAGGGTCAATTAGCACAAACACCAAACTATCAACAGACACAATACTCCAATCCACAGAACCAACAACAAGTAGAACAAGATTCACAATGGCCAGCAAATCCACCATCGTATACACAATCCCATATTCAGCCTACTAATCATTTGCACGCACAACAACAAGCGGGCACGCCACCGGTCTACGGTTCCAGAAATTACTCTACCCTGTCTTTCCAAGCTGACACAAACCAACCGGGAGTGGGAGTAGGAGTAGGGGCAGGAACAGGAACAGGAGTGGCTGCGCTAGTACCGCCTGCCTTACCAGAACGCGCTTCATCATATACTTCCGTGGCTACCAGTGGAGAAAGTACTTCCACTTCAGATTCTGGGTACAATGCACATGCACTGCAATCTGAAGTTTACAGTAACACATATACACCTTTGAAAAAATCGAAGCCGGATTCTTTTTCATCCGAGTCATCTCTGACTAGGGATGGCCCTGCTCGTCCTGTATCTAGTAGAATATCTTCAAGTACGAGCTATTCAAGCAGAACCACCAATTTGGCGGCAACAGCTTTAGGAAGACCGCTGTTAGATGATCACGACCTGGCGCCACCCCCTTTGCCCTCGAGGAACGGTGCCAAAAATAAAGCTGCGTTTAATCACGTTATTCATGAAAGTCAGCTGGATACAAATTTATCCAAGCCTAATCCACCACAAAAGTATAGGATCAGTAGGGACCTGACTCCATGGAATGAAGACACCGATGAAGCACCTCCAATGCCGGCTCGTCGTCGAGGAAAGGAGGATAATGAATCACCTCCACCACCACCCATGCCTGCAAGAAGGATAAATGTTAACAAACATTATCAAGAAAAAGCACCTCCTGTACAACTGCGCTCTGTTGGAGAAGAAAGAGAACAAGTTTCACCAGCATCTTCAGAACAAGATTACAACAATGTACAGAAAAAGATTCCTCCACCAAAGCCAGCTAAAAAGATAATTGTAGACGGAAGTAGTGCTACGGCTCCAAAGAAAGTTTCCGATGTGCTGAGTGAGTTGGAAAGTATGTTTAAAAAAATGAATGTTGGACAAGATGTAGATTCCAAGCCGAAGCTCAAGATTCCTGCGCCTTTGATCAAACCCAGACCAGCTATTAAACCGAAACCGGAGATCAAAGCAAAACCAGAGATTAAAGCAAAGCATGTACTTAGAAGTACATCCGAGGATAATAACACACTGGACCACCATCCTGTGTCGAGAGCAGCCTCACTGTCACCGTCACTGTTACCACCGGTTCCAAAAGCCAGAAACTATGCAAGATCTGCAATGACTCTTCCGCCAGCTGTCAACAAGGGTCCTCCAGAGTTAGATTTGGAATTATCAACGTGTTGGTTTGCAAACACACAGAGTGGCTTAAACTTGCCAACCTCTTTACGTGGATTGAATTATCAAACAAGTCACCTGTTTACGTCAACGGGACCCTTACAAAAAAATACTAGAATTGTTACAGCTCGATTGAAAGATTTATCAATCATATCATACAAGTTTCAATGGACTTCCAATGATCCACAAAACGTGAAAACATCTATAGATGCTTTTGTTGAGTCGCCGCTTTTGAATGCACCAACTAAGCAAGCACTTTTTTCTTATCATCAGCAATTTGGTGAGCACATTGCTGCATGGTGTGAGTATCATATTGGGCAGAAGGTAGGTAGCGGAGAATGTTGGGATTTGGCCAAGTTTGCATTACAAAAGGGTTGTGGCAATCATGCGTTTGTTTCTCAATATTACACGCATGGATTCCCTATTTTGCAAATCACTAGTAACGGCTATGGTGTGCAATTTTTAAACGGAACCTCACAACTAGACGAAATAAGACGTGGTGATATACTACAATTCAAGTCCTGTAAGTTTGTTGATGCAAAATCCGGGAATACCCAAACCGCAGGAATGCCTGATCACACGAGTATTGTGATTCAGAATAATAATGACGATGACAAATTACTTGTTCTAGAACAGAACGTTAATGGTGTTAGAAAAGTAGTACAAGGCGAGTACGTTCTTAAGAACTTGAACGCTGGAGAAGTAACCGTGTATAGAGCTATGCCCGCAGAATGGGGTGGCAGTTTGAACCTTGGATAGATTTTTTAACACTAAGAAATGAACTTGACTCGGTAATAGTTTTTTTTTTCCTTCCATCTCATCGCATAGAGACAGGGAGAGTATATTTACTTCCATCTATCTATCTATATATATATATATATATATATCTATACTCGAATGTCATGCATTTGGAAGAAGCTGTAGCTCCTTCCCTATCCACTGCTCAAGATGATTCTGCTTTTTCATACGACAAGGTGGTGAAGTCTGTTACTGAGGAACGGAAGCATTTGAATTTGAAGGACCCTTTTGATAAAGATGAGTTAATCTCTTGTATACACAATTACTATTCGTTGGACAAGTTGGTTAAGGAGCTTTCTGTTAAGGATGGGGAAACACTCAAATATAAACGAGTAACGTTGCAGTTCCCCGATAATCTAATTTGTGACTCTTCAAGGATAGTTGAGTACCTCCAACAAGAGTTGAGCCTGGAGCAGAAACTTTATATTTTGGCAGATACTTCATACTCGTCTTGTTGTATTGACGAAGTAGCTGCGGAACACGTAAACAGCGATCTTGTCGTCCACTTTGGAGACACGTGTTTAAACGAAGTGGCAAAGTTGGCGGCATTTTATGTTTTGGGCAAACCCACGGTAAACTTAGAGAACATTTTGACTCAAATTAGAGAAAAGTTTCAGGAGGAAGATAAGGTTGTGCTCATGGCCAATGCACCCCATACGTATGTTTTGCATCTCTTGAAACAGAGACTACCGAACTTTGAGAATTTGATTGTTGCGGATTTGATTGAACCTTTGTCAAAATCTGCAATCATTGATTATACGCCAATGTCAAATGCACGTTTTTCAACATTAAATCGGAGTTTTCCCGTTGATGATGACTTGTCAACATACCATTTGTTCCATCTCACTACACCCGAGGCGCCGCGGTTATTGCAGCTATCTACCACATTTGCAACAGTGACAACGTTGGACCCTTCAACAGGCACCTTATCGCAGGGGCCGTACCCCAACTTGATGAGGCGTTACAAGCATGTGCATATGGTTCGAAGTTCAGGAACTATAGGAATACTAGTAAACACGTTATCGCTATCAAACACTAAGCAATTAATCAATACGATCAAACACAAGGTGAAAGCGGCGGGGAAGAAGCATTATATTTTTGTTGTTGGAAAACCAAATGTTGCGAAATTGGCGAATTTCGAAAGCATCGATATTTGGTGCATTTTAGGGTGTGATCATCAGGGGATTATAATTGATCAAACCAATGAGTTTTTTAAACCAATCATTACACCGTATGAATTGTTATTGGGGTTGAGCGATGAACTATGTTGGACGGGGAAGTGGGTCACCGATTATAAAAGCGTGATTAATGAGTACATACAAGATGACAAATTGGAGCAGCAAGTTATTGAAAACGGGAACAACAGCTCAGACGAGGAACCTGAATTTGATGTGGTTACTGGAAAATACGTTAACACGGCAAGACCTCTAAGACAAATCAACCATCTCATGGTTGAAAGTCGAGAACAGAGCGAAGAGGAGGAGGAGGAGGAGGAGAACAGCCAACTTGTACAAAAGTTTTCAAATACGGTTTCAATACGAAATACAGTGAGTACTTCGGCAATGCACTTGCAAAATAGACACTGGACTGGATTAGGAAGTGATTTTAAAGATGATGACCATTCAGAAGGAAACGAGAGTAGGGGTGAAGGGGCAGTAGTTGAGCAAGGAAGGCAAGGTATAGCCAGAGGATACGACTACACCCTGTGAAAGAGACAACTACTAGAAACCAACTTCAAGCCAACTCTTGTTTCAACTTTTGTGAAAAGAACTGGAATTTTTTTTGTATATATAAATTTATCCGTTCTTTTTTCATTGGATGAAAAAGAAAATAGTTAAAGAAAGCCCTTTTACCTTTTTTCTTCAAATCCTTTTTGCAGTATTCCCAAAGAAGCTCTACGTGAACAACTTGCTACCTATCTTTTGCTAACACTAAGGGCATTTTATGTTCCCAATTTCAAGAAAGAACACATTGGTACCTCACTGGGTAGAAACAGTACTAGTAATAACTGCAATTGTTACCTTCATATCATTTATATTTTCGTATGTCGACTGATGGATAAAAAAAATCAACAAACGCTACCAAATGCTTTTACTAACTTTTGATGGTTTGACTTTTTTTTCAATAAGATTCTTTTTCGTACCATTTACACGACTTTCATACATTTTAGTACCAGGGTTCATTACAGGCATAGTGACTTTATTGGTTGGAGCTTATAACTTGCCACCAAAGGACTTATGGAGCAAATTAGGGGAGTCGGATATTGCGGTGGTTACAGGGGGGTCGCGTGGTTTGGGCCTGGAAATTACCAAGCAATTGTTGCAGAGAAATGTAATTGTATACATGCTTGATAGGCAAGAGCCGGTGCAAGATGATATGATGCAGAATAATCCGAGATTGCACTTTATCAATTGCGATTTGGGTGATGAGGATCAATTGCATAGGACAATAACCGAACTAATTGCGCATTTGCGCAACTCGGATCAATATATAAGCGTGCTCGTTAACAATGCTGGAATCAGGGACAACAAGTCATTGGTTAGACTCGATTTTGAAAGAGTGAAACAGGTGTTCAACGTTAATACCTTGCTGCAAGTTTTCATTTTACAAAAGGTGGTTTCTAACCATCTCAAATACAATGAAAACGGCAAGCTTTCAATAGTTACTGTGTCATCAATATTGGGAACCTTTGCACCGAAAAACTTGTCGATATATTCAGCATCCAAGGCTGCGCAAATCATGTTGCATGATGCTCTCCAGCAAGAGCTAAAGCAACATAAGAGAATCCGACTTTTGCTCGTGACATCGGGACAAATGGATACCGAGTTGTTCAAAGATGTTAAGCCTACGAAGCAATTAGTAGCACCAGTGGTGAAACATGCAGAGTTGGCAAAAACAATAGTGGAAAAAGTTGATATCGGGTTCATGGGCTGTTTGTCCAAACCCTTATATGCCAACTTTTTACCGGGTGTTAGAACAGCACCAATGTTTGTACAAGACTTTTGTCGTTGGGTGAGCGAAATGGACGAGCAAATCAAAGAAGAGAAGGATTAAAAAGGAACAATTTTATTTTTTTCCTTCTTTATTATAGAAGGAGACAGTTATATGAAGCTAATCAATCATTTTTTTTGCCTAATTTATTTACTTCCTTGGCTAGTAACTTTGTAAATTCTTCTCTGTTTAGGTAACCAATGAGGTCAAAGTATTTATTGAATGGAATTGAGCTTTGCGAGCTTTGCTTATCGTTTAACGCCACGGTAACACGATAATTTGGATCGTATTTTCCCGTTGTTGAAGCAACTGTTAGTTTGTTCCCCTTTGAATCGTACCCAATGTATTTGACGTTTTTGTATTTACGATTTATTATGAGTAAAACACCGTTAAGAACAGCGTACAATACACAGGAAACCACGGTGGCCCCATAAATATTCTTGAACTCGTATCTTTTGTCAGCAAGAAACAATAGCCCTGCAATAACCACCGTGACCAATCCTAATCCTAACTTCAAATCGGTCAACATGAATGATTCTTCAAACCCCAATTGCTGCAATATAGATCCTAATTGCTCATCTGTTGCTTTCTGCAACTCCTTTACTGAGTTGAGATTGGTACTCTTTAACTGAGACATTGCCAAATAAAGTTCTCAAACCTCTCACTAAAGCCTAACACCTGCCTCGTTGTATCCTTTACATCACATCTTCCCTCTTTTGTTGATTGATTCAAAGCCCAAAATGGAAAAGAAAAAAAGTTTGTGCTGTTGAATAGTCACGTGATGTTAACGGTGGTGTATATCCATGCCACGTGATATCACTGGTGGTATATATCCGATCCACGTGATATCAGTAGATTCACGCCACGTGATATCGACGGTAATGTATATCCATGCCACGTGACTATGTATTCACGTGACTAAATGAATAGTTTAAAAATGAGCAAAGCGAAAACCTTGAAATCAGGGTCGATGGTGATAATACTTCCCCCCCTCCCCCCATCTTCTTCTTGGTTTAGGAGGGTCCACTGCTATAGCAAGGTCTCTTGTTTTTGGGTTAGAAGCTACCTTTTTGCTGGTATATTTACTTGAGGACTTTGTCTTTACAGATTTGGCCTGGGTTCATTCGCTTGTGGCAGTCTAAATTATGTACTAGGTTTTTTTTTTTTTATTGTTCATGACGAGCTCATCCGGATCAGAGATGATAGAGTTGAAATCCAGCGCTTTGGGCCCTAGTTCAAAACAGCAGTCGGCGCCATTGCTGTCGCTGTCGCTGCTGCTGCTGCTGCTGCAAGTACATTTGGAGAAGAAACAATACCGGAACAAGAAAAATGGTGGTACATCACATAATGCAAATAAGGAGAGAAAGTATGACCACAAGAACGATAGCGAGTTGACTCAGCTAGAATTGCAACTAAGACAAGGCAAAAAAGTCAACGGAAGCAGTCGAAGAAACCAAATATCCATCAACCACTTGCTAGATTTCCAATCGTACGAGGACTCCGATGAGTACAACCAAAAAAAACAAAAAAACCGATCAAGAAGAGGATCTAGTAATCAAAAGCAACGCGTTTTGCCACCAAAATTGCAATTAACGGGAATGAAATTTATAAACGTTAATTTTAAGTTTGTTGTGGATTCGAGACAGTCGTATAGAAAGCAGGAATTAGACCCAAATATACCGGTTGATACTGAGAATATCATATCCATTATTGCTCCAAAGTCGAGCTGTCCAATATGTCTTTCGAGTGATTTGGTTGCCCCGAGAATGATAATTTCCTGTGGTCACATTATGTGCTTGAAATGTGTCTTGTCAATGTTGGAACACGAAGTCCCAAAGGCCAAGAAGAAGGAATCTGCCGCTGTGATTGAAAAGTATAGGGAATGTCCGCTTTGTTTTTCAATTATACGCAAAAGTGAGTTGAAACCCGTGATTGTTGATGATGTTGATGAACGCTTCGAAGTACCAAAGGTCCACGATGAAGTGGTCTTGACGTTAATGGCAAGGGATCCGCAAAGGACGTTGTCCTTGCCTAAACTTTTGAGAGACACAACTCACATTGAAGATTTCCCCAACGCGCGAGATGCAGATCTCGCTCCATACTCGAAGATTTTTAAAGGCGATTATCAGTATTTGGTGGAGTTGTATGAAAAGGAAAAAGAGAATATTGTGGCTAGTCACAAAAAGGAAATGTCTTTGTATGGGGATGAAACTGCATTGGTACAACGAACATTGACTCATATTGACAATGAAATTCTGTCTTGGACAAGTAAGTTTGCCACGCCACCTTCAAAAGACGCCAAGCCACAGAAGAACGAAAACAGCACACATCACCATCATCAACACAATCAACTGTTTTACTATTATGAAACTGGATTTAGGGCCAGCTGTACATATGTTCTTTCCCCACTCGATATGAAAGTTTTGAAGCATACTTATGAGAGATACGAGAACCTACCTTCGAGCGTAGTTGCGAAAATTGAGAATATTAGGTACGAAGAATTGACAAGTGCGACATCCATGACAAAGTACAAATATCTCAGTCATTTGCCTGCAGGGACCCAAATAGGATTTCTTGAATGTTTTTGGGAAAATCATCAGTGCGTCTCTCCCGAAACATGGTCAACCTTTAAAGACGATTTGGTCAAACGTACTCAGCAATCGAGTAAGAAATTTAGAAAAGAAGAGAGAGATAAAAAGAGAGCGGAAAATGATGCAGAGACAGAATTAAAGAATTTTTACAATGATGCAATGGGTTCTGAGAAGTTTGAGGCTATGTCTATTGCTGACATCCCACTTCTACCGCGGTCAACCACCACCACCAACAACAACAACAACAACAACAACAACAATGACGACGACACTGAAGCTGTTGATCTCCAAACAACTGTGTGGGGAACAAAGATTCCAAAGAGCAATATTAATGAAAATGTACCTTCTGGTGAAGATTATGACAACAACGACGATTGGGGTAACGCTGATGAGTTTATTAGAGAAGCGAAAGAGAAAATGATGACTATGGGGAGGAAAAAGAAAAACAAAAAGTTAGTGTTGTTAACTTTATAATAGGAAAAAGGAAGAAAGTAAATATAAAAAAAAAGAAGAAAAAGAAAATGTGATGGTTATGGTCATGGCTACAAAAAAAAAAAAAAGAGGTTTATTGAACAGTTACGGCTGTACTCCAGACTACCTATTCTTTTTTAAAAAAAAAATGGTTTATACCCGCCATTTTATGGTAAAAAACTTTGAAAATTAAAGGACGGATATGTATTGCACTTGAGTATACATTTTCCATTAGATGGAACCAATTTCAACTCGTTTGTATTTTGCATTCAGAATGATTGTCAACTTTTCAAGAAGATTCATCACCTTGATGGTTTCTAAAAATGACAAAAAACTGTTTGGATAATCTGTTTGAACTGTGTATTAGAAAGCTTTCATCCCTTCCAAAAGTACTTGTAGTTCATCTATTAACTTCTATTTACTAATGCACTAAAAAAATCCAAACCAAAATCGTCTAGTGCTGTAGCCAGCAATGGATCTTCATACTCTTCGTCTTCAAATTCATCTTCTTCATCTCCATCGCCATCAACGTGGCCATTTCCATCCACCACGTCCCCAAATTTTGAGTTGGTAATGGAGTCTATTTTTTGTTCCTTCTTTTGTAAAGAGATTACGAGCTGCTGCAACCATGAGTCATATTTTGCCTTGGCGTGTTCATGATCCAATAAACCCAAATCCATTATACGCACAAGTCCAAGCAAGGACAATTTCAAGCTGTAAACTGTTTTTGGGCTTCTTTCCATAAATGTTGTAAGAAATTCAGGAAGGCGATCGCCTAGTATGGAAGCAGTGGCTGAGCCATAGACTAAGGATGCAACAATAACATTGATAGCATCGTCAGCTTTTAAATTATTCAAAACAACATTGAGAATTTCTGGAATGTATGGTTCGGCTTTAGCTTCTAAACATAGTATAAATGTTTGTGCCAATTGAAACACTAATTCCAAATCCACAACGTCGCCATCTTGAGCAAATGCCATTTGTAGTATTGAAAGCATATCGTTTTGCAATCCAGCATTTTCCTGTACAGTTTTTTTCCCGTAAACCAAATAATTAGTTAAACATGGCAACAATTCTTCGAAATACATCAACGCGCCGCCTTCTTCAAATTGTTTGAGCAATAGTTTGAAATTGTTCCACATTACTGGTGTTATTGCTCGTAACAAAAATGTGGCATTTTCAATCAATTCTCCAATCTCGGCAAAAAAATCGTCAATTTGATTAACCAAAACAAATTCAATTGCTGGAGAACAAATCTCTTCCAATCGAATACACAACTCTTGAGAGTTTTCAAATGATAACAATACAGTAATCATTGTATTCAAAAATCCCAAAGCTGCCATAGCTTTATCGCCTTGATCATCGTAATTAGCATCAAAGTCGTCAATATCAAGTTTGGAAGCTTCATTGATCTCTGAAGCTAGTTTCAAAAATTGTTGCACTAATCTAGTCATCAAATCAACTCCAAAAGGCTGTAATTGTTCTGAAAAATTCTCAACACATTCTTGCATAATTACCGAAATGGCATCATTGTCTATTTCATTGGATAGTTCCAATAATTTGGACATGGTATTTAAAATTATATTCGACAATGCTTGTTTGAACTCGTCATTGACAATAAATGCTTGTATTGATAATGCTGTGTTGAACTGAACTGGTAAAGACGCATCTTCGTCGTCAAAGTTTTTCAATATACTGTTGATCATGTTAAATAGAGTCTCTCTGTTGCTAAATGTAACTTCTGCAAATTGTGAACAAACCTCAATGGCCCTTGCCTTTAGAAACTCGTGTTTGGAATCTAGGTTTGGTATTATTAAACTTGTCATAAGCGGTTCCATTGTACTATCCTTGGGCAAGTACCCTGAAATACTACCTAGAATTCTCATAATACCATCCTTCCTCTTTGCAACTTCCAATGTTTCATTTTGTTGCTGCAACTGGGTCAACTCATTTTGAATTAAATTGCTAATTGGCGGTAAGCACAAGTTTGGATGTTTATACAATGCAGTTGCTATAAACCCTAATGCTGCATATTCGGCATTATCATAATCTCCACACAGGTCAAAGCATAAACTAATATACTCTTGTGGATCTTCTTCATACACCTCAAGCAAGAGATCAGAGGGAACAACGATTGGATATATCAAGTGCGCAACTAATGTCTCAAAATGAGGTTGGACCAAACTCCAAACGGAGGCTTCACTAACACAATGGCTCAAAAACTCCAACAATTGATATAGTTCGGATGACCCGATCCATCTTTCCCCACTACAATATTCCTTTATCACTTTTAAAAAATGGGTAAGAAAATGTGGGATAAACTCATTCAAGAATAATGCGTGAAATTCCGGATATATGATTTTTTTGCTTAATGAGTTTGTTGATGCATAACGAATGAATAATCTCAAAATATTGGCTACTGCCCATTTGTAACATTTTGAAATTTGTAGTAAAGATTTCTCTTGTTCAGAAGCTTTAGAGTTAACGACATATGATGGGGGTCTCATTTCAATGACCGAGGCATGAAACTCTCCCCATTGTAAGATTTGGTCCTTTTCTCTTAGCAAGTTGGGTATCTCATAATATGTGACAAATTTATAACACTTTAGGATTAGTTTCAAGATCTCGGCATTGATTTCCGTAATCTCTTCTCCTCCTTGTTGATGACTGGCAACTATGGACTGTCCCAATTGCAATAAATAGGGAAATGCTTGTGTGATTATGGGGTCTAATTTATCCTGCCTGCTTTTGTTATCGGACCATTTGAATTTTCTAGTGATTTCTTCCAAACAAAGTATTGCCGTGTACAAATACTCATGGGATTCCTTCAGCTTATGCAACAACTGTCCCGTTTGTTCCAACAATTGGCTCCAAGAGTCGAATTCCACATTGATCAACAACCTCAATGCTGGCAAGAGTTGCTGCTTAATATTATGGTCACACACAAAAATAACGGGGACTATGCGTTCCTTAACAATAGGCTTCTCATCAGCATCTACTCTCAATGGGTTTTGCACATCCTTGATATTCCAAAACTTAACCACTCTATTCTTGAAATAAACCGCAGCAGCTTTCTTGATGTGGCTCGGGTATTTGCTACTTTCCAATATATCGAGACAAACGCCTAAAAAACCCGGCTGAACAGACAATGTCTGCAAGTTCTTTTCCGCTTCATTCCGCAACTGCTCATTGGCCTGTAAAGTCCCTGAAAAGCACTCAAATATCAAGTTTGCATTCATTTTTCAATAAAGGGAACCCCTTGCAATAAAAAAATAAATTTTTAAATTTAGAAAATATCGAAAAATTCAAAGTTTCAAAGTTTCAAAAAATTTCAAAATATCGAAAAATTTCAAACCCAAGTGGTTACCAAATACAGCGAAATTATTTCCAACTTGAGACAAGCACACCCTCCAACTCTGATTTGTTATCCCTCAAAAAAGACTTGTTTTCAAATCAACTATAAACCTCTTTCCCTCTGATCATCTCATCTCACCTTTTTTTTTTTTTTTTTTTTTGACGAACTTTAAATTTAGTTGTGCTACCATGTGTAACGATATTTGATGGAACAAGCTTATATTGGAAGAAGGAATAGAAGAAGAAGAAGAAAAGGAGAGGAAAGAGAGTTGTTGGATGTTTCAGGTGGAAATGAGAGGTTAACACTGTAACACTATCCAACTATTGAGCGGAGCGAGCTTAGACTATCGAGCAAAGCGAGATAGTCTAAAGAGAGTGTAGATGAAGAGAGCCTCTAGACTATCGAGCAAACTCTTCATACAAGCTCTTCACACTATCTCGCTCTGCTATATAGTGGAGCACGCTAGCTGCCACTGACTGTTCTTGATATAAGCTTTGTAGCAGTTTCTAGAGACGATAATCAGAACTTAAAGAGACTCTATATGAAGCATTTCCAGTATAAAAATTTACGAATAAAAAAGGGAGAAGTTGTATAGGAACTTAAGCTTATATTCTCTCTATAGACAATCGAGCAAAGCGAGAGAGCCTCTAAACTATCGAGCAAAGCGAGATAGCTAAAGAGAGTGTAGGTGGAGAGAGCCTATAGACTATCGAGCAAAGCGAGATAGCTAAAGAGAGTGTAGATGGTGAGAGTCCATAGACTATCTCGCTTTGCTCGATAGTCCAAAGAGAGTGTAGATGGTGAGAGTCTATAGACTATCTCGCTTTGCTCGATAGTCCAAAGAGAGTGTAGATGAAGAGAGTCTATATCACTCTGTATCCTGGGTGTTTGACATTTTATATTATATAGGTGTCGTAGCTCTATGTCGTATCATGTCGTGTTTATCATACTGACGGTAAGTCTTGTATGTTTCATGTCGTGTTTGTCTTTATGACGGTGTTGTATGTCTGACGGTGGTGTACGTTTCATGTCGTAAAATGCCATCGCCAATGCCAATGCTAATGCCAATGTCGTGTGTCTCATGTCGTGTGTTTCATGTCGTGTTATCGATGACGTATCAAAGGTAGTTGACTCTGCAAAAAAGATTATAACAAAATATGTAAACAAAGTATATGACAAAGTATACGAAAACAAAGCCTACAAGGTAGTTTTATATCCTTAATGGAGTGCCGATAGTGTTATAACAAGTTACAAAGTGTTGCTCGATAGTGTCTAGTAAGTGTCTAGTAAGTGTCTAGTGTTGCTCGATAGTGTCTAGTGTCTAATAAGTGTTGCCCTATAGTATCTAGTGTCTAATAAGTGTTGCTCGATAGTATCTAGTGTCTAATAAGTGTTGCTCGATAGTATCTAGTGTCTAATAAGTGTTGCTCGATAGTATCTAGTGTCTAATAAGTGTTGCTCGATAGTATCTAGTGTCTAATAAGTGTTGCTCAACTATCTCGCTCTGCTCGATAGTGTGTCGTAAGCGTTACTCGATAGTGTCGTGTCTATAACTCTTCGTCAACACTTTTGCTTGGTTGTTTCAACTTTGTTTGCACTTTCTATCGAAACAGAGTTTTCGTCTCCAAAACATCTTTACTACAAAAAACCTTATCAACCATAGTTACAAATAGAATCAAATTTAAACGGTAAATATAGTTATTATTTTCAAATAAAACTTTATAAAAATATATTCACGCAATAGCTTGACACTATCTCGCTCTGTTCAATAGTGGAGCAACACTTTGTACCTTGATATGTTGATATGTACCCCGGAAAAATGACTTTGTATCTTCTTGTTTGTGGATTGCCTTTAGTGCATATAGCAACATGTGCTATTTTACGAGACAATTGGTTCCATGTCATTATATTCTTTTCCCTTGTTCCTTTTTGCAATTCTTTTGCGTAGTATTCTCCAATGTTGCATCCAAAGTTGATGGGTGCAAAAAAAAAAAAAAAACTAACGGGTTTGACTTTTGACCTTAATTTTGATTTCCGAGTAGGTCACCATATTAAAAGTCACGAGAGAGCATTTCCTAATGGAAAACTTTTTCTTTGCAAAATCTTATTTGTACCTATCTATTGTTTTTATTTTTCATATACCCCAATTACTTAAAATACCTTGTATTCCTGACCTCCCCTAGAGAGCCAAAGAAAATAATACCAGGGTGAAAAAAAAATTTCTTCAAAAATAATACCACCATGAATAAAAATTCTTCAAAAAAATAATACTCTTTTGAAAAGGTTAATTTGTAGCTAGGCGGGACCTAAAAGACATGCTCGTAACTTAAATGGGTGGTTACAACGCTCGTTTTGAAATGGGGAGGATTCAGATAATATCATACCACTTCAAATTGAGTTGGCTTCTTCTTTTTTTGGTTCATTTTTTTTTATTTTTTTTGAAAATTAAGTGGGTCTGATTTCGTAAACTTTCATTGCTAAAAGATCAACTTTACTCGTGAGAAAGTTTATTACGACTAGATGAAAAGCTACGTTTGGTCACTTTCTTCCAGTACGAAATACAGTTTTGGGAAAAATCGTTTTGAATTCAATATAAATACACCACGATGTTCTTGTTTCGAATGGATAGTTCAGAAACGTTTTCTACAGCTAATTCACATTAAGAATGTATTCCCCAAACCTATTGTCGCTCGCTTTAATATTCTTAGGTGTAGCTGATGCTACTTCTATATCAACATCTGAAATCGTCAGTGTACCTAATGGTGATGGTAACTATTGCGATTATGCAAACACTTTTGGATTAAATCCAACAGGATACGATTGTTACGGCGTTGATGTTCCTTATGATATTTACTCCACTGACGAGTTGGATTTGCAAGATTCCCTTTCAACGAGGGAAGACTTTGCTGGTGAAGTTGAAGAAAGTACTCTCGATACCAGGACATTGAAATACTACCCAAAGATGGATTTCAAGGTTAAAAAAGTTCAAAGGGTTGATGACAAACATTTCAAGATTACTTATTACTGTAAGACTCATTATGATCCTATTTCATTTTTGTCATACGTCAAAAAATCCTTGATTCAATGTACTTGTTTGTGCTTAGGCTCAAAATATATGACATCAGTCAAGATTCATGGTGACAAGGCACCATACAACTACAATAACCCATTTGACCACGAAGCTTCTGTTATTGTTTTACCAAGCTACCACGACGGCTACTACTGTTTACCAGATGATTTTGCAATTGAGTATGATATTCAAGACAAGAATTGCGGATGGGTTGATATCTTTGAGAAGAAGTTCAAATTTGTTTGCAAGAAGATTCACTTTATTAAATCTCTTAAATCAAAGAGAACATTGAAAATATTATCAGCATTCTTCACAAAATTCTCAGCCCTTAAAGATAATAAATACAGAACTACTGACTTAACTTTGCCTAATTATTGTTGGAAAGCACCTAGCTGTGATGCATACAAACCAGCTACAGTAGTAGAGCCAACTACTGTGGTAGAACCAACTACAGTAGTGCCTGTTGTAGAGCCAACTACAGTAGAACCTGTTGTAGAGCCAACTACAGTAGAACCTGTTGTAGAGCCAACTGAACAACCTGCTGAAGAACCTGCTGAAGAACCTGCTGAAGAGCCTGCTGAAGAACCTGCTGAAGAGCCTGCCGAAGAACCTGCTGAAGAGCCTGCTGAAGAACCTGCTGAAGAAGAACCAACTGAAGAAGAACCAACTGAAGAAGAACCAACTGAAGAAGAGCCAACTGAAGAAGAACCTGAAGAAGAGCCAACTGAAGAAGAGCCAACTGAAGAAGAGCCAACTGGAGAAGATGACATTATTACCGAGGAAACTCTGGTACCTACTACAGCTGAAGTATATGAACCTTCATTCACTACTATTACAATTACTGATTGCTCTTCTGAATCCGATGGTTTAACTACATACTACGAATGTTATACTGAGATTGAAGAAGAAGTACAGCCAGTTAAACCAGCTAAAACAATCATCACTGTTATTGAAAGTGCTCCATGTACCATTGTCGAATCCGAAGACGTGGTTACCAAGACTGTCACCGAGGGTGGTAAAGCTCAAGAGGTCTATGAAACAGTTACTAAAACTATTACCTTAGATGGTGATACTACCGCAGCAGTTGCCCCAGCAGTTGTTGTTCCAGCAGAAGTAGACGAAGATTACACTGTAACCGAAATGGTTACAGTCTATGTTACTGAAACCGCTGCTGATGGATCAGTAACAGTTTACCCTGTTGAGACTGCCGCTGCTGTTGCTCCAGCTGCTGTTGCTCCAGCTGATGTTGCTCCAGCTGATGTTGCTCCAGCTGCTGTTGCTCCAGTTGAGGTTGCTCCAGCTGAGGTTGCTCCAGCTGATGATGTTGCTCCAGTTGATGTTGCTCCTGCAGATTTCGCTCCTGCAGATATTGCACCTGCAAGTGTATATGAAGGAGCTGCTTCTAGTAACGTTAACAGTTTGAAAGCATACATTACTTGTGCTTTTGGATTGGTTTTCTTAGCCTTCATTTAAATTGACAATTGTTGATACCCCTTGATCAAAAGAATAGTTTTGTTTCATTATGATCAAACAGAGTTCAATTTACTACTTTCATTTATTTTCGGTTAATGATTGAAAAATCAAAGAATATGTTAGAAGTTTTCGACTGGTGTATTTTTCACAACTTTTATTATTTCGCTTTTGATTAAGAGGTGTTTGTTATTTTTTTTTTAAAGAAACAAGTCTGTTTATAATTATATTTTTTATTTTGATTTAACGCCTATTATGATCTTTTCCTTCTTCTGTCCCTCTTTCCCTTGACCATGTGTTCTGAATACAGAAAATAATATGACAAAATTTGTACACATCATTGACTCATGTTGGAATTCACCAATAATAATAATATTATTCACAATTACAAAAAAAAAAAAGAAAGTTATAAATGAACCACCTCTACAGTCTAATAAATGCTACCGTTCAAACTGAGTTACATTTACTTCACCCAATCTGAACTGATAGTCGCCCACTGGTTGTTTCCGTAAAAATTAGAAATACGTCAAAATACCTCGTAAAATATTAGACCTCGTATTTTGATACATTATACATTTAGTTTTTCCGAGTTATGTATGATTTCTTAACTACTTTTGCGATACTAAGGAGGTACACCCCCTATTTTTTTAGAAGAAGCAAGGCTTTTATTAAATCCGAGCACATTTGTTTTGTGTTATCACTATGTTTTTCCAGAGTGTGTTGTGGGATGATGGAAAGACAGTGTTTGTTTTTTCAGAGACAAGTGTCCCAAGCCAATTGTAAAGACAATCTACGCCAGTTACTGCCACAATTGCAAAACCGTGTTGGCTCGCTTCTTGCTTTCATATCAGTATAATGCAATATACACGTATTCTCTTAGATACAAAATAGATGTATCTAAATACCACATTCAGATGAGTTGGAATCCGTTTCATTCTTGATAATCTCTTATAACTTTTGTAATGAGAGAAAGAAAAAGTCTACTGAAACACCTTCAAATAGGTCAAAAAACTGGTTGTATAAAGTTCTTGTACAAGTATACCACCTAACACAACAGCAACAAATCTCGGAATTTTGGAGTAACTCATATTCGTTTTCAAACAAATATTTTGCTAATATTCTAAAAGAAGTTGATATTATTATAAAATACCTACCTAATCCAATGACTAAAAGACCATTTTGATTTCATCTGCTAAAACTCAAACAAATTTACAAAGAAATACTGACATTATCTTAATAGTTCATTATTCTCCAAATCCAACTTTAAATAGAATTTTTATTTTATCATTCAATCTTCTCTAATAACTTATTTACTTTTCATCTCCTTCTTTCGTTTTTAAAGGCTCTCTGGTATTTTTTGTTCTAGGCCAAAGTGAAGGCAATCTAACCACCTGAAACCTTGGTTCTACGCATCTTTCAATAAACCAGGTCCTCAATCTGTTTTCAACCAACGAAGATATTTTTGGTACATCTTGCAACTTTGCTCTAGACCCAATTAAAGATTTAACAACAAATTCCAATCTATAATCAGGAGAAAATGAAAACATCAACGCGGTGCCAGCACCACCAGCACCAGCACCGATAGTATTTTTATCATCATCGCCTCGTTCTTTGTTTGCATTTCCGTTCGGTATTGCGCCACGAATGGACTCGTGTTTTATCTGATCCAACATAAATTCTTGATCATTAGTGTTGATTAAAGAGACGGTTAAACACCCGGAAAACCGAACTATAGAAACAGTTAAAGAAACTGGTAAAACTGCGGTTGACGGTCTTGGGTGGTTTAGCAACAATTTTGTTTCTACACCCAATGTCAATGTGTCCGACAAATCAACGTCGATTTTCGCCTCTAGCCTTCCAGTGTCTTCATTGCTATGCTTTATTCTGCAATTCGAAAAAATTGGAAAATCATCGCCAACATCAATTTCAGTGAGAGTGATCCTATCTAGGAATTCCGGTAATTCGCTGTTATCAAGAAAGTTATTTAATGAGTGATAAATGTTATCGGCTAGTAGAGCTTCCGTCCTCAAATGTGATATTGTCTGTGCAATTAGTACGTTAAACCAATCCAAGGATTCCGAGGCGTGATTATTTACATCATAGTAGGTTTTCTCCAAAATACTAGAGACTTTGGCCTTATTGTTAAGTAATCTTTCATCTTCCGTTGATGATTCCAATAGCTTTCCGGGGCTCAGGTATCGATCTCGCTTGTGCAAAGGTTTCTTATCTCTTTTGACTATTACGCCTGCAGCATCCTCAGCTATCGTCTTCGACAGGGAGGCCGTAGAGTCTGCAAAGACAAAGAATTTGATGAAAACAACTATAATCAATATAATGCTTAGTTGACCAATGACTAGTCCTTGGGTGAAGCCCCAGTTATAGTTGGGCAAGAACGCAGTGTGCGAAGCTTGTAAATGCTGATGCCGCTGCTGTTCTTGCTGCTCCTGAATGAGCAAATCACGTTGTTGCTGTTGAAGAAGTAACTCACGTTGCTGTTGAAGAAGCTCCTCCTGCTGAATCTTCAATTGATGCTGTAACTGAACCAAATGCTTAGGCTCTATATCCTCGCCATCCTTAAATTCCAAAGAAGGCACTTCAAGAAATGTGTCAAAACCACTCATCACTGACTCTTTTGCCTTGTTAAATCAGAGTTATTCAAAGCTATATCTCTTATCTCATGGGGGGTTCTTTTTTTTATATTTTTGAAAAATTTTGGTGCATACAAATTATATATACATACAGAAAAAAAAAAAAAAAACTATAAATTATCAACTTACTCAATAAGCTTACAAGATTTTCTTTTTTGGAGTCCTTTTTATAGTGGAAGTCTTTTTTGGCGTTGTGCTTTTACTACTGCCAACTGCCTTGACTGGTGTTGTATTTTCTATGACGGTATTAATACCACTGGCACTGGAACTGGAACTGCTTCTCCTTCTAGCCTTTCGAACAGGTTTAATTACAATAGGCTTTATCTCTTCATCTGAAACTTGATCGAGGTAGTCTTCACCTTGTATCCACTCTAAAATTGCCTTTCCGGCATTATTCAACTCCTTATTGGCGTTGCCGATATACTTTGATGCAAAATCGGTTAATGGTGAGCCACTCTTGTTCGATATGGAATCTTCGAAATCGCTTAGGGATCCACTACTGCCCCCACCATTTGCAACAAAGTTTTGTTTGCTTTGATTCTCCAAGTATCGCTGGACATTAAATTTTTTCCCTCTCATAAACTGTCTAATCTCAAAATACAAATCGCGACTAACATTGTTTATATTCAGTTTATTTTTCATCCAATAGGTTCTAAAGTCATTGATGTGCTTTTTAAATTCCAACTCATTTTTCTTGAGCCAACTCACATTCAATTCTTCTCTAGTTGCACCTCTGGCAAAGTTTCTCATTAAGTACTTGTCATAGTCTCGTATAATCTTTGTTATTATATCGGACGTTGAAATCCCGTCAGTTCTTTGAGTCGTGAGGAACTTGCCTTGCTCTTTGATTGGTTTATAAATATCGTCGCTATCGGCGCTTGCGTATGGCAAATCATCATGCGCCACATAATCGATTTTGTGCTCCTCTAAAAACTCAGGAGTAACACACCAAGGCGCATCGGCAATCACCTCGTCTACCCATTTACAATGTTTCAAAGTTTCGCATCTTTGTTCATCTGTCAAAACTGTCAAACCTTTTCTTTTGTGTGTTTCCTTATCTGAAGGAACTCCACAAACTAGCTCAACATTGTCAAATGCCTTCTTAGCTTGTTCGAGCTGTTTCATGTGACCCAAATGAAATAGGTCAAACACACCGTCAGCATAGATTCTTATTGGTTTATCGTTTGGAGGGATATTGAAACGATATCCTCTAGGCCTAAACTTCCTGTACTCTGCCGGCAATTCTGCATCCAATTTCCTTTCCTTTTCTTCAAACTGCTCTTCTTCTTTAGTCCTTGTTTTCCTTTTTTTAGTCACTCTTTTCTCCTCGTCAATATCACCGCCCCTGTTACTATTTTCCCCGCATTCCCCTTGGTTATCATCGCTACTTGATTTGCCTAAATCGCTTCCTTCGTCAAGCCCTCTCTTTTTCTTATTTCGCTTGAATAACGAAGAGATTGAATCCATTGATAGTGTCCTTGTAAGTGGCGCATCATTGGTCTCCTTTTCAATGGCCTTTTTCCTAGTTAATCTCGCCATCTGGGGTTACTATCTCTAACTTTGTCAAACCCGTGTGTTCTGCCCAGCTCAAGTAAACGTCACTTGCCTGTTGAAAGCTAATATATATAGATATATAATTGCTGTCAAGATGTAATGTGATTGTTTCAGAATCATAACTTAAAATCTTGAAGATTGTCGGATATCTAAAATATTTTCTTGCGACATTTCATTTGTCTAATTTCCACGACATTAATTTATTAAAATAGACGAGATATGAAAACACACTTTATGATGAAGACAAGATGGAATCATTTCAAAAGTATTTAAGAGTGGTTCAAAGCTATTCATGAGCAGTTTCCTGGTGTATATTTGTATAGTCTGTAGCTTCAAATTTAAGTTGTAAAATCATGAATCGCAAGCATTCTATCACAGACGTAAAGACTATCAAACCAGCTGAGTTGTATCCTTGGGTACGCAACAACAATTCGCCACATGGTAAGTTTGTTGTTGTTGATGTTAGAGATGCGGATTATGCTGGCGGACATATTCGTAATTCCTGGAACCACACTATTGTAAAATTTCATCTAAAAAATGCTTCGGAGCTTCACGAGCGATTGTATTGTGAGAGGGTCAAGGCGGTTGTGTTTCACTGTTCGCTTTCGCAGTCGAGAGGTCCTAGAGCAGCATTGTTGTTTTTAAGATCACTCGATCATATAAAAGATAAACAATTGAAAGACTATTTTGAAAATGATGTGCATATTTATCTTCTTATCGGTGGGTTTGCAAAATGGCAAGAGCTATATGGCAACGATCCTGATGTGACCGAGGACTACGACCCCGAGATCTGGAGACAAACCATGAGCATTTAGAGGCGACTAACAAAGCCGAGATCTGGAGACAAACCATGAGCATTTAGAGGCGACTAACAAAGCCGAGATCTGGAGACAAACCATGAGCATTTAGAGGCGACTAACAAAGCCGAGATCTGGAGACAAACCATGAGCATTTAGAGGCGACTAACAAAGCCGAGATCTGGAGACAAACCATGAGCATTTAGAGGCGACTAACAAAGCCGAGATCTGGAGCAAAAAACCATAAAGTAACAGAGGCGACCACAAAGCCGATATCTAAGTAATGATCCTGAGTTGACCGAACCCACTACAAAGCCAGATACCTGGGCAATGATATCTGGCAATTTGGATCTTAAGTTTAATCGTTGTTTTTTTTTACAAAAAATACAAAAATAATCTTTATTCTTTTCCTCATGCGTTATACTCTATCTATCATTAAAGTTTTTAAGAAAAATAATAAGCTAAATTAAACTATCAGTGTTAGGGTCAAAGACTTTCTGTGGTTGTTGATTATTCTGGTTGAAAGAGGTAAATTGGTTATTAACCAGAAAATAACCAGAGAATGGGTTGGTCGACTGAGACTGTAATGGTTGCTGGGGCGTCTGTTGTATCGAATATGCACTTTGCAGTCCCACACTTTGCAGTCCCGTTGCCATTTTCACAAACGGGTTTGTGGATTGTGGCTGCAATGGTTGCTGAGGGAAAATTTGCTGGCTCTGGCTCTGGCTCTGCAGTGTTTGCAAATGCAGAGGCCCTGTTTTGGATGGTGAGAAAGGATTAGTGTTTGATCTCGCTAAATCCATAACTTGTGATTGTGTATACTGCAATGGGATGGTTTGTTGCAATGACTGCTGGGTGGAATTTTGCATGAACGGATTTGTATTCTGTGGTTGCAATGGCTGAGGACTATAACCACCAAACCCATAACCTGTGTATGAAGGTTGAAACGAAGAGGGTTGATACTGTTGACCCTGGATAATTGAGGGTAAAGCACTCAAATGCAGACCAGTTTGTTTCAATTGAGCTTGCTGCTGAGCTTGAAGTTGCGCCTGTTGCTGAGCTTGAAGTTGCTGGGCTTGTTGTTGTGCCTGAAGCTGCGCCTGTTGTTGAGCTTCCTGCTGAGCTTGTTGTTGTGCCTGAAGCTGCGCCTGTTGTTGGGCCTGAAGCTGTGCTTGTTGTTGTGCCTGTTGTTGTGCCTGAAGCTGTGCCTGTTGTTGAGCTTCCTGTTGAGCTTGAAGCTGTACCTGATGCTGAGCTTGTTGCTGAGCTTGTAACTGAAATGGATCAGCCGATGTCTGTATATAACTTTGATTCTGAATAGGTACATATAAATTGTTCCACGGGTTGTACGTTTGTTGTACTATTAAGGAAGCATGTCTGTCTCCTTTGTTATTATCAGTTTCTGATGGTGATTTGCTAGCACTTGTTTTACTATCATTAAACATCTCCTTAACATGATTCTTTTGTTGTGGTCGTTTTGTTTCAGCACTATTCCCTTTATTATTTTTTTCCTCCAAATACTGCCTTCTATTCATTTCGAAATTCGGGTCATCTAAATATTCTTCCAATGAGCTAGTTAGCGCAGTCGGGGCATGTTTTATCGTGGGGACATGTAATTTGGTGATATACTCTAAATGCTTGGCTACGCGCAAGTAATCAATAACGAATTTAGTTTGGTCGACGAATTTTTTGTAAATTTTCAAGGATCTTTCGGCATCGTATTTGGACATTTCAAAATAATGCTCCAAAATATTGATAACACCCTCATTTAGTTCCTGAAATAGGGATAACAAATCATTGACTAACAACCTAAATGCTGTTAATATAATTTCATTATTGATCTCATTCTCCACAAAACTATTCTTGAGTAAAGAGTCTATCTGCTTTTGTACACTCTCACTTTCCCTCAATAAACCCTTTTCTACGCTAAGAAAACGTAACCTGCCGCCTTGTTGGGAAGAACTGTTGTTTGTCCTCTCGTCTCTTACATAGTCAATTCCAGTAGCGTCGAATTGCTTGACTCGAGTAGCGAGATATTTCGCGTACTTGATAATAAACCTAACGTCGGCATTTGCACCACTTCCGTGAGTAATATTGCTCTGTGACAAATTCAACATTGAATGTCCCAGGTCTGCCAAATACCTCAAAGTGACATCCCTCTCGCCTTCTCGAATCATCAAGTGTATCACAATAAGGGATTTGTAAACTACAGACCAAGCGCTATCACGCAATCTCTGTTGCAAAGTCCTCATAATCGTATGAAAGTTATCGTTCGATATCGCCGAATGGTTGTTTGACGTAGCCATTAATATCGGCTCTATGTACTTGGGTTTGGGCGCGGCAACCTTGAGCTTGGTTGCTCCCTTGACAATTTTCTCATATGTAGTCATGGCAAAAAAGGATACAAGAGTGTAGGCGCCTACTGCAGATGCAATGCAATCTTGCAGACAAAAAGATGCTTTGTTAAACAAGGTAATTAAAAGAGGTTCGGTTCTTATGGATTACAAATTTTTAGATTTTCTCTCCTTCATTGAATAAAAAAATTGCCCAAACAATTCTTCAACTTGAGGGGACACCATCGAGTAAAGCGACGACACTATCGAGCGAAGCGAGATAGTGGAGCTCCACTGCCTATAAGGGGACACCATCGAGCGAAGCGACGACACTATCGAGCGAAGCGAGATAGTGGAGCTCCACTGCCTATCAGGGGACACTATCGAGCAGAGCGAGATAGCGGAGCACACTGGCTACAACACTATCTCGCTCTGGTCGATAGTGGAGCACCATTGACTATCAGGGTGTGGACCATCTAATAGCACTCTTCCCTTTGTAGTCGTAGAGATAGCGGAGCACACTAGCTACAACACTATCTCGCTTCGCTCGATAGTGGAGCACACTGACTACACCGACACCATCTTGCTTTGCTCGATAGCGGAGCACACTAGTTGACACCGATACTTTTGCCCTTTTCTTCACGTCACCATTCTATACCTTCTTCCTCGCCCTTTTCTGTGCCAAACCCGTGTGTTTTAAACTTGGTTGCATGTTTAAATCACTTTATCACATCTATTTTCACGAGCCATCTATTTACAGATTTAAATCATAAACTTCATAATCCTCCCGACACTATCGAGCGAATCAGGATAGTGGTGCACCAGCTGCCACCGATACTATCGGCACTGTCAAGCAGATCGACGACACTATCGGCACTGTCGAGCAGATCGACAATACTATCGAGCGAATCAGGATAGTGGTGCACCAGCTGCCACCGATACTTTTGCCCTTTTCTTCACGTCACCATTCCATACCTCCTTCCTCGCCCTTTTCTTCACATTACCATTCCATACCTCCTCTTTGTCTAGTCCATTTTTGTGCTACTCGGTGACGCTCACTGAACTATAGCCTATTACTACTACAAACTCCCCCCTCCCCCTCTCCATATTCTGCCCAGTCTCTTTCTCTTCTCTCTATAGACTATCTCTCTCTTCTCTTTATAGACTATCTCTCTCTTCTCTTTATAGACTATCTCTCTCTTCTCTTTATAGACTATCTCTCTCTGCTCGATAGTCTAAATTTTCTACTTTGCCTTTATGCCACCTCTTTTCTCCAAAAAGTCTTTTGCTTCATTCACTTTTGTAGCCAAAAAAGATGACCCTCCCTTATCCGGATGATTAGCCATCATCAACTTTCTGTGATGCTCCTTTAATTTCAACTTGCTCAAATTTGACTCTTTCAAGTTCAAAATCTGTAAGGCTTCTTTTGCACTCATCTTGGCGCCAAACCCCCCAGTGTAAAAAGCCTTCCCATTTAGCCCAGGACGATTGGTCTTGAATAAACCGGAAGCAAGGTATACAATAGTGAGTCCACTAAGGCCAGTTATCCAAGGATGATTTCCCATCCAATTTATTCCTTGATCAAAGTACCATTCAAAAGATCCTTCAACAGCTTGTTTCTTCTGAAGCTGTCCCGTATACCGATATTGCTCTCCCGATGGTCCCTGCTGACTGCTGTCGCCTGGTATCGGAAGTGTAGGTACCTCCATAGATGACATTGTTCCTCCTGTTTTTAATCTTGGAAATGAAAAATTGGGAAAAGCCTTCTCCAAAAAAGAAAATAAAAAAAATTGTGATGGAGGAGAAAAAAAAAAGTGAATAAATTTTATAGTAGGGGAATATCTCATCTCATCTCATCTCATCTCATCTCTTCTCTTGTCTTGTCTTGTCTTGTTATCTCTTCTCTTGTTATCTCTTCTTATTGACAAATTGGGATACACAATCGGTGTAATACGGGTTTGACATAGCAAGAAGGTTTACAGAATGAGAATATATCAGTGTCATTTTTGCTCATCGCCGGTATATCCGCTTCATGGAATAACCTTTGTTCGTAATGATGCTAAAGAATTTAGGTTCTGTCGTTCCAAGTGCCACAAAGCATTTAAACAACGTCGTAATCCTCGTAAGTTGAGGTGGACCAAGGCTTTCAGGAAAGCAGCAGGGAAGGAATTAGTTGTGGACTCGACCTTGACGTTTGCTGCTAGAAGAAATGTTCCAGTTAGGTATAATCGAGATTTGGTGGCCACGACCTTGAAAGGTATGAGCAGGATTGAAGAAATTAGAAGAAGAAGAGAAAGGGCCTTTTACAAGAATAGAATGAAGGGTAATAAGGAGAGGCAGTTGGCTGCAGATAGGAAGTTGGTTGAAGATAATCCCGAACTATTAAGATTGAGAGATGTCGAATTGAAAAGAAAAGCCGAGAAACAAGCTGCCAAAGAAAACGCTATTGAAGTGGAAGAGGAAGTGGAAGTGGAAGAAGAAGATGAAGATGAAGACTTAATGAGTGTAGATGAAGATATGGAAAGCGAAGATGAAGAAGAGAAAGAAAAGGTTAAACAGAAGGTGTTATTAAAAAACAAAAAAAAGTCGAGAAGATAAACTTACTGAAAAAATCTACGGCGTGGCATCTATAACAGACGACGATATGAAATAAGTTGGTCCTATTTGATTAGAAAGTTGCTCATGTATACCAAATTTCTTATTTATTTTTCATCAACTCTATTAATATCAATATTATTCTCATTTTCATACTTGTAATTCTCTGGCAAATACAATTGATGATACTTTTGCAATCTTTTCTTCCACCATTTTCTTGAATCCTTCCTATTGATTTCCTCCAAATATAAATCGTCCTCGTCCTCGCATTGTTCGTCTTCCGGCTCCTTCTTGTTGTACTCCTTGAAATCTCCATGCACATCAGCAGTTTTTGATGACTTGATCATCTGCATCTTAATCTTGTTCTCATTTTTACTTTTCTCCCAGAGATACTCACTGCCCATATTCAAATCCTTCAACACAATTTCTCGCGTTCTTCCAAGTGATTCAATATCGCCAATACGATCGATTGTATCGCTCAATAATTGATCAAAATGTGGCTGTGATGCAATTTCATGAAACGCTCTCATCATAGGAACAGAATCAGCACGCACTCGAGATTCGGAATCTATGGTAAAAATATTAAGGTTATCGTACTTTTGAATATAATCGGCTCTAGTCATTACCTGACGTGCTCTCCAAAGTGGCAATTCCGGTAAATGATGATCTGCTCCATCAACTGCTTTACCGTCGGTAATTATTGCGTTCATTTGTTTCCGATCCATCTCCACAAATTCTCTCATCAATAACATTGCACTAGCGGAGAATTTTCCACTTTCCATAACATCATCATCCATATCCATACCCAACAACCCACATTGGTTCAAGTACCATGTCTTTTCCCTGTCTATTATCTCATGGCAGGCTTTAATAATATCACTGTGGCGCGCAACTTGAGTGATGTGTTGTGGTCTGCCTCCAATCAAATCGTAAACAACATTACACACATCATCCTTGATAGTTGGGTCTTTGGGAAAATACCTATGTCTAATAAACTTTAAAGCGTTGATGGTTTCGTATCTATTGAAATCCCTTACATTGATCAACTCAAGTCTAGTCCCAAGTTGTTTCAATTTTTCATATACCCAGTAATCATCGCTATTGAAAATCATAGTCAACAATCCTGATCCACTCAATGCCTCGGCTTTTTGTTGCAATAGTTCAAGAAGCTTTACCCCTTCTTCATTTTCCTTGATCAAATGAGCATTGTTTATTATTAAAATTAAGGGGCGATGCAATTTGCTAATCCTATTAATAGCCAATTCTTCCAATTTGCTAAATGCACGCTCGATATCCAATAAAGCCGTTGTATCTCTAGGACCTCTTATCGAAAACAAAGATCCAATATAATCTTCATTAAACGTAAAGTTCAATGCTCTCCCTAGCCTTATTCTGAAAATCTCGGGATCAGCATGAGCGTCGAATATAGCTACATTGAATCCATTAATCTTTTTCATAGCATCCATGATCAATGATGTTTTCCCCGTGCCTTTTTCCCCAATAATCAAAAAATACCTCCCGATAATCTTACCTGCAATTATCTCATCGATGAGTTTTTGTTGAGGCCGATCCACCCAAAAAACAGACAGGTACGAATCGTTTGTCCTTTTATGCATGGCAATTTGTGCCGCGGGGTCTCCTTTCTCAAATGCCTCGTTCATTTTGCGAAGTACATGTTCATTATAGATTCTGTGGTAGAGAAACCCGGCAAACCCAACAACCGCTACCGAAGAGACCGTTATTCCTATAGTCTCGAGACATTTCATTAGGAACGATTTGAATCGAACAAACTTGCTTTCTTTACCATCGTTTTTTCCACCACCACCACCTCCTCCTCCTCCTTTAGCTCCTCCCCCCTTTTTCTTGTTTTCTCCTTCTTCTTCTTCTTCTTCCCTCAAGTCTTGAAGAAAACTCTCAATAATTTGGTTAGACCTGTGTATCCTGGAACAAATAAAATTCCTCTTGGGAATAATAGTTCTTAGTCCTATGGTAGGTCGGAATATCAATTGTCTCATCTCAAAACTTCAAAGGAAAACGCACCAAAAGCAAAAAAAAGCAAAAATAACTCACATAAAGCTCAAAAGCAACGTCAACACTTCCTGCCCTTCACAACCTCTATGCTACCCACTAACAAGTCAATGGCTTTTTCAATGGGTGCAAAATTTCAACCTAGACAAAGAATTGAAAGATCGCGATGGAGAGCTGAAACTCGCACGACTCAAATGGGCATCGTCAAAAAAAAAAAAAGAGAGAGAGGGAGGGAAGGGTTAATGAACCTTTATCATCTTTGATCATTTTCATTATTGAATTCAAGCCTTATTAGACATGTCAGAGATCCAACCGAGACAGGTAACGTATTGTGGAGTATGCAGCTGGCCACCTGAGTTTTGCGAATTTGGGATTCTGCAACAAAAATGCCAGCAATGGCTAGAATCTAGTCATCCTGACCTTTATTCTTTGCTTTATGGAGATGCTCATCTCGCCTCAAAAACACTGTCTTTATCAATTGACCAAAACAACAAAATTCAACAAGACATAGCCAAGAAGCAAGCTAAGGAACAACTTAAGCAGGAGAAGGAACTAGCCAAGAAGAAGTCGTCTAAAATCACAATAAAGAGAATTGAACGGAATAAAAGAAAACATATTATATCAATTAGTGGACTTGAAGTGTTTCAAATTGACTCAAAGAAATTGGCTAAAACTTTTGCTAGTAAGTTTGCAACTGGGGCTAGTGTTGTTAAAAACGCTGAAAAGTTGGATGAAATATTGGTGCAGGGGGATGTCAGTGATGAGGCTAGGGCGTATATTGAGCAATTGTTGAAGGATCAACAAGGGTTGGAGGATGTCAAAGTAGAACAAATTGACGAGAAAAAGAAGAAGAAAACTGCTGAAGCCACTGCCACAGGTGGTGGTGGTGGTGGTGGTGGTAATGACAGATAAAAAAAATAAAAATAAAATGATAAGAATTGCCATGAAGTCCATGTCACGAATATGTGAATCGTCATGGAGTATAAATAATACAATAAATATATAAATATACATATGTATATATATATATATTTCTAAGTGGCGTTTCTTTTCTCTATAAAGCTCAACCAGTGTAGTATGTAATACATTTCTAAGTGATAGATACGAATCTAGGTATAGATACAAATCTAGGTGATTAACTTAGATATTGAGACTTTCTCTTCTTCGGTCTCTTTCTTCAACGTATTGATCCCAGGTAATCGGATATCTAAATTGACTCCATTCTTATTAATAGCATTGTTATTATTATTATTATTATTATTGTTGTTGTTGTTGTTGTTGTTGTTGTTGTTGTGATCTTGTATGCTCAAAGACCCGAACTCATTAACTGATCCCACATTAGGTATACAATTTGGTCCACTACTCGGCGATTCTTCATCGGTGCAAGTTATCGTACCTTGAGTGATTTGTGCAATACTGGGTAAAAGCGGAGACTTTTCTGGTGTCGAAGAATTGGTAATCGATGAGCGAGGATTTGTAGCCGAAGCGTTGTATGTTGATGCAACGGAGGGAGACCTCCCTATAATGGATTTTGGCGGTGATAGTTTTGTCAGAAGTTCGGGAGTGGTAGATACAGTGATTTGTGGTATGTTTATTGGCACAATAGGCGGTAATTTAACGCCTGCTGAAGAGTCTGTATTAATGTTAGTGGAGCCGGCGCCAATGCTGGTAATGGCTGTTTGGGTTGTAGTCGTGGAAGTAGTTGTTACTGCTGGTTGTGGTGGCTGTTTGACATTAATGCTCTGAGAAGCTATTGTTGCTGCGCTTGCGGCTGATGATGTCAACGGTGTTAATGATGGTTGTTTTTGACCTCCAGAGGGAACTTTTGGCAATAGCTGTCCTGGTTTTGCTACTGCTGCTGCTGCTGCTGAGGAGGAGGAGGAGGAGGATGCGGAAATATGTGCTGATGATGAGGATGCGGATGATTTGAGTCCTTGTGGTAATGTAGGCGCAAGAGTTGAGGTGGAATTGAATGGAGGTGGAAGTGTTGATGACTGCAGTTGTGGTATGGATAAAGATGGTGCGGCAGTTATTATAGTAGTGACATTTTGTGGGACGGCCAACACTTGTGGTTGCGGTTGTGGTTGTGGTTGTGGTTGTGGGTGTGGATGAGATGTTCCTGTAGCAAGTGACGAAGTTGGTGCATATACTACGGATCCTGTACTTGTTAGGACTGGTACTAACGGACCATAGGGAGAATGGACCACTGCTGGAGGTGGAGGCGGAGGTTGTGGAGCTAGCTGTACATTTGGTGGTAGTTGTGTTTGGAATTGTTGAGCTGCTTGTTGATTTGGTGTAGGCATCATTGAAGACATAAGTTGCTGGCCATGTCCAGTAATAGTAATCATGGAACCTTGAGGTGGTTGGAATTGTTGTTGTTGTTCTAGCTGTATTTGCTGCATTTGTTGTTGTTGTTGTTGTTGTTGTCGCTGTTGTTGTTGTTGTTGTCGCTGCTGCTGCTGTGAGTGTTCTCCTGCATCTCCACCAACTAGCATTGAATTATCTCCCAAAACTTCCAATTTCTCCTGTCTCATATTTTGATTAAATTGAGCCAATCTAAGAGCACTTCTGGCGTTATTGTCCAAATTTAAATAAGCGCAATGTAGTTTACCCTTGAGGCAGTTTAGACACGATGGTAACGTTTCGTCACATTTGATTCTTCTTTTCTTACAAGTGCCACAACCCAAATGTGAGTTTCTATGCTTTCGTCTTGAGTTTTTCTTCCTACGTGCTATATTGTCTTTTAAATCGGAATCTTCTTTGAAGGACATAGGTGGTGTATTTGAATATACAGTGAGTATTTGTTGTTGTTGTTGCTGCTGTTGTGGTGGCGGCTGCAGAGTAGTATGCATATCAGATGCTATGTAATTTGGAAGTAGAATTGATTGCTGTTGGTTGAAATGGCGGTATGCTTGATGGAATACTGGTTGTTGCGACGGTGGCAGATGTAGCAGCGATATTAGTCTTGGTGACTGCTGTTGCGGCGGCGGCGGCGGCTGTTGCTGCTGTGGGATATTCATTAGTGGCTGATGTAGGGTGTTCATGTTGTTGCGATATGAAGATGACGAGGAAGAAGCCTCCAAGGAACTTAGTCCTCTTGATTTGAAAGCGGACGTCGATGTACCTGTTATTGTGGGGATACTCGGTTTTCTTGGTGGATCCGGATTTTTCAAGGCCTTATTATAGATATCCATCATTTATGGGAATAGGAATATATAGAGCAACACTAGGGAGCAAAGCGAGCTAGTGGAGCAGATGAACAGATTGGGGGGGAGGCAGGTTGTTGCTAATCCTAGAGGGATTACATGTACTAGTGGTGGGAGCGCTGGTATCGTGGCTCCTCTTGGAATGGCTCTTCTTGGGGTGGCTCCTTTTGGGGTGGCTCCTCTTGGAATGGCACTTCTTGGGGTGGCTCCTTTTGGGGTGGCACCTCTTGGGATGGCACCTCTTGTGGTGGCACTTCTTGGGGTGGCTCCTTTTGGAATGGCTCTTCTTGGAATGGCTCCTCTTGGAATGGCTCCCTTTAGGGTTGCACCTCTTTGGTAGCTATGAATGGGATTAACAAAGGATATATACTGTATCCTATCTTATCCTATTCTGTAACCCACACTCTTAATCTTCTCTTGCAAAAGGTATAAATGGGTGTAAGAGTATACAATTATCAGTCAAAGCCTATATATAGTGGGTTTATGAATCCTTTGTAAATTATGGAAAATTATGTAGATACCTGCTTTTTGATGTGTCAAGTGCGTATCTTAGTGCCTCTATGTAAATGTTTATTTATACAAAGTTTCCGAAGCTCTTACTTTTTAGTCGCTCTAAATTTACTGAGAGATATACAACATTATAATGCACATGTATAATGTACCATGTTATATATGTAAAGGTTTTTTTCGACCTGCTTTTTGGTCAGACTGGCAGGGAGAGCAATGCGTCGCCAACGGAAAACCTGGGCTGAAAAAAAAAAATATATATATATATAGACACTATCGAGCTGAGAAAAAATATATATATATAGACGCTATCGGGCAGAGCGAGATTTAGTGGAGCAGTACTGACTAGTGACACCATATTTGGGCTGAGAAAAAAAGAAAAAAAAAATACGAGCTAGTAAATTTTAACAAGAATATGGTTTGAACATTTGGATTGAGTTTAACACATGGGTTTGACTTGGCTCAACGTTTACAAATCAGGCCCACATTGTCTTGTTCCTTAAATAGGTCATCTATTATATCTCTTTTTGTCAATGAAACAATTCCAATAATAAACAAATGATCTATAAATGAGGTATTACTACAATAATGTGGCAAGTCTTAAGTTCAATCAAATGGAAAGCATTTGATAGAGTAGGCAGTAGATATCATTTGATTAATTAGGCAGTAGATATCATTTGATTAATTAGGCAGTAGATATCATTTGATTAATTAGGCAGTAGATATCATTTGATTAATTAGGCAGTAGATATCATTTGATTAATTAGGCAGTAGATATCATTTGATTAATTAGGCAGTAGATATCATATCATCTAAAGACATGTCTACACATGTAGACACACGGATCTTTTGGTATTTCATCCATGAGCTCGCAATTAAATCCATTTTTGGCATAATAATGTAGACTATTTTAAATGTAGTTCTAAATTTGCGAGAGACTGGATACAATAACGAGTGTTATGTAATCCCTTAGGATATGTGCATATAGATTAGATTATGTAATTATTAAAATAAAAAAACAAAAACCCGAAACCAAACCAAAAAAAAAAAACCAGAGTAGTTAAGCCCTGAAAATATCGTAAGTTTATTATTCTCAATAGATGGTAAGCCACTTGACATAGGGGTTTTCCGATTTTTTTTTTTTTTCAACTATATTTTCAAAGTATATTAAAAGCCTTTATGGTTTTCAAGGGACAATCAATCGTAAAGGGCCTTAAAATATACGATTGATATCACAAAAAAAGAAAAGAAAAAACAAACTTTTTAAACACATGAAAAACTTTTATGGTAGCGTTTAGTTTGAGAAAACTTTAAATTTTTACTAATTTATTTAATTGTTATTAGCTTAATTAAGCATAAAAAAATCGAGTCATCCAACTCTCAGTGTTGCTCCTTTTACCTTATTTGTGATAATCCTCATTTATGGTTAATTCCCCTTGTTGTTTTTGATACTCTTGTTGTTGCTATTCCTTGTACCTGTAACATGCACCTTACTATACACTCCTTTTAGTTTGTTGTACTGTGTTAATTACTGGAGCCTTTATGATTTGCTTTGTTTTGAAATTTGTCCCCTGAAGAAAAAAAAGAAAAAAAAAAGGATTTAGTATACAGTATTGTGAGTGTATAATTACCAAGTTTACGGGTAAAGTTGACAGGTGGAGTTTGACAGAGTTTTATTATGTTAAAAAATATACCCCGTAATTTAAAACACCACTATCGAGCAGAGCGATACTATCGAACGACACTATCGAGCAACACTATCGAGCAACACTATCGAGCGACACTATCGAGCAACACTATCGAGCGACACTATCGAGCAGAGCGAGATAGTGGGGCAAACTGACTAGCTTGTTACTCCACTATTGAGCGACACTATCACGGTCTGCTTGATAGTGGAGCACACTGACTAGCTATTACTCCACTATTGAGCGACACTATCTCGCTCTGCTCGATAGTGTCGCTCGATAGTGTCGCTCGATAGAAACTCCTTATAGAAATTCTTACTTTTTATTATTGCCAACCTAGTTTGCCGATATGGGGTCCTGAAACAAGGGATTATTCAGTAAGCAGCCCATTACATTAACAAAAAAAATAGTCTCAATTTTTAGCAAATTATGTCACAACTTTAAAAAATTATAGAGGTGTGACAAAAATATAATAAGAACCTAATCAATTGTCATCCTATCAATAGTAAAAGAGAGTTACCGTGTAGATAAGCGGCTCAGTAACATACTCTAGATACTCTAAATAAATAAATAAATAAATAAATAAAATCTGCATCAATCAAACCCGTGTAAGCCCTTCAGTGCTGCTCGACTATCCCGCTCTGCTCGATAGTGTCGTCGTATGTGTATAATGACTTTGGTAGGTACGTTTCCCATAATGGCATCCAAAAAATCCTATCTCCGTTCCGTTTCTATAAAAAAAGAAGAGCATATACTTTTCTTTTTAGTTGCTGCATGTTGCCATGTATCGTTGCTTTGCATATCCAACCAACAAAGAGATTATTTTTATTTTAGCCAGCATATATAATAGAGGAAAAGAAGAAATATGAAAATAAAACTCAGCCCCATTACCATTCTTAGGTCCCGAAAGAATTTCTCAAAACACATACTGTGTCATACAAATGGTATGTTATTGTCCGAATAACTGGCTATTTCAAGTTGGCAAGATTGCAAATAGCGTAATTGATTCTCGATTCGATTCGATTCGATTCGATTCAATTCAATTCGACTATCGTTTCAACGTCTATTTATAATTGTCACCATACTTTTTAACCAAATGATGTCATTCAAAAATAACACAAACACCAAAAACCACCCTAAAGTAACAAAAATCAAGCTTTGTATTTCAGTCACGCTCTTTGGTACCTTTCCATTTTCTCTTGATTTAATAATATAGTACAGTAGAGCCACGTAAAATCGGATGGGCTTTTTCTTCTTGTTCCCGATCGGATCTCTAACTTTGTAAACTCGTAAAACTTGTCCGTTTCAAATAAGAAGAAAGCTATACAGTTACACAATGTCTTAAATCGATTTGATCTTTGCACTACGTTGCTCTTTGTTTCCCATATACTCGCGTTCCAAAAGGAGGAAAAGGACACTGGTTCTTATTTTGACTCAATTTCAAGCAAAATTCGAAACTAGGGAGCGAAGCGAGATAATGGAGCAGCACTTGGTAGACACTAGGGAGCGAAGCGAGACAGTGGAGCAGCACTTAGTAGACACTAGGGAGCGAAGCGAGACAGTGGAGCAGCACTTAGTAGACACTAGCTCGCTTCGCTCCCTAGTGCTTGGTATAACCAATTTGTGACAAGGTACAATCCACTATGAATATATTGACGAAATTTTTTTGGGTGCAAAATATATTTTTTGCTTCATTCATCACTATCGAGCAGAGTGAGATAGCGGAGCAGTACCAACTAGCTTATAACTTCACTATCTCGTTTTGCTCGATAGTGGAGAAGCTCTGACTAGCTACACGAGTTTGATTGATGCAGATTTTTTTTTTATTCCGTGTAGACTCAGTTAAGGTTAGGTACTACTATAAAGCCTATGTTTATAGACAAATTGTAAATGATTGCCACTGTTTACCTTTTCCGTATCTTTCGATAGACTACTGGTGCTAAATCCTTGTTCTTTATTGATCAAATCAGTTTCCACAACGAGTAGATATAGAGTGTAGAGAGATATAGAGTAGAGATATAGGGTGTAGAGATATAGGGTTTAGAGATATAGAGTAGAGATATAGAGTGTAGAGATATAGAGTATAGAGATATAGAGGGTGTAGTTAATAGACTATCTCGCTCTGTTCGATAGTCATCTATGGGAATTTGATAGTGATTGTCTTGAGTGTTGTAGTCTCTTGTTGAAGGAGTCAGTAATATTTTTTTTTGACTCAATCTCATCGCTTGCGCCGCACGATGAGATGAGATACACCACTAGTGTAAAACCATTCAGTAATCAAACCCGTGTGTACTACCCAAAAATGTCACCTTCCGAGAGACTGGCAGAAGAGGATAAGCAGGACGAACAAGTAATAAATACCTCACATTCTTCTTCTCCGCCGAGTCAACCAGATTTGAAACCTATCAAGAAGCAGAGGAAACCGCAAACTGAAGAAGAGTATCAGTATCAACTTTCACTTTGGGCCAAGACGGGACCTCAGATAAATACAGAGACATGGCTTTATGAAGACCTTGACCGATTAGATAATACAAGGAAGGTAGATCGTCAAAAGATCCTTCATGCTTGTGAAAAGGCATATTATGAACGCGACTGGTTAAAGTGTTTGGAAATGTGTAACATTGGAGAGAAATTGTTTGGTGTTGATTTAAATGCTGTTGGTGAAGAGCTTCGAAGGAATTTTGAGAACAAGGGGAGAAAGACAAAAACCAGTGGGAAGATTGAACGACATATTATTGAGTTGCTCAATATTAAGGAACGATGTTTATCTAGAATAGAAGAGAGAAAATAGAGATGCGTTGATGATGGGTGGATGAAATAGTAGATTTATTCTCTTTTTAACCAAATACGTACTTCAACCGAACTAACCATCCGTTTTCGGTACTCTGTCTCCTTCTTCTCCTCCTCCTCCTCCTCTTCTTCTTCTTCTTCTTCTTCAGATTTCTCTACTCTTCTAAATTCATCAAGCACTTCAACACTGCCAGTAATAATATCTACCCGGTAATTCAAATTTTGAAAATTCATAGCTAGTTTTAAACATTTCTCAATAGTCTTACCCATCCCTTTTACTACTACATACTGTGTCTTCTTATATTGATCATTTTGAAATTTTCTAGGACCCAATGTCCTTGAGAATTTCGATAGCTGTTTCGTAATTCGTTTCACAGCCGATACATATGATGTACTCGATTTTACTAGAAACGTTGAAGCAAATTGCGTTTCCGTTTGAAGTTTAGTTTGTGGACTATGTTTAATATGCTTTTTCCCAGCTACTCGTTTCGCCATTATACAATAAATCTTAGTTCAGTACGGGTATTGCGTTCTTGCTCCTTATGGGGGTGATGTGATCTGTCTTGGTCAGTATTGCGTCGACATCTACTCGCGGTACTCGGCCCAGAAATGCAAACGCGACTGTTGAAAATTTGGCGAGAATGTTTTCATTTTTTATTTTTCAGTCGGCGCGTAATTATTTTTCAAACTTGATCTACTAGGTCATCGAGTCATTGTGAAAAGTTTACTATTCAAAGTTGACATTGAAGGATGAAACGAGGTCGAGAAGAAGATAGCGATGGGGATCAATCCTTTATGTCGTCGCCATTGTCAATTTGTCGGGTGTTCACATTGGAGAACTTTTCACAATCAATACTGACAAAGAGACTTCAGATTCATCAGATACATACGGATGTACATCATAAAACGGTAGAGATGATGATGAATGCGCAATTGCGACTACAACGAGAGGAAGAAGAACAAAAACATAGAGATGGGACAAACGGTCAACTTACTAATTCAAATTTAAGTTCAGATCCAGATTCAAATTCAAGTTCAAGTTCGGATCCAAATTCAAATTCAAGTTCAAGTACATATTATCAGAAACCATATTGGTAAAAACATTAATAATTATATAGCGGAATTGCAAATTTCGAAATTTCGTACTGGTCTTAAATCCTCCAACTCAATGCATTTCCATAAACTCTTGGTCAAGAGTATCTTGTCATCAATTGTCTCGTAAATCTTGCCAAGATAGTACCAAACTTCCGGGTTATTTACACCATATGGCCAACAAATTGAATAGTGCTCTAACAAATTCTTCAACCTGATAATTGCTGCATCCATATCCTTAGTTGAAATGAATAATGAGTTGGTGCTCTTATCATCAATAAGAATAAGTTTAGATAATCCAAGTATAGCGAATCCATAATCAACTTTATTGAACGGATCGTTTCTATCGAGTATTTCTAATGATCTCTCAAACTCTTGTAGTGCTAAAAACTTCTTTTGCTTTGAATAAAGATACCCCGTAGCAATAAATGTCTTGACATTAGGCTCGTATACAAGTTCAGCCTCAATTATACTTTGTTCGCATTCATCAAATAGTCCAACTTTCAAGAAAATACTTGCCGTCCATAGCCAAAGTTCTTGTAATACTTTACGTTCCATAATGCTATCATGGGTATGAGTGGGAGCTGCTGCTCTTGTAGATATTTTTGATGATGCGGAGGAGGAAACGCTGAGAGCACGTTGCGGTACTGATTGTGCAGCTACAGGTTTCTCGGGAGGCATTGGTGAAGTAGAAGAATGTCCGCTTTTGAAAAAGTCGGGCTTTTTAATAAGGATATGCCCACCACTTCCAACACCATTCAATTTCCCTGATGTGTTCGATGTCACTGAATTTTTTCTTGATACAAATGTTGTGTCCTTCTTAGGAAGTTTTGACAATCGTTTTAGTTTATCAACCGCATTATGCCTAATTGATGATAACTCATGTTTAGATTCATCACGATCTTTCTTTGACAACAACAGAGGTGGTGGAAGCACTGTTCCTGTTCTTGTTTCCTTTTTCCCAACCTTCTGTTGCATTGACATTGCAGGTGGTAATGACGTATTAATAACACTTTGATTAGCATTGTCCTTTGCATCAATAAAACTTGGTCTATGTGACCACTTCTCGATTAGCCCACAATGTTTTGACGAAGCATGATTCTCATTGGAACTAAACTTGATGTCAAATAATTCATGGTATAATACAAACACTTCTGATATCAAATCAATCATATACTGAGTTCCATGAACCGATTCCAAAACAGCCATTTGGGTCAACTTCAACTGCAAAATTTCATACTTGGATTCAGGAGTCAATTGGATATTCTTTTGTTGATGCTTCAATATGTATAGTCCAGAAATGTTCAATGCTTTATTGATGAATTTCTCAGGCTCACGAATTTTAGGTATTGGAGGCACATAAGCATCCATCTGTTGGTCGATATTAGCTGCTCCATTAGCTTTGATTTCGTCACTAAGTAAAGTATCAGGTAAGATGTTATCGTAAGCTCCCGCTGGTTTATTCACTTCGTCATTGTCATTGTTGAACGAGGTTATCAATAATACCAATAAATTCCAAGTTTTAAACGACTCAGGATATTTTTTCAAGATAAATTTACAAAGCTTCAATGCTGGATTCAACTCGCCGGTGTTTGACAAGGCCAAGGCATAGCTAAATAGGTAAAGCACATTACCAGTAGAATTGATGATCAATGAGTTTTTATAATTCTTTACAACTTCCAATACATGCTTATCCAATAGTTTTTGATTTGGTGATTCACACATGGATAAATAGTAATGATAGTAACCAATTGAATGCCATGCTTTTGAAATCAATTCAATAAACTGGGAATGATCCGACCGCAATACATTGAGGTTATACTTTCTGTACAAGAATGATAATGGATTTTTATCGCCCGCATAATTCTCATCATCATACGTCAAATCAATGAAATCTCCCAAGGTATCCAAATACACCTTCAACTGTTTGACATACTTGTCAAGATTATTCAGGACTATGGTCACATCGCTATAGTGAAACTTTTTCACATTCTTGAATGACTTCAAAGGGTTGAAATGGATGATGCATGTACTATAAGTATCAATAATTGCCAAAATGTCTTCAATATAGCCATTCTTTTGTTCTTGATCTTTTTCCAGGTATGTGATATAAGTATTGAAAGCTGCCAATGCTTCGTCGTATTCGTTCAAGTCAATTAAAGTATAGATCAAGTTTGATAACACAATTCTGCTTTGATATGTCTTTGTAGTAGCATCAATAAGGAACTGCTTGGAGAGAGATGGTTTAAGTATTGCCAAGTTGAAAGGAACATAGCTAATAGACTCAAATAGGTTATTAATGAAGTCATTTATTCTTGTATTTTCATCACTTGCATCTGGAAACTGAATCTTGAGATGAATGCACTCATTTATATCAACAGTCAAAAATGATGAATAATCAGATTTAAAATTTTTATTTACAAATTTCGAATTTTCTGGTCGTAACAAATAGTTGGAATAGGCAATTATTGATAGTTTATTCTTGAAGAAGGGTAGATTACTAACTTCATTGATGAAAGATAAGGGAACTATTGATCCATTACTTTGTTGAGTTAACGAGTAGCTTAATTTGTTGAACATCAAATCGAACCAATGATTAGCCACAACTTGTGATTTGGAAAATGGTCTGTTGAAATGGATCAAATATTCTACCCAGACTTTAGTTGTGCCCGACACACCATCATCAATATTGCTCAATCCCAACAATGTATAATATCGACAAGTCAAGTATTGAATAAATTCCAATAAATTTGCAGAAACGTTCAAATTTGTTGCTCTGTTGACTTGATGACTAACGGTGATTGATTTGAGAAGTTTATGCATTTCGTAAAAGTTACCATCCAAGTACAACAAGTGAGACATTAGATTGACATAGTATAATTTCTCTTCATAAGTTCTACTGTTATCGTGATGCTGGTAATTTAGGTGAATTGAGTTTGTGTAATTGATCAACTGGATTAACTTCTCCTTGGGATTTTGCTGTGGCGGGTTGCGGTTATCAGTCGATACAAAGTCTCGTACAGTAGTCAATTCCTCACCATTGAACTCGTTCCGTATCAACAATTGTAACTGATAGTCAACAAACACCAACTGTTGAAAATAATCTTGACTATCTTGGAAATTTAGTACGGTTTTGGGGAAGCAGCCAAGGTTTAAAGTCCGTATGTATTTCTCGTTAATAGAATTATCAATAAACATGGCTTTGTAAAGGGGAACGGGGGATAGTGCGGCTGTATTTTAAAGTGAAAAAAAAAGGAATGCAATTTATAGCTGTTGACTTTGATAAAACCAAATAGCGCAAGATTTTAGATAATGGTCTTAAGCCCTGAAATCTTGTGTATGTAGATTTTTTTTTGGATAATTACAACTGTATGAATGAGCTGGAATGAATACCAAGTGAATGACTGAATAGTGTAGATAGTGTAGATTAGGAGGATGTATTTATGAAGATGGTGGGTTATTGTGAATTTGACCGTGCTTTCTATGCTGAAGACAAGGCACTATCGAGCGGAGCGAGATAGTGTTGTAACAGGCTAGTTAGTGTCGTATAGCCTCGTGTAGCCTCTTCCAGCTTGTCCAGCTCTCTTTTTAGCTCTGTAGCCTCTTGTAGCCCTTTTAGCCTTGTTTCAGCTTCCTATAGTATTGTCCAACTATCTCTTTGATTTTTCAGAGCTCTAGCTTTTCAGCTCTCTTCCAGCTTGTCTAGCTCTCTTTTACCTTGTCTAGCTCTTTTTTAGCTTGTCCAGCTCTCTTCCAGCCTGTCTAGCTCTCTTTTTAGCTCTGTAGCCTCTTGTAGCCCTTTTAGCCTTGTTTCAGCTTCCTATAGTATTATCCAACTATCTCTTTGAATTTTCAGAGCTCTAGCTTTTCTAGCTCTCTTAGTTTTTCAGTTCTCTTCCAGTTTTTTTGCTTTCTTCCAGTTTTTTTGCTTTCTTCCAGCTTTCTTCCAGCTTTTTTTGCTCTTTTTTTAGCTTGTCTAGCTCTTTTCTAGCTGTCTAGCTCTTTTCTAGCTGTCTAGCTCTCTTCTAGCTGTCTAGCTTGTCTAGTTTCTTCCAGCTTTCCTAGCTTTCTTTTAGACTTTTGCTTAGTTTTCGTCGTTGGGTGAGATTTGATTCGCTTTTTATACTGCGCTTTGTTAAGCTTTTTGTCGTACTGCATATAGTTTTGAAACTGCCAACTTAACCTAATTGAGAAGATTTTGTCTGAAAAAGACAATTTTTATGTGTCTGGTGTCTGATGAACAAAAAAAATATATAATTGGGTCTTTGTTTATTGTCTGAATCTGAACCTTAACCCCACCTTCTTCTTAATATGTACTACTATGTTTGTCTCTGAAACTTCTATCTTAATTGAGTAATAAAATTATAGAGTTAAATTGATTTGAACGTTTTTGATTAATTGAGTTAAAAATTGATAAACTTATTTATAACAAAGAGATGTAATCAATGGTGTCTTATGATAGTGATATATGCATCAAAGGTAACCGAAAAAGGTAAATTTTATTTACATATTGGCCTTGAAAATTTCAATTTCAATTAACACATGGGAGACTTTTGTATCAAAGAACACTCTTTAATCTTCAATTTCTTCTCTCCTCTTCATTCTCTTCATTCTCTTCATTCTCTTCATTCTCTTCATTCTCTCCTCTTCATTCTCTTTATTCTCTTTACTTTTTTCCTCTCCTCTTTCCTCCTCTTGCCTCCTCTTTTACAGCCTTTAGCATTACTATTGATGGTGAATTGCCTATATTTAATTAATTTTTCATTTGTTTTCACGACATTACGATTTATGTCGTATCTATAATAATAAAATGCGACTTTCAAGAAGTAACAAAAACAATACAATGCAGTACAAAGCAGGCTATAATTTATTTGGTTGATAGATCACTTTGTATCTGTTCCTCTTCTGTCTCTTAAGGCCGCAATAGGGAATAAACACAAGGCAAAGTGGGTTAACTAACCGAGATATCGCCGAATCTTACATACAACCTAACTCAAAAACATGTTTTAAATTACAAACTCCTCGGCTTTGTAATCTGTTATCTGTTGCTTGCGGAGATATACCTTTACATCAAATAAGCCGTAGCTACTAAATAAACAAATTAAAAAAAATAAAATAAAAAAAATAAAAAAAAGGGTCCCCCCATCCCCCAATCTCAACACCGTTCAAACACTCTATATAAACCTGGCAAATCAGCAATTTGTATAATATCTCGTGTCAAATTCTTTGGTGCCAAAAATTGTTTCTTCAATTCAGGTAGTAAAACATTTTCCAATTGATTCTCCATCTCCATCCTTTTCTCTTGCCCATCTTCTTCGTCAGCTTCATTAAATGGTTCAGGTAAATACAATAATGCAATTTGTCTCATTATTCCTTGCAAACACTGTTTTTCATCTTGATAATTAATCTTAGTACCCAATCTATATATAAAATATGGTAGCTTCTTATAATCTGGTTCAATTTTCAACATGATTAATGGAATTTTGCATAAATTATCTTGTTCATCTATTACAAGTTGAAAATACTCTTCAAACATCTCCCTCATTGAAACCAAGGAGGAAATGACATTCTCAACGGGGACTAGATCGTCATTGATCTCGTATAACGGTTCAAGCAACTGCCTTAATGGAATAGGCTCGTCAAATTCAATTTCTCCATAATTGCAAAACTCTTGTAAACAAACTTGATAGAAAAATTCCAACAACACTGCCGCATAATCACATATAAATAACTTTACATCATACTGAAAACAGCATAATCTCTTCAAAGGATCAACTATTCCTACAAACACTGCATGACTAAAGACGTTTGTAAGAGGTTTGTCTATGAATTGAGCTAATTCATTTTTGAGATTGATTATTGATTCAAGATTAACTTGAACTTGGGTTCGATTGCTGTTAAGTTTATATGTGGAATCGGATTCTTGGGTAGAGAGACATGTATCATCTATAGTGGCTTGATATTGATTAGTAGACTCTTGTTGTTGTTGCTGCTTCAAATCTGGATAACTAGTATTGGATTCCACCTGCTGCAATAAAAATGGATTGATCTTGGACTGACTTGCATCAACTCTAACTAATTTATTCTCCTGTCTATATTTCTTCAAGGGCTGTGTACTCTGACTCTGACTTTGACTTTGACTTTGACTTTGGTTATCACCAAACAGAAGCCTCTCTTCTTCCAAATCATTACTCCTCTTTGTTACTATAGTTTGTGCTTTAAATTCTCTCGAAGTATCCACACTAGACAAAGCTCGATGAGTTCTTGCCACAATCAAGTCAATTATGGCATCCTCATTCAAAAACCCAACTTCTCTCTTTGTGGGATGAACATTAACGTCCAAGTTCTCAGGTTTAATCTCCAAACTTATGTAAAAAAATGGATAACTTCCTCTTGGAAGGAAAGATTGAAAAACACCATTTATAGCTCTTCGCAAAGGATCACATGAAACTAATCGATGGTTGATAAAGATTATTGGCGGTATTCGTTTTTTATTATTGTAATTTGCATTGGTAATTGCGCTTGTAACTCGTAGTAGCCCCAATTCTTCTACTTTATATGCCATATTGCCACCATCTTCCTCCTCACTGGGCTTGAAATCTATAGTCAACAACTCATTAGCTATGCCGGATCCATAAACGTTTCGGATCCTTTCTTTCAACAAAGTGTTTGCCCGTGTGTTCAACTGATGCAATGGATCTCCATACTTCTTGCAGCTAAATCCAACATGCCCCGAGTGTATAGCATATCGACCCACAATATCCAAAATCTTGGCAAACTCATCACTTTTCGATTTCAATCCTTTGAGTCGCGAAGGGAGGTTGTAGAATAAATCCTCAACAATTACTTGAGTACCATCTTTTCCTGCAATTGCTTTTGGTTCATAGTTCTCCTTACTCAGTTTAAAGCTAGGATTACATAGTTTGCCATTCATGTAGTACGCCTTATATGCCAACTTGGACTCCCTTCTTTTAGTTATAACCGATAATCGCGATATATGTGATATACTGCTCAATGCTTCACCTCTGAATCCATAAGTGGCAATCAGCTCTAAATCCTCAAATTTTGTCAATTTTGAAGTTGCAAACCTTTCACATAGTAGCGGCAAATCCTCCTTTGCAATACCATGCCCATTATCGGTTATTTGAAGTAGTTTTAGCCCACCTTCACGCACCATAATTTCAATGCTAGTAGCTTTTGCATCTATCGAGTTCTCCAACATTTCCTTTAATGCATTAGCTGGCTGAATAATAATCTCTCCTGCTGCAATTTTGTTTATCACAGATTCATCTAGCTTTCTGATTCTCCCTCCAGTATCTTCAATAACAGCTATGGGATCACTCATCTGGCAAACTTCGCTAACAAAGAAGTAATTCACTTGTATTGCAATCAATCAAACCCGGCTCTTCAATAATTACTGAAAAAAAAAAAACAAACAAAAACGCGTATTACTTGAGCGGCTAACAAAAACTTTTCAATTTGCAAGAGTTAAAAACCATTCAAGAGTGTAAAACTGGCAGCTATATAAGTTCTATATTGTCACCCTCCCCAGGTTGTTGCTATTTGAAATGGTAAATCAGTCACAGGTACAGTCACAGATGCATTCACGGCAGCGTTCGCTGTCTCTGTCGCGATCGCTGTCACTTTCACGGTCGCATGTACCAAAGCATACGAGAACCACTAAACAAGAGCATTTTGAAGCTTATAACAAATTGCGACAGCGTATGAAGAATCAGCTTAAGGAGGCAGCTAAGGGGCAAGGTATACATATTTCATTAAACAATATTGACGAGTTAACTAGATTATACTCAGTAATTGAACGAGACCAAGTTCGAGATACTAAAGTACATCTTGAAGATTCCGAAGTGTTAAAAGAAGCTTCTGGATTTGCTGCTTTGAATGCAAGAAACCTACGGTTTGGTGAAAATGATGTAGCGTTGAATGAAAACGATGTTATAAGAAAAATTAAACAATATGCCGTTACTGATGATTCAATGTTAGTCAATACAGAGAATGATCATATTGAGGGAGAAGAGGAAGACGAAGAAGACGAGGAGGAGGAGGAAGACGCGGAGGAGGAGGTAATAACAGATGAATACTCGTTCAATAAAATAAACTGGTTGAAATTGGGAGTGTTATATCACCAAATTAGTAAAAAACCAATTCTGGTTGATTTCTTATATGGTCCTTTAGCTAGTGAGCGAAGAAAAGCGGCTTCGCGTACACGTATAGTGGATGATTCAAAAAGCGGTACCTTAACAACAGCAAAAGCTGTACAAGCAAAAGATATTCAAGAAGATGAAGAGAAAAACACTGCGTATATGATTAGAATGATTTATGAAATATACCTCAGTAAAGATCGAGGTGGTGAAGTAAATTTTTACACTTTTTTCATTGACCCAAAGTCATTTGCCCAATCGGTGGAGAACTTGTTTTATACGAGTTTCTTGGTTAAGGATGGCAGGTTAAAATTGTTTACGGGTAGAAACGGATATCCATATGTTGCAAGAGTAAGTCAAAAGGAAATACAAGAAAACAAATTGGATAGCAGTAATGCGATTTCCTCGCATCATATCGCTACTTTTAACTATGATGTTTGGGAATATATGATTAAAAAATTCAAAATTAAAGAGTCATTTTTGGGTCATCGTGATGAACTTGAGGATTGTATACCCGAGGAGGACTATATAGAGGAAGAAGTGGAAGAAATGGAAGAAGTGGAAGAAGAGGAAGAAGAGGAAGAAGAATAAGTGGTTCACCTCTATGTGTCTTCTATGTATTGTATTTACAAACTTTATTAAATTCATCGTCATTAACGTGAACCCAAGAATCTACACTTAGTAGCTCATTCAAGGGCCATTTTCTAATTGGAGTAAAACTCAAATCTGTCTTAAGTCTCAATGTTTCGAAAATCTCTATTCCTGCCAACCCAATCATTACAGCATTATCCGTACATAAAGAAAGATCTGGAAAATGAAAGTTAAGTGGTTTATCACCAATTTCTTTATACTTCAAATTGCTGAATAATTTTTCTCTTAGTCGTTTGTTTGCAGCTACTCCTCCTGAACAAATAAAATCTTCTACTCCAACAAATTTACCATCGCTCCACCGACTCAATCCGTGTTTCGTGAATGCTAAATTGATCCTATCGACGATATGGTCAAATATAAATTCCTGTATTGTATATGCCACCATTCTTTTTGTTTTTTCATCAAATTCATCGCTTTTTTTCACCATTCGAAATCGCTCTTTATAACCCTGAATCGTGCTTAAAAACTGGGCAAATGCAAACTGTAATGTACCTATACCATTCTTTGGCGATTGAAAGGGGAGATTCACTCTAAAATTGTATTCATTGGCTATCCTCGTGTTGAAGTTCAAGTTTTGAAACTCTTGTTTCTCCTCAGGGGATATCTCATCAATGTATTTTTCCAATTCTCGTCCCAACATGTTCCCATAGAGACCCAACTCGCGAGCACACTTATCTAGCGAATCACCAACGGCAATATCACTTACATTTATGATTATTTCATGTTCCGAGACAGATTTCAGGAGTACAAGCATGGTATGACCTCCACTGCACAAAAGGCTTAGAAACGGGTATTTAGGTGGCGGCGACGGTGACGCCAGCTGCGATTTTGATTTTGGCAAGAAGGAGGTTAACAAATGACCCAACATATGATGTACCCCAACTAACGGAACGTTCCATGCAACGCTTAACCCCTTAGCAAACTCTGTTGAGCTACTCAACGAACCAGCCATACCTGGACCTCGAGTTACACAGATCAAATCGGGTGGTGATTGCGCCGAGATGTTATTCTTGCGACAAAACTCAATACATAGATTGGCAATAGTAGACATATGGTAATTATATGCGACTGTAGGCATTATTCCTCCTACATCAGCCGAATAAAGCGTTTTTTTAACTTGATCTATTACTTTTGGTGGTTTATCAAGTTGATCCTTTTCCAATATTGCCAAACACGAATCATCACACGATGACTCTATTGCCAAAACTCGATAACATCTAGTAAATTCAAATTGTCTCACGCTTCCTTTTAGTCGTTTGCTAAATCTCGCGCATCTTGCAAATAAAGGTATCATATCATATCCAAGTAAAAGATTTCAACCTTGAAAAAAAACTATCGAGAAATTGCAAACAAACAAAAAAAAAAAAGAAAAAAAAAGTTAAACAGAAATCTGAAAAATTTATAAACCCCATTGTTGAACCGATATGAACTTGGTTAAAGTAAAAGGTTTTATACCTCAATCAAATGTATCCATACACTTTACCGAAAAAACCTGGCTATATATACTTTTGAAAAAAAATAACTCCGCCAAAAACACTTGGTACAACTATACCAATGTACTCCTCATAACTAACAGTTTTGATACCCCCGTAATGATTTCCTTGCAAGGAGTATTGGCCAATCCATCTCTTGATATTCTCAATTGGTAGTTTTTGATTTTGTTGATTTTTTTTTCTTTTTTTTTTTTTCTTCTGGCTCTCAGTTTTTCATTTATTTCATTCTTCAAGTATACATCTCTATATTTCGAGCTTGAGAGACGATCAATTTTCAAGGCATTGGCTACGTAGTGTATAGTGCGTTTTTGGACAAGCCAATTTTACGAACAAAGAATTTTTTTCACGCCGTTTTTACACGGGTTAATTATAAAATTTTTGGAGTTAAGTTCATCTGGGAACTGTTTACATTCATTATATATTTGATATATTCATATAAACATCCACGCAACTGCCATTTATCACACACAACGACGATTTAGGTCCTATCCCCACCCCCTTCCCGCGCGCGCCCCGCACACCTTCTTTTCATATATTCTTCTTCCCTTATATGCATATTCCCTACAATAGTAGGTTCACCTAAGAAAGTCTTCGCATGATATGTCACAAGTGTTCACATCCTCGACAATACCTCTAACATTTGTGCCGCATGACAAATATCCACAGCACAAGAAGCTACAGTCGCCTGATAACAATGACAACGACAAAAATGCAGATATCGAAGAGGGTGCTCCCATATGGCAATGTATGATTGCAGGAGGATTTGGCGGGGTAGTTGGAGACAGCGCTATGCATTCATTAGACACAGTGAAAACCAGGCAACAAGGATTCCCGCATAATCTCAAGTACAAACGCATGATACTGGCGTACGCAACTATACTCAAGGAAGAGGGGTTATTTCGAGGTCTATACGGTGGATATACCCCTGCGGTTTTGGGCTCATTCCCATCCACAGCGGCGTTTTTCGGTACATATGAATATACGAAAAGGAAAATGATTTACAATTGGAATATGAATGAGACAATTGCCTATTTAATAGCGGGCACTTTGGGAGATTTGGCGTCAAGTGTGTTTTATGTTCCTTCAGAAGTGCTTAAAACTCGGCTACAATTGCAGGGAAGGTACAACAATCCATATACTACCGAGTGTGGATATAATTACCGGGGATTAGCAGACGCAATAAAAAGCATTTACCGAACCGACGGACTAAAGACATTTGTCTTTGGTTACAAAGAAACGTTGTTTCGAGATTTACCATTTAGCGCATTACAATTGTCATTTTACGAAAAGTTTCGTCAATTGGCCATATATTATAATCACAACTCTGATGATTTGCCTGTCGGGGTTGAACTATTGACCGGTGCCGCGGCAGGAGGCTTGGCAGGTATACTAACTACACCCTTAGACGTCATCAAAACTCGTATACAAACTGCAACAAATACATCAGACTTGCATAGTCCAATATCGAAGCATAAAGTAATTACAAATCCATTCATAAGATCTTTTAACAACAATGCTACGCTAAGAGCATTATACTCGATTTACAAGTGTGAAGGTATACTAGGTGCATTTTCTGGGGTGGGGCCTAGATTTATATGGACCGGGATTCAAAGCTCAATAATGTTGTTACTATACCAAACGTCCTTGAAACAATTGGAGATTTATTTTGGGAGTGATAGAGATCAAAACTTGGAGGCTTAGAGAATTGTAAATAGAGATATTTTAATAGACACATCAAGAATATTTACTAAACTTTCTTTTGAAGAAGAAGCTCTATATGAAACAAGTATTGGTCCCTTTCTATTTATTTTTTTTTTTTTTTTTATTTATTTATCTTTGTGTGTATTTCTTACTCGCTTCTATAGATGTGAGCTGAACTAGCTTGGTTGGTGGGGAACACGAGAGTTTCCGCAATAACAGTGTTTTCTCTTCTGGTTAAGATAAACGCTGCAATCTCAGCAATATCGACTGCATTTAATGGCTCCCCGCCCTTGTATGTATCTGCCTCCTTTTGTTGGTCATTTCTAAATCTTGTCATACTGAAGTTTGTCCTAACCATTCCCGGCTCCAAGAGACTGCAGCGGACTTTAGTAGATATCAATTCCTTTGAAAGACTTTGAAAAAATGACCTAACACTAGCCTTTGTTGCACAGTAAATTGATCCTCCAGGGTATCCATCACGAGAAGCAATTGAACCAAGCCCAAGAATAAACCCAGTATTGCGTTCTTTCATCCTTGGCAAAACTGCTTGAGTCATTGTGATAAGACCAAGGACGTTTGTTTGGAACATAGTTTCTATATCAGTAGGATTTATCTCACCGACTTCATCCCTCCCCAACGCAAGACCGGCGTTATTGACCAAAATATCTATATCTGCATACTCCTTAGGTAATTGGTTAACGAATGGCACAATCGAGTTTACATCTGAAACGTCCAATTTTTTAGCCAACACCTCAATTCCTTCGTACTTCTTCTCTAAACTTTGTTTCAATTTCTCAAGTTTATCTAAGCTTCTTGCCGTGAGAATTAATTTGATATTGGAATTCACAGCAGCCAATTCCTCAGCAATTGCAAAACCGATTCCCGATGAAGCACCAGTAATGAGGACGACTTTATTCTGTAACCTTTCTGCCGCTGCCTTACCGTATGACATGTTCTTAATGTATGACGATATGATGATGAAGAACAGGAAAAGAAAAAGACTATTATTTTAAGAGCAAATGGGCCCTTTTTTCTGTCCAAGTAGAAAAAGTGGTTGCGCCCTTTTCTAGAGATAGCGCAAAGTATAGTCCAAATTACTACCCACAAATCACATCACCGAAAAACTTTCAAACTTCAATTTCGTACATTAGAGATAGTTTATACACATGCAAAAACCCTCTCTAGTAGAAGGTGGTTGGAGCGTGAGCTTGGAACAATTTCTGTTGCTTTTGTACTCTGTGTGGCAATGGGAATTTCAAGTCCTTGGTCAAAAATTGTTTAACATATTGTCTCTTTACGTCATCGGATTTTTGTAATTCAACAACCTTCAAAATGTGGATGTTTCTAAATCTAGCTCTGTGTCTAGCAGCCAAATCTTGGTACATGGTTTCAACAGCACCAACTCTAGTGACATCTCTATACTCTTTGTACATGTTGTGAATACCTGATCTTGATTCGTATCTGATCCAAATACCAAAAGTCTTGACCTTGGTTGGTTTAGCCTCGCTGATGACATTCACTGAGACAATTTCACCTAAAGTCTTTTTAACCTTGTGTAATTTTTGTAAGAAATACCAGTATCTTGATTTTGCAACAACAGTATTTGGGGCAAAGATTCTCATACGGAACAATTTAGGTTCCGGTGCTGACTCGGTAGGTAAACGGCGACCGATCACTTGATATTCATTTAATCTCGACATCTCTAATCAAAAAAAATAGAAAAAGGGGGTAAAATTGTTAGTACTTTGAAAATGGTGAAAGAAAAAGCGGAGCTCCGAAACTATGAAAACATGGGTTGTATCACTAGGTACTCCAAAAATGAAATAACATTGTCAAGCTCAACCGCATCTCCAATCATGGGTTTTTTTGTACATACTCTTTGGTGTTATTGAATACGCCCTTCTCAAACTACTCTACGGTAGAAATTTTTTTTTTTTTCAAATTTGTTTTTGAAAGTGGAAAATTGCAAAATGGCACTGAATGTAGGTGATTATGTAATCAAAACGCAGTAATGTGTAAATGTATTACATAAGTCCAATAGAAAAAATAATTTTTCAAAATAAAGGCTACAAGGCATCGCTTCGTGAGGGAGGAAAAAAGTACACAATTTACGTATCACGTGTACTTAGGGTTTAAGCCCTAATCGCTGAGTCAATCAATGAAGTGAAATGAGTGCAATGAGAGTGCGATGAGTGCGATGAGTGCGATGAGTCTGCCCCGAAACTAACGTATATACGTTTTTTTGTTGTTGTTTTTTCCCTCTTGCTGGCTTATCAGGAAAAAACATACAGCTAAATATTATGAAGACAATAGTCAAACTAATATGAAGTTACGTTACAAGGCTTATATCTATTTCCTATTTACCTATTTTATGTTTCTTTTCATTCTTGTTATTTGCATTTTTGACCCTATTGACTCTTGCCAAATCACCACACTCTGTACTTAAAAGCCAATCCCATACTCTAAAAGAACTTGCGTAGTTACCTATGAAATAGTGATGGTGGTCATCGTGGTGTTCTGCTCCAGCCCAAAGTGGGAAAAACTTATTTAAACTCCATGGGAAATCGTAGCCTGAATGCGAATCAACAGCTTGGAATAATCTCAAAACGATCCAAAGCGTAATTGTGAACAAATGAATAGATGGTAGCGAAGCGTATTTAGTAGCCAAAAATGCATATAAAATTGGGAAACCAACTGTTCCTACTCCCAAAGCCATAACTTCGGCAGGATGAGCATACTCGGCAGCTAATCCAAAAGGTGCAGCATATTTGTGGTGAATCTTGTGGATGTTCTTGTAAAACCATCCATAATGGAAAAGTCTATGAAATGAATAATGCCATAAATCCTCACAAATGAAAAAAAATACAATTTGAGCAAATTGTATTTTCCAGCTGGGAAAGGGAACACCATAGGTTATTTTCAACTGCGAGCAAATAGGATGGAATAACCAAATTGGCAAAGCCTCTACAAGAAAATGGGATTTCAATACCGCTTTAAAACATTCCCATTGTTGCTGGTTTGTAGGAATTTTATTTGGTTGAATCTTATACTTGTTGAAATAAGGAATCTGGTCAATAATAAACCAAGGTAAGCATCTACCAAAATACATAAATTCATGCACTAAAAAGAATAAAAGGCCCGTAGCCAAAACATCGTTCCCCCAATAAATATACCAGCTAGCCCAAAGCTCTTCCACCTTATTCAGAGCTATCGTGCTGAATAGAGCAGATCCAGTAGTCGAAGTGACATTCGTTGACATCGTTACGCTTTGAATGTAGTAATCTCCTTGTGCCAAAAGGAAGGAAGGGCCCTTCCAATTGGTATTTATATCTTCTATGTAACTCTAAATGGAAAGTGAGCTAAAAAAAAATACTTGCATACCACTTAATCGTATGCTTCGTTTACCTCGTATACAAATCAAATGATCTTTCGCACCCTACATTGTGTTTGGCCACCCATCCTTTTAAAAAAAAAAAAAAAAAAAAAAATAAGTACACTAATTGCTTACTATAACTATTAATACTATGTATATTATTCTGTATACGACAGGATATGGACCATGTATACATGCATGGTTTGTTGTACAAGAGACATCTAATTAATTAAATGTAATTTTTTATTCTACTCTTTCTTTTGGTAATATGTCAACGAGTAGACTTCCGTCAACGCTCGGTAAATTTAATCCATTATTTGCTTTGTAATGTTTTATGTTATCAAAAAATTTGTCAAATAAATATGCAGTGTCTTGAGGGCCCCCCTTAGCCTCGGGATGGAATTGAGTTGAAAATACAGGGTTGGTTTTGTGTATCATTCCCTCGTTACTCAAATCGTTCATATTGATAAAGAATTGCTGCCATTCGGTACCTATCGTGTTTGGATCAACAGCATATCCGTGGTTTTGTGACGTTATGTGGCATTTGCCAGAAATCACATCTAATGTTGGAATGTTATGGGCACGGTTACCGTATTTTAGCTTTATTGTTTTAGCTCCACTGGCTAACGCCAATAATTGGTGGCCCAAACAGATGCCAAAGATTGGTAATTCAGGGCACTTTTCCATAATTTTACTCAAATTGTCTACTGTTGTAGAACAATGTGTTGGATCTCCCGGACCGTTGGAAATGAAAATGCCATCAAATTTGTTTGCAATCTTATCAATTGGGTAATCATATGGGAAAACCGTTAAGGATGCACCTCTCTCAACTAAACAACGCAAAATATTCTCCTTAGCACCACAGTCCAAAACAGCAATATGTACGTTTTTGGAATATTCTTTGGGGCAAGCTACGTGGAAGGGTTGCTTTGTAGTAACTTTGTGAACCAAGTTGACTGCACCAGGGTCTTCAAATGCTGCATCCTCGTCAGCATCGTATTCCTCTCCAATCGTAATCTTACCTAAACTCGATCCGCGGTCTCTGAGATACGACACCAACTGCCGGGTATCAACACCTGTGATGGCAGCAACTCCATTTCTCTTACACCACTGTTGCAAGCTCTCCACTGCTGTCCAATGACTATATTCTAACGCCACGTCTCCAACCACAATACCAATACACTGTATCTTCGAACTTTCCATATATTTCAACAAATTGAACTCATCCTTTTCAGTCGATGACGGAACACCGTAATTCCCTATCAAAGGCTGTGTAAAACATAATATTTGACCTTTATATGATGGATCCGTCATACTTTCAGGATATCCCACTAATGACGTGGTAAATACGGCTTCTCCACTAACATTTCTGTTGGCTCCAAAGGAGTACCCACTGAAAACAGGTCCATTCTTAATCGTAAGTGTAGCTCTATCCAACTGCTTCTTATTATTGGTAAACGTCCTGGATGCTGTGGCTAAACATCTTTTGAACGTCTGAAACATGCTCGAAAATTAATCCAAGAGGAAACTGGATAGTAGGGTCGAAATGAAATAGGGTGGAATCGAATGGTGGGATATGGCAAGTAAATTTTTTCCCTCTTCCCTTCTGAAATTTTTTTTTCTTTTCTTCTTGATGGATTGCGCGCTTAATCTATATTGCCTAATTTAGATACATATTGAGTCATCGGTATTACTGAGGCTACTATCACTATCACTTACCGATTTCATCCAACCAATACAGGTACATCGACTTTCACCACGTTATGTGCAAGCTCGACTTGCTCGTTATGTGTGCCTTTGAATTTAACGGCAATCTGCAAACAATAAAGCCGCCCAACTAGACAGCTTTGAAAAGAAGGTAGAAGGTTTATATTCCTCTTATTGTCCACTATTAGTGGAACTCTAATTTTCTGGCTCCATCGAAACACTTTTTGTTGGTATACATCCCAATTATCGCTGACACTTGTTGGTTTGAAGTAGTTGTATATGATATCTTTCTTGACACCTAATTTCTGTGCAGATTTCAAGTACAGAAACGACTCTTTGGTCACGTCAATCGAATTGTTTCTAATGAAATCAATATAACGAGACACTTGGTCTTTTAAATATTGAAGATTGTCTTTTGTTGTTTCAGTAGGGTCACTAGAAGGTTTCCCGCCATTGTGGTTTTTATAAAAGAAGTCGTACCCCATTTCAAATGGTAAAGGGTACTCGGTAGAATACGACCATATGACAATGTTTACATCAATGGAAGATATTTGTGGCTTCGAATCTCCCTCAAAATTCAAAATAATATCAACATGCTTAAGCATGTTTCCATAATCTCTGTCATGCGTACTTCCAATGCTATCCATATTATACTTCATCAATAGCTTTGGGACTGAATATTGTACAACACCATTGGGGACTTTTACACTCATAGTCAGTTCTCCAATCTTGACTTGGGAAGACAATATCATTTGTTTCTTTTTGCCAAAGATCTCAATCGGCAGTATTGTGCTGACATATACTTCATGCTTCGCTTCTTCTTCCTTTCCCCTGTGTTTTGATACAGTTGGAAATAGTAATGGTGATGGTGATGGTGATGGTGATGGTAATGGTAATAGCGATGATGATGATGATGATGATGATGGTACTGGTGGCAGCGTCGGTGATTGCATACTGTGCACCAGATTTTTCAACTTCAAATCCTCTAAACTCACTTCACCTGAAAAATGCTGATCAATAAATCTGTCAATCTTTTGATTCTCTTCATTTATAACTCTCCAAGTGCTATTTAGTCGAAACTGATCAAGAAACTTCTCACCTATATTATTTTCCAGGTAATTTCCCACATTGTGAAGCTCGCAATACTCAAGCTGCTCGGTTATCTGCGGTATAAACCGGAGGAAATATTGTGCATGCTTGGAAAGAACGTAATCTTGATGCTTAGCATGATTAAGTTCTTCGTGCGAAACTGCATCTTTGGAGTTGACTTTATCTATGATTTTCGCTTCAATCGCATATGAAATACTCAAATCATCAAATCCATAGTCCCTGGTAACAACCGGTGTACCTCTCAAATTCAATGATCCGTATCCTAGTGCCTTGTTCAACACTATTCCTTCACTCCTATTACCAAAAGAAGTCTTGTCCACCCCCATTGATGGCGGAGGAAGCAAATGTGGCAATATAGAGTCTTGACACACATTGTCGAGTAATCTGTGTGGAAACTTAAAAGTGAAAAACTTCTTATATCGTTGCTGAGGCTGCAAAACCCTACTATCGGGCAATCCAATTTCACAGCCATCATTTCTGTCCTTTGAAAAAGGTTCATATTCAATACCAGCACTGCTGGGTAAATAACCGTAACTATAACTGGCACTCAAATCATACATTTTCAAAAACTTCTTCATCAAAATCTTGCTATATTTGCGGTTCGATGAGTTTGGCTTGCGCTCAAGCAGTTTAACGGTACCTTCTAATGAGACGGTGAATAATCCAAATTTAACTGGGACATTAGCAGTATTTTTAACAATTACATACCCATTCACATGGTCCCCACTTGTATATTCTTTTAATTTGGTTTCCAAATCGTTTTCAGCATTTGGTTGCGGTATTCCCTTGGTAACGTATATTTGTATATCAATGTGCGGATTAGTAGCTTTTTGTAAGCGGTCAATATTGTCCAATGGCGAGTCTCCAGAAGTGTCGTATGTCACCGCTACATTGTCGTTGTGTGCTGCTGTGGCACCGGCACCCTCGGATGTGCTTATTGTTGGCGACAATCCTACATCATTATTAAAGAAAGCATTTAAACTTTGAAGACGGTCTCGCTGTAGCTCTATATCGTGTTCGAGTCTTCGAGATACTTCGGCTAAATTTCGATCTATTGATTGCTGTGGAAAAATCCTCGGCGAAGCAGGTATACTAGGTCTGCTATGTGTTGTATCTCCATATTCCGGTGGACTCGTAGACAAGTCTTCTTGGAATTGTTGGTCATCTCGTTTCAAGATGCTCTGAAACATTTCAAAAGAAGGTAAGATATCAAAGTACTCGGTATGAGCATTACTCGATACCGATGAAAGCTTAGTCACAGGCTTGTTGCCTTTTGTATTTGACAACAAATCAATCTGTTGTTGTAACTCTCTCGAGGGCCTGTATGGTACATTTTTCTTCTTTTGCTTTCGACTACTATTAGATGCAAGTCTTGATGAACCACTACCAGATTCACCGCCAACAACCGAATTTTCGTATGAAGGTGGCTGCAACGAATCGGCACCTGAGTCAATTGAGCGATTTAACATTGATTTGGTATATCTTTAGCAGTAACCAAACCCATATGCATCCTTAAACCCTCTCAAAAGCAAATAGACTGATTCTACAATTTCGCAAAATTAACCTTTTTTTCTCTTCTTCTTCTTCTTCTTCTTCTTCTTCTTCTTCTTCGTTTCAGTTTGAAATTGCGCGAAAATAAAACTAAACATTTTATGCCGTCAATTTACAGCGCGGGCCCTTATACCAGCCACAACCGTTTTATTTCATGCCAAACATTTGACGTTTTACTGCATACACGTTTTACTGCATACACATACACATTTTATCGCACCCTGTTTTATCGCACCTGGTTTATCACACACCTATTTTATCGCACACCCGTTTTATTTTTTTTCTTTACTTTTGATTTCGTAAAAGCTAGCCTCAATTGGTGGCAAATTCATGGTCTTGGTACAACTGAATACAAGCTTCGAGCGATAACGACAAAAAAAAATAAGTAGACAAATAATCAAGAGAATATTAGGCACTGTACGCACACTACTTGAACAAAGATTCCTTTTTTTTAATAGTAAGAACCAAGCTCTTATATCTTCTTGCTTCAAAGCATCTGTTTCTCATAGAAGTCTTCTTTTTGAAATTACCCGGATAGATTGATGTTAACGATTGGAGTTCCATGTAAATAAAAATGGAAAATTGCAAAATTGCAATTTAAATTTATTTTTATTTTTATTTTTATTTTTATTTTCTCCTTCTTCTTCTTTGGGATGAAAAATTGATATTGATAAACTCAAGATCTAGCAATGAGCTACGACTTGAAACAAGATCTCGTCTTGTTCAAAAATTATGTGGGGTTGATCCCAGAAATCGTACCCGGTAAGTCATATCTATCTATTATAACGTATAATCAGAGCACATCACCAAATTGGCTAGTCAATTCTTTAATCGAAAACGCCTTGATCGGTACAGCATCGCTTATCAACCAAGAATTGAAACATGTTCATCACAAGAGTAATGTTGTACTAATTAGTTTTTTGCACAATGAAAACTTTTATATCAAAAACTGCAGAAAGAATGGACTAGACTTGACCCAAATCTCAAGCTTCACATTTGTCGACTATTTCACACATTTGTTTCAACAAAAGATAAAAGATCCTAATAATGCATCAGAGGATGTAAAGGGGCTTTTCGATATAAAAGTCGAGCCCAACTCAGTAATTATCATTGATGCACCAGAGACTTTGCTATACTCAACCAATATCAGTAGTAATGACTTGTTATCTTGTCTACTCAAATTGAATAAAAAATGCTATCAAATGTACATTACTAGTTGCAAAAACTCGCCACAACTCGTTGATTACGCAGTTAACGAGATAATTAACCCTACTTACAAAATTACCGATTTTATCACAAAGCTACTATTCAGATCGCATTTGAATATAACGTTGGAACCTCTTGCTACTGGTAGAGCAAAGGACATTACAGGAAGCTTAGTGGTGAGTCGAGGTGTATTACCATACGACTCGTTGGTCGTGAATGAAAGAGAATACGCTTACAATATAACAAAAGACTCAAACGTGAAGATATTCTTCCGTTAACCTCGCTTTCTATGTAAGTTATATAAATCATCCAATGCAAATTCAATGGCACATCTTGTCCACAAAAGGGGGAAAAGAGGCCATACAGAACGCTCCCCTACCAAGACCCAGTATGGGATATTTTCCATAGTACGATGTACGTCAAAAACTCTGCCAAAATCTTTGACCAAATATCTTACCTCTGGAACAATGGTAACTTCTCTAATAGATGCCAAGTACTGCAATGCAGTTGGCTTTTCGTCTATAAAAAATCTCTTCATCACCTCGTTGAGTAATCCTAGTTTGTTTAAAACAACTAATCGATGTTGTATTTCCATACCAAGAATAGTTTTGAATCGCTTCATAAAATTAAAGCCAGTGTCTTTGGTGTAGTACTCAATGTCTCGTTTTGTCATTTCTTTGCCCTTGTCGTATGCCTTCTTCTTCTTGTCATACTTTACCTTACCATAGGAGGTATGATAGTGTTTCAAGTCATTACTAATCAAGGGCGCAAGATATGGCCTTGCCAAACTAATCACAAAGTGGTTGACATTGAACAACTCGGTTAACTTTGTATATGGAGATTGGTGTTGAATATTGGTTGACAAGTTTTTTTTAAAGTATGAAGTTTGATAAGTAACATCCTGTGGTTTAAGGAACTTGACTTCAATATCTGGAGTTTGTAAAACTATTTCGTTATTGAAATCTTTAACGTATAACGCAATGTCATCAGATAAGACACCTGTTCCTATTGATGCATAAATTGCTGTCCATATAATCACATTGGGGGCTGTGATATAATTAAGCAAAGAAGGGACACACCTGTTTGTTGGATGCACCACAATGTTCAAGATTTTCCGAGTTTTCATATAAGCCTCTTCAAAAGTCAAGTCACCGATGGTATCACGCACAAATTTCAAAAACAACAAGATATCCTGACTGTACCCCTTCTTCACCACATTCTCAATTATGTTTCCGTACCTCTCGTCTATCTCGTGGTTTAAGGCATCAATGTTTTTCATCAACTCCTCAATATTCACCAAAATCGGGATCAACTCATCATCAGTTAGTGTGCAAACCAAAGAGGCAACCGCAGCACCCACCGCACTTCCTGCAATTACGCGTGGTAAAAGCCTTTTGAAATATAGTGCTTTTACGACCCCCAAATGACACAATCCAAACAAAGAGCCACCTTGCAACAACAAGGCAGTACACCCAAAACTTTGTCTCGCATCATGGAAAAAATCCAACTTCAATTGCTTACTATTCATGACATAGTCATCGCCATTACTGCTACTGCTCAAGCTATCATTCAAAAAGTCCAAACAGTTCAACACCTCATTTATATATTCTTCAATCTTGAACTTTGTGCCCATATAAGACTTCAAATACAATCTCTTTTGAGCAATGCCTCCGAAATTGCGTATGAGACCTGATCTAAGTAATGACATAATTTGCTGCGAGTCCTGATTCTCGCGCGCTTCGCGAAGCAACCTCAACCTTTCATTGATGAGCACATAGTCATAATGTTTACTGATAAAGTTTTGTCTCCACAAATCCATATTTGTCAACTTATCAATTTCAAACGTTGTCAGCTTCCACTCAGTGTAATTGGACACATTCTTCAACTGCTTGATATGCTCCTTGAGAGGATCCTTCCTATTGTATATGTGGTACAAGTGCCTAACCCAGAAGAAACAAATATCGAAAAAGAAATCAAGCAAAGCCCAAACAAAACTCGGGGTATTATTGATGATAAATGTAAAAAGTGGTAGAGCACTCTTGTGCATGGCCGACTGAATCATGATAAAAGACCCAAACTTACCTTGAAAAAGAGCTCATAGGCAAACAAAATCAAGAAAACTTACATACAAACATATACATATGTTTACTGAAAAAGTGGAATTAGTAAAGTCCTGGTAGTCCTGGTAACGCTTGTGAAGAATCTATTGTCACAAGATTCATGAAAAAGAAAAAACGACAAAAGAAAGAAAAAAAACGACAATCAAACATAAAAGGGTAATTCATATAATACGAATAGTATTGTTCCAGTGATGTACTATCTTATCTTACTTATTTTACTTATCTCCCGAGATAAATTTCTTGCTACGACTAAATAATTTTTTCCCAAAATTGGATGCTGTGGATCCTGTACCCTCAACTTTATCCTTTACGACGAAAACTTTGCTTCTAAAAGAACCATGCCTTCTGAGATCGCTGTGAAGAGCATTCTGATAAGCTTGTGATGCAATTTTCCCAATATGGATATTGTTGAAATCTGAGCTCTGTTTCAATGTGTGGTTTAGCCATGTCTGTAGTCCCGTGTCGTAGTTTGCTTCTTTCGACAAGGCTGCTTCAAATGCAGCAATTCTATCAATTGGCTGCGAAATGGCAATAATGGCCTTCCAGTCAAATACAGGGTATTTGCCCGGTATAAAAGTATTCGCTGCAGCTGATTTATCCACTACATTAACTAGCGTCATTGAGCCACTTGAATTGGAAAAGCTTCTATGCTCCAGCTGTACTGGTGCCGCCAATGATGATGATGATGCTGCTGTTGCTGCTGCTGATGGATCCTCTACACTTTTATTAGGAGGAATAAGACTGGTATATTTTTGAGAAAAATCATCCTTAGAAGGCGCTGGCGTTAGTTTCTCCTCTTTGAATAGTGGTGTTGAGTAAGATTTGCAATCTAATATCGAGTCTTGTGTTATTGTGGACTTTAAGCGATCGCTAGACTGTGAATCGTGAAACTCGTCATTGTCGTCGTCGTCGCTAGCATTGAAATCCTCTTGTATACTAGGCATTGCCACGTCAATTGTTTCTGGTAATGAAGTTGTACTTGTATTCGAAACCACCACACTAAGCCCCGATGGAATTCCAACATTTGCAACTTTTTCTGAATCACTGGGTTGATAATTTACTGTAGATTCGTTGTCATTTCCACTAATAAATTGATTACGGAAACTTTCAGTGTTTGGTACCCAATTGTCAAAGTTAAAAGTGCCTTGAGAAATCCTTCTCGAACCTTTGTTTTCGTCTTTCTCGCCATCTCCCGGTTTTTGAGACCCTTTGTAGTCCATGGATAATTTTCCAGTGGACAACGAACCGGATGAAACAATCGATTGGATATCATTATTTGGTGGAGCAATTTCATCTTTTTTATTGCTACTTTGCGCTGTCTTCCTATCATCCTCGATGGACTCACCTTGATCTCCATAATCACTGACTATATTTGAGTAATACCCCAAATCATCATCTCTTGATTTCGGTGGTTTCCTTACAGACACTTTTCGTTTGGAGGATTCATTCAAGGGTAAAGCATGTGGTCTATACTGCGCAGCTGACACTGACAACGGCGCAAGCGGGCTTTCGATCTCCCCATTCACCCCATCGTAGCACAATTCTCCCGTCGTTTGAGTATCGAATGAGGTTCTAATATTTGACGGCAGAGGAATGGCGTTGTTCTCCTCATTAAACGATTCACCCGAAAGTTCATTGATTAGTGAGTCAATGTACGTGTTTATTGTTTTTGGTTGTGTCTTCGACAGCTCGTCAGCAGCATCCTCATCAGACGAGTCGGTTCCATTGTATCCCCAATTGTCATCATCAGTAGAGTCACTAGTATCCCCCAATTTTTTATCAATTGATAAAACTAATTTTTGGGGGTCATGTGGAAGCAGCTCATTGTTATCAGAATGTTCCATATGAGAAGAAACTTCCAGAGGTTTATCATTTACATTCATCTTTCGTAACGATAAATCCGTTGGCTCTTTTTGAATCGAGGATTCGGATTGGAAACTTGCTTCAGAAATGGTTTCTGTATATCCTGATCGGTTCGAAAATTCACTATAAGTTGGTGTAGGTGGGACCTGGAAATTGCGATGTTGCTGAGTTTGGTTTTGAGAAAAGTCCTCTTCTTCATAGACGTTAGTTGTATCTTGACTCGGTTTCTGCTGCTGCTTAGTTATCAGCTCCGCAATATACTCAACGGTTTTTTGTCCCCCATACTGTTGCGCAGACACACTTGAGTAGTAGCTGTTCTCTTCCTCTTTAGGTTCCACTGGGAAGGATTCTTCTGGCACAGCCTCTTTGTATCTTTGTGGTACATTCTCCAATGAAACCGAGTTGAGCTTGTTAGAATTCGCAAAGTTTTCATTCTGTTCGCTTCTCAAACTGGACGATGGAAGTTCGAATGGCTTACTTTGATTGCAACTGTTTACCTCCTTTTGTTCCTCTTCTTCTTCGTCATTATCACTGCTATCCGAACAAAGATCTCTGTTTCTGTTCTTTTTATCAATCGACAAGACTAATGTTTTCTGTGAGATGCTCGTACCGTCGTTAGCTACGCCGACATTGCCGACACCTTCCTCCAACGGTATTTGTGACGCCATACTATGTAAATTTTGCTGTTGAATAGGTGCATATCCATGTATAGCAGAGCTTTGATCCACATCACCACCACTATTATCCTCGTAGTCGTCATCAGTCCAGTCACCATACGTAGGTACACCTTTAACCCATCTCGTAGACTTGTGCCTCTCAACGTTATCTGTCATTATGATACCTCGTATGTGGATGTGCTACCTAGAGCATACAAATTACTACAAAATTAAATTAAGTTTAGTCGATTCGGGGTGTTTCTTTCATCTCTCGCGTTAATTCCTCTAATTTATTTTTCACGAGGGGGTTCCTGATCCATTTTGTATAAAGTATTTCAGATAAAAAGAAGAGAGATACACTATCGAGCAGAGCGAGATAGTGTTGTAATAGACTAGTTGGTGTTATTCCACTATCGAGCAGAGCGAGATAGTGTTGTAATAGGCTAGTTAGTACCGCTCTACTATCTCGCTTCGCTCGATAGTGTCGATTCAAGCTATTAGGTGTTACTCCACTATCTAGTTAGTGTCGATTCAAGTTATTAAGTGTTACTCCACTATCTCGCTTCGCTCGATAGTGTCGAAGTCGATAGTGTCGATAGTGTCGATTACAACTTGGACTCTGGGTCTTCATTTTGCATCTTGACAACGGAGGGATACAATTCACCCAAGAATCCACCAACTTGCCATAAACCTCCGTCAACAACGGTGATTGTTCCTGTGATATATGACGCAGCAGGAGAAAATAAGTAAACTGTAGAGTCAGCAACATCTGTAGTAGTACCTATTCTTCCAATAGGGACTTTCTGGTCCAATGGGACTTCAGTAGGTGGATTCAAGCGAGCACCACCTTCGGTATTTCCAATAAGTCCTGGAGCGATACAATTGAGACGTATTCCCACTGGACCCAATTCAACTGCAAGAGCATTCATCAAAGCGTCGACACCTGCTTTTGCCGCTCCAACGTGCGCCTGGAAGGGAATACCGTAATAGTGCAAGGTAGCACTAACAAAAATCACTGCACCTTTATTCTTTCTCAATTGCTCAAAGCAAGTTTTAACTGTGTTAAAGGAACCCAACAAGTCAATATCGATAACACTCTTGAAAGCGTTTGCCGACATGTGGTTAAAATCGGATAAAAAGTTACCGGCGGCGCCCGCAATCACATAATCGATTCTCCCTAATTCAGCAACTGTCTTGTCGACTGCTTCCTTCAAACTATGAACCTTGCGTACATCAATATTTCCCAAACCAAGAACCTTGGCTCCTGGTCTCAATTGGGCAATCTCTTTAGCTGCAGACTCGGTCTTCTCTATATTCCTTCCTATTATAGCTGCATCTGCACCCAACAAAACTAATGCTTCTGTCTGAACTCTACATATTGTTCCTGCACCACCAGTAACAAAAACAACTTTATCCTTAAACAAGTCTGGTTTCCATACGGAATCTTTCAAGTATGAAGAAGATAAAGTGTTTGGCATCGCAAAATAGAACAAGAAATGATAAGAAATGACCTGACAATAGAGAGGAAAGGAGAAAAGAAAAGAAAAACTTTTACAAGGGGTGTTTCTGTTAAAGTTTTTATCAACAATGTGAAAAAAAAATGTCAAAAATGTGGGGATAATTAGCAAAAATTTCACTTTCTTTTATCCCACGGACAAAGTTGGGGAAAAAAATAAAACCTCCTTGAAAACTTTTTTTGCATGAACTAAGGAAGAGTGAGATAAAAAGCAATAGAAAGAGAGAGACGGGGAGGCAGAAACAGGATGGGGGGGGGGGAGAGAGACTAAGAACTTAAACGAAAGTTGTTGCGGTTCATCAGTATCAAACTCATTTTTCAGCTTCACTAATAAAAATTATACATAAATAATGGTAATGTTAAAACTCGTATCTATATCAATCTTGGCTTTTTTTTTTCTTCTTCTTCTTCTTCTTTCTTTTCTAAAAGCTTAACTGCTCAAGGGTCCTACTCAATTTCGCAGCGCCATCACCACCTCCACTATCATCTTCGACTGCAATCTTAGCTCTACTCACCTCTAGACCTGCAAGTAAAAAACAAGCTTGACATAACTTATTCGATGCTAAACTACCACATTTGTGACACCTGTTAGTCTCTTCCAATGCAATAGACCCATCTGGAAGTATTTCTTGCTCTATACTTATATTGCTCTTTGGCTTTGACTTGCGCAGTACTTTTGCTACTTTTGCCTTTTTCTTCAACTGATCTCCACTGTAAATGGTATTGATATGAACACTGGGAAGCACCGACGAAAGCTGGTGAAATAAGCTCCTGCATTCCCCTCGAAACGCCTCCTCCAGATAAGTACATTCAGTACTGAAATAGGTCAAGTTCTTGTAATGTGCGTAAAGAACAATCTCCTTTTGCGACATATAGGCAAATGGCTTACTTCGCTGGATACTCGAGTTTTCAGACAGCGTGATGATCTTTGTGCTATTCTCGATTCTATTAATGTCTCCCCGAAGTAGATTTAATAAAACAGTTTCCGCCATATCGTCGGCATTGTGACCGGTGACAATGTGATTGATCTCAAGCTTTTCAGCACCCTTGTCTAATGCATGACGGCGCAAAACTCCACAGTAAGTGCACGACGACCGTATTCCAGCACACGCCACTACTTCGTCCATTGTCCAGTCGTACAACTCTTTATACGACAATATCTCAAGAGGCAAATCATACTCCTTCTGATTTAGCTTTACCGTCTCCAAACTATTATCTCGATATCCTTTGATACCTTCATCGATACACAAAAGAACAAGGTTTAGTCCGTAGTTATATCTCTCGTTGAGCGTCTTCATCACAGAAGCTAAAACAGTAGAGTCCTTTCCTCCCAGCAGCCCAATCGCCACAGCCTTGTTCTTATCTAATGCAGCAAACAATTGATGCTCAATAATTGTATTGTGCACTTCCGTTTCAAAAACGTGAAAAAAACACTCTTTACAAAGTTTCATTAAGTTTTTAGGTCGTTTCATAACTGCCTTTCGGCCATGACAGAGTTCACATAGTGAAGACACCTTTAGCCTCTTGGGAGCAGCCTCTGGCATTTTGGTAAGAGATATCAAATATTTATCATCGATGACTTTGAAAAGAAAAAAAAAAAAAATAAATAAATAAATAAATAAATTAAAAAAAAAAGAAAAAAGAAACTCTACCACACTTATCACCACCAAAATCTACAGAGTCTCTCACTAGACAAGAGATAATGGGTCCTCCCACCCACCCAGACATACACAAACACATACACGGCTTTTTGCTTTGCGGTAAATGAGCTAAAAAGAAAATACACGTTGTTTGAAAATACAAGATTTATTATACTATTCTCTCTCTCTCTCTCGCTTTCTCTCACTCTCTTGTCTTCTGTATATATAGCTACACAATTTTCACTTTCCTCTTCTCTTTAAAATTCGTCACTATTAATACTAACATTAGCGTATCTAAATCTGCTTTCTTCAACATCTTTCTGTTGAGCTTGAGATTGTGATTGACTTTGTGGCTTCTTAGCATAGCCGTTAAAAGAAGTTTTCTCATTCTTTTCGGATAACAACTGTATTTTATCGTTCATTATTATTGCCAACTCTTGTAATTTCGACCTCTGAGTATCGCTGGTGAATGTTATGAAATTTTCATTAATCTCACCATTGATATCTCCAGAATCGAGCATTTTATTCAACACCAATACAACTTTCTCTTCAGGCAAACCAAAGATCGAACTCAACTTAGAGATTGACAATTTGGTGAAAACCGACTTGTAAGTGAAAATATATGTTCTCAAACCCTCCACTTGTAATTGATTCTTCATCATCGCCAACAAATTATCATTATCTGGGATCAACTTCCAAATCTTTATCGAGGACAATAACTGGTAAGCCTTTAACCAATCTCCCTTCTGTAATGCAATGGAGGCATGAACAATGTGATCTTTTATACTTTCTGGTGGCCCAGTGAAAAACTGTCTGTCGTGAAACTCTAATTTGCTCTTGAACGATTTCAATGACGCATTTCTGCGCTTTTGATCTTTATTAGATGCCAATGCCGGGATTTCAATCAACAAGGAGCAAGTCATATAAACACAGTCCAACAACTCCAAGTTGATATGCTGGTGGAATGGCAACAACTTTTGTTTCTCAATTAAAGTAGCCTGACTTGGAAACTTGGAGTTGAAACCTTGGCCCAATAATTCTTTTGATCTTTGAGAATTTACAATTTCGTTTAGTATCTTATGAGATTCATCAATTGCACCTGCTCTAAATGCACTCAATCCAAGTTGCACCAATGCTCTATTATATTGGACTTGCAAAGACGAGTCTGAAAGGTTAAACTGAGTTGCCAAAAATAATTCTTTTGCTTTGGTATAGTCTCCATTAACAGCATAGTAGTAAACGGAATATAGTATAGCATGCTTTGCAAACTGGCTACTCGACTGCAAAAACTGGGTCAACTCGTCAATAACCTCTGACGGTGTTTTGTTGTTAATGTTATTGTTATTATTATTGTTGTCGTTGTTGTTGTCGTCCTCGTCGTCATTGGATGGTTTACTGATGTTCTTCCAGGCTTCTTCTTCATTGGCTTGGATTAAAATAATTGGTTTATAGTATATATGTTCCAATCTTCTTAATACTACTCTTGCTAACTGATTGCTTTCTTGTTTGTTTTCAACAATGGACTCAATGTACGCCTGGCCTCTTACTATCAAATTGTAGATTTTCGCCTCATCCTTTAATCTCTCCACGTATTCCATAGAATGTGGATCGGTATTTTGCAAAGATTTAGTAAGCTCATCGTCTAATCTGTCAATGAGTGAGGTAACCGATCCGAAAATCACTTTTACCCCATTGGCATTTTCAACGGGTTCTATATCGATATCATCGGTTGTCTGGCCTTCTTCGCTAAGCTGGTACTTTTTCGAACTCGATAAAATGTCCAATAACTTGTTTAAATCGCGGTTATTCAATTGCCAGTCATGTAACGCCATAAAAGCCTGGTTCGAAGATGCATCAAATCTAACTGACAAAAGCATCTGATACACGGACACAAGCTCAAAGACACTTGCCTTTTCAGTTATTAAACCTTCCAATGTTGTTATTTGCTCTTGCTTGTCAACATTCTTTTTACCTCTAGAATCACTGATTTGCTTCAAAGTGTGGAAAATAGGACTCAACACACGGGTTTGTTCTTGTTTCTCATTGTTTGTTGCAAGCGCCTCCAAAGGTTCGTCTTCGGATTCAAACGTCTCGGGAGCATCGTGGTACAAGGTTAAATAAGCTTGAAACTCTCTCATTTGTTTCTTGACTCTTTGTCTCAAGGTGTTGAATGCTCTTGCTTCGTCTGCCTTCATGGTTCTATCATCTTTCTCGTTATTTCCAGTTTCGGTCATTGAGTCATCCAAGCTTGCCAACAACTTGATATAGAACTTAGGCGTACCGAAATTCTGATGATTAGCCTTGTTCAAGTATCTTCCCAATTTTTCAAACTCACTCAAGACTACAATCCAGTTATTGCTTCTTTTATTGACGTTGATCACCTCGATCGAAGCCTTCATATCGTCCAACAACTTATCTTTGGCACTCTTAACAACCTTCCTACCCTCATCGTCACTCTCAGAGTCGGATTCTGGTCCAACCCCCTTCAAAAAGGACTTCTTAAGAAAATATGCCGGTCCTGTTGGACGCCCGTCTTCGTCATCTGAACTACTCTCATCATTATCATCCTCAATGAAAAAGTCGCTATCCTCTTGTTCAGCCTCAGACGACGATAACAATTCCTCCTCCCCAGAACTCAACAAATCCTCTTCCTCTGAAGAAGACTCGGAATTGTACCCTGATACAAAGAAACGAGACATAGCCTAATATCTATTGCTGGTTCCTTCCTTGATTTATAGAAAATTTTTGTATAGAAGAATCAAATTTTTCGTCCTTTTTTTTTTTTTTTTTTCAAATCTGAATTTTTTTTTCACTAGTCGTGTGCATTCTTCAAAAACGTTGTTTTAAACGTGATAACTCTTTACTCTCAGAAACTTGAATGGCTTTTCATTACGAATTGAGTAGTTGAAAATCTCTCCGGCTCTGTCATGAACGTTATCGTTGTCGTTGTCGTTGTCGTTGTCGTTGTCGTTGTTATTATTATTTGCTGATGTGTCCTCTTTTCTAACTGCAAAGTATCTGTTCCAACTTAATTTTGCATGTTTGTTTATTCCCATATTTTTGATATTGAAATAGTAGTGGAATGTTAAATACGATACAGACCCTTTTTCTATCTTGATGTGCACCTCTCCAGAAGTGTTTATTGTCCATTTCCCGGTATATATCTTGTGTGCTTCTTTTTCAAGTTTTTCTTCACTAAAGGGAATCAACCCCTTGTTCTCCTTTCGTAAATGCGGCACAACTTGGTTTGGCGGTAGCACTGTTAGCACCTTCAAAACCGTGCCGTCGGGGTAAAATCTCAAGTATCTATAGTATGTGATTGTACGCACAGGGTTTGTCCACGATAAGGAATATTCGCTTCTACCACCTTCACTGTAATAGTTAATAACGCTAATATAACAGCCGAAAAACTTGATAAATGGCCTTTGATGCAACATAGTCTTCCAATTCTCGAATTGCGGTACTATTTGCAACTGGTCAATTGGTACAGCCATTTCAAAACGTCCTTGGTTTTCCTCATAAACCTGTTTTGGATAAATCAACTCACAAAGTGTCCTCCATATGGGGTTGCTCCCAAACCCAAAAAACGAAAACTTTTTACAAGTTATAGACATGTTGAACCAGGATTCGGGACTCGTGATAACAAGAATTTCCAATATATATATCCATATGTCACGCGGCAAATGAACCAAGGGTGAAAACGTTTCTTGCTTGCCTTGTCTCTCTTGTCCACCAGCCGCTTCGTCTCGTTGCACTCTTGGCTCTATTTGAATATTGGCAAAACTCAAGATTAATTCATCCACATTAATCTTGGCCACTGCTCTTTCATCCACTCGGGCTATAAAGTTTTCTCCTCTTTCCTTTTTAAGCTTGGTATTTGCACAAGGTACTTTCCAAGATCGATATAATGTATCCACCTGATCATTCAACTTAAAGGCCTTCCTATAGTTCTCAACTGCATCCGACATCAACCCTTGTAACTCTTTCTCCATAGCTTTTTCAAATAGACGAATGGCTTCATTGTCTTTGCACGAAGCCGCTGCCGGCGTAATCGAGCTCGTCGCTGCTGTGCACATAGGCTATATGATAGCTGCAGTTCTAATGGTATTCCAGATATGAAAATCTAAGCCATAGTTTTCATAGATTATCTTTTTTCCCCATACAAAATACAAGCGCATATAGATAGATAGGTAGATAGGTAGATAGGTAGATAGATAGCTAGATAGCTAGATAGATAGCTATATAGATAGATATGTAGGTAGATAGATAGCTAGGTAGGTAGATAGATAGCTAGGTAGATAGATAGATAGCTAGGTAGATAGATAGATAGCTAGGTAGATAGATAGGTAGATAGTGCTGCTCCACTATCTCGCTTCGCTCGATAGTGTATTTCTCATTTTACTTTAGTAGAGAGTCTACAAAGTCAATGTCTATACTGCTTAGGCCATCCTTGGGGCTGCTTACTTTCTTTTGCACAAGGCTTGATGTGCCTTTTTCAGTGATACTTAGTTTTCCTAATGCTTCCTCAGGATCATTAGTGAAAAGCGGTTTATCTACCCCAAGTAGTTCATCAATATCCTCTTCCAATGTATGTTGATCATTGGTACTAGGATGTCGTTCTATTTTCTCTTGTAAATGGCGTAGCTTTTCTGTGTCATTTACATTGAAATTGTTTACTTCAATCACTCTTTGAGGCTTCCTCACTTGTGTACCAAACTTTCTCTTCATTTCTTTATAAAACCTATCCTGTTCGACTAGTTGTTGTCTTCTTTTGTCCTCTTCTTTCTCCTCCGCAGTTAGTACACGGATAGAGTCCGTTTGTTGATCCAAGTCTTGGCCAATTCTATACTCGTCGATCCTACGCGATGTAAGCTCATTGACTATTCTCTTGCAGTGATCTTGTTTTTGCTTTTGCTTTGCAATTGATACATCATTATAGTCATCTTTTCCGTAACTGTAACTATCCAACCCGTACTCTTGTAGAAAGTTTTCTGACATCTTGTTCTTTAGCAATTTCTTGGATTTGTTTGGTTTCTGTTTAATCCCGCTTATAAACTCTTCTAGATTAAACGTTGTTGGTACAACCTGCTCCTGCTTTCCCAAATAAATTCCATCCAACTCCTCTTTTGCCTCCTCCACCTCACCTTCCCCTTTTGCCTCCTCCACCTCACCTTCCCCCTCCCCTCCTTCTAGGTCCTTCAATATTTGTTGTTTTATTTTAATCTTTTGCTCTTTAGTTAACGCATCTCCAGCACTCAACAGTGGGTAAAAATGATTTATCAATGCTTCATCAACATCAGAGTCCCATTCGTCATCTGAATCTTCCAAACTGATCTTATTCTTGTCTGGTTCTACTTTCTTTTTCGACGTCCATTTCGGAACTATCGACGGGCTTTCTGTTTTTTTCAACAATCCATGTTTTTTCATATACTTGTATTTTGCTCTCTTGTCCCATTTTGAATCTTTCAAAACCATACCCGGCAAAAACTAATTCCAATCTCACAAAGCTATTCGATTCTGACCAATCTGTTCCAACTCGTCAACTGATTATCAACTCGCTTTAATCATCTCCTTCTCCTAGCTGTCCTGGAAGCAAGGAAGAAGTGAAAAAAAAAAAGACCCCTAAACCAAACTGGAAGGAAGAAGTGAAAAAAAAAAACGAAAAAAAAAAAAAGGATGGAGAAAAATTTCAATAAGCCCCTCCGTATACTTTTTTCATAACCCACTACTTTCTCTTTTTCCAAGAATTACAGGAATGCTGCTGAATACAAATAAAAGGTCGATTGAGGACCTCTTGAAGATGTTGGCTATGGGCGAAACGTTGACATCTTCCCAGGAGAAGGAGATGAAGGACTATAAGTTTTGGAAGACACAGCCGGTACCAGCATTAGACGAGAAAATTACTAAAGAAGGTCCTATTGATGATATCAAGACTCCTGCCGATGTACCTGATACTCCTTTACCCTTGATAAAAGATTTTGAATGGTGCACTATAGATATCGAAGACGACAAACAACTAGATGAGTTGTACAAGCTCTTGTATGACAATTACGTTGAGGATACAGATGCAACGTTTAGGTTCAAGTATAGTCATGAGTTTTTCAAATGGGCATTGATGCCACCAAAATGGGTCAAAGAGTGGCACACGGGGGTCAGGGTAAAGGAGACTGGTAAATTAGTAGCTTTCATAGCAGCTACTCCAGTCACCATCAAATTGAACAAGTCGGATACAATAATTGATAGTGTTGAAATCAACTTTTTATGTATACACAAAAAATTGAGAAACAAGAGACTTGCACCCATTATGATAAAAGAAATTACAAGAAAAGTTAATAAACATGACATATGGCAAGCATTATATACTGGAGGATCAATATTGCCCACTCCTTTGGCAACTTGTCGATATCAACACCGACCCATAAACTGGTCCAAATTGCACGATGTTGAGTTTAGTCATTTGCCAGCAAACCAAACAAAAGCCAGCATGTTGGCTCATTATGCATTGCCCAACGCAACAAAGCTTCCTGGTTTGCGTAGAATGGAAGAAAAGGATATTTCTCAAACTTTGAGCCTTTTGAACAAATACCAAGAAAGATTCGATATTGTGGAAATTTTCAACGAAGAAGAATTTAGACATTGTATGTTGGGATCTAATACTAACGAAACATCCACATCCAACGTCATCAAGTCTTTTGTGGTTGAAAACGCCGAGGGGAAAATAACCGATTTTTTTTCCTACTATTTATTGCCGTTTACAGTGTTGGAGAATACACATCACGACGAATTGGGAATTGCTTACTTATTCTACTATGCAACAGATGCAAAAGATGAAAAGTACAAGCCTAGACTAACCGATTTGATCACAGATGCATTGATTACATCCAAGCAGTACAATGTCGACGTCTTCAACTGTTTAACGAGTCAAGACAATACATTCTTTTTGAAAAATTGCAAGTTTGGTAGCGGTGATGGGTTCTTAAATTATTACTTGTTTAATTATAAAACGTTCCCAATGAATGGTGGAATAGACCCACAAACAAAACAAGTAATTGAAGATACTACCAGTGGTGTTGGTGTAGTCTTGTTATGAGAGTTTGAGTGAGAATGTCACATGGTCCAAGAGTCTGGAAAGAAGACTGAAGAGAAGGGGCAGTGTATTGCTGGAGTTTAATACTAAATTTTTTTTTTTTTATTTTATCTTTTTTTTTTTTCTTCATCTCATCTCTCATCTCATCTCATCTCTCTTCACTCATCTCTCTTCTTTTAACTTGTACCTAGATCTGATTGATTATGATCTCTTCCAGTACTTGGGTACCTCGAGGTTATGCCTCTGAGTTTCCAGAAAAATATGAGTTGGATGATGAGGAGATGGCTAGAATAAATGAAATAGCTAAACTCGAAATTAGCGATGCCAAAGAAGAATTGAGTGAAGCACAGAAAGCTTCAAGCTTAAAAGATCAAATTGAAATTGATGATGATTTGAAGAAATACAACTTGGAGACGTACGACGCTGAAGACGATGATTATGGAACAGGTGAGAATATTACAATGTTTCCCGGATTGTCTAGCAGTGATGCTAAGATGTACGAGAATGGAGAAGGAGAAGAAGGAGAAAACGACATGTATTTAATGTTACCTACAGAAGTCGATGAGCAAGAAGAAAAACAAGAAAACCAAATATACCCGACTGACAATTTAGTGCTAGCTACACGAACGGAAGACGACATATCTTGGTTAGATGTATATATTTACGATGATGGTGCTGGCGCTCCAGCTGGCGCCGAGGAGGAAGAAGAAGATAAATTGGATAACGATGTAGCAAAAGGATTGGTTCGAGACTCGGCATTATATGTCCACCATGATATAATGTTGCCGGCTTTCCCATTGTGTGTTGAGTGGGTGAATTACAAGCCAGAGTCTGACGGTTCAAATATTGGGAACTTTGCAGCTGTGGGTACATTTGATCCTCAAATTGAATTATGGAACTTGGATTTTGTAGATAAAGCATTTCCAGATGTGATTTTGGGGGAAATGGAAGTGGAAAAGGAAAAGAAAAAGAAGAAGAAAAAGAAGAGCACGGGGCATGTTACAACACACCATACTGATGCCGTATTATCTTTGTCCCATAACAAAATCCACAGGTCAGTATTGGCTTCAACTTCTGCCGACAAGACTGTGAAATTATGGGACTTGAGTATTGGACAGACCGCTCGGTCTATGGATAAAATCCATCACGGGAAAACAGTGTCTTCTTCGCAATGGCACTCGACGGAAGCTTCGATTTTGCTAACTGGTGGGTATGATGCTAGTGTGGCTTTAACAGACGTAAGGATATCGGAAGTAAGCCAAATGTCGAAGTATTATACAGTGACTGGGGGAGAAGATGTTGAAAACGTGAGGTGGAGTAGTAATCCTGAATTTTTTTTCGCAGGAACCGATCAGGGTAATGTGTTTTGTTTCGATATAAGAAATGAGTCAAAAGCCTTATGGACGTTGCATGCACATGATGCCGGTATATCTTCTCTAGATATTAATAGGTTTATACCTGGCATGCTAGTTACAAGCGCTATGGGTGAAAAAACAGTAAAACTTTGGAGGGCGCTGGAAAACACCACTAGCGGGCCGTCAATGGTATTGTCGAGAGATTTTGGTTTGGGCAACGTGTTGACTGTTGCTTATGCTCCGGATATAGAAGTTGCAGGTAATCTCGTAATTGGTGGTGTAACTGGGGGATTAAAAATGTGGGACACATTTACAAACAAATCTGTAAAGAATGTGTTTGAACAAGACTTGGTTAATTTGAAGAAGAGAGCACGCGATGAAGCTAAACGTGCTGGTCGCGCATCGAGGATTGCCAGAAAATATCAAGTAGATGCAAATGATATAGTGCTCGAGGTAGAAGGATCAAAAAACGAATCTGAGTCAGAAGATGAAGATGAAGATGTATAAATAGAGAGATAGATAATTTTTTCCTTTTACTATAACTTGCTTTCAAACGCTTTAACCAAATCATGTTCGCTTGCGCCACTCGAAATGGTGTCTTCAACAATACCGTCAATTACAACTGTAGGAGTAACGTGAATTCCGGTATTTCTCAAGTATTTAGTAAAATACTTGACATCTGCAGTAGCTCCATTTCCCTCATTGCTAGGTTCTTTACTTTTCCGAATCACTAACTCCGATAACAATTTATCCTTTTCGACTCCTAAATCCAAATTTTGTGAAACAACTGCATAAATCTGTTCATACACTTCGTTCCTTGTTAGATCAATATTAGATGTATCATAAAAATGCTCCCTATTTTCGAATACTACTTTACTGAATTTCCAGAATAGTTCTTGTTCATCTTTATCATCATCTCCCTTGTACTTCTCCCTTAAAAGCTTTGCATAAGCCAATGAAAATTCATTCAACAAAACAGAGTTAACATGCCATGGTTGTATCACATTGACATATATAAATTGGAAACGACCAGGATGTTTCTTTTGTAAATCAGGAATTACACTATTATACAACTTGAGATATAACCTGGCGCTAAAGGGACAATTGTAATCAAAATACAAATTAACCACATGAGGTACATGGTTGGCACCAAGTAGAGTCTTGGTTCCAAAATAGTAATGGGTCAATGAGTACTTTGGTGATATCATTTTATCAAGGGATAATGATGGTGAAGATGATCAGCAATGGTAAAAGAAAAGCTTTTTGCAATTAATTTCTTCCTTTATGTCACTTGCGCTACCACCTGCCACACTTTTCTCCAATTTCCCTACTTCATCATCACCATTACCACCTATTAAAAGCTCACGTTTCGGTACTTCCATTTGTCTTTTTCTTCTTTCGTTGGCGTCTTCTTCTCTTTTGCTTGGTCTTTTTGGGTTCGTTTTTCTGTTTATCTGAAGTTTCGTTCTCCTCATGTTTTCTTTTTTTGAAGTTTGGGCTGTTGTTATTGCTATTGCTATTGCTATTGTTATCGCTATTGTTATCGCTATTGCCGGACATACCTTTAATCAAGTTTGTCTTTTGACCCGTGTCAAAACTTTTGTCGGAACTATTATCAAGACTAGAGTTGTTCAATTTAGCACCAGCATCGTATTGCTTGGACTCTGGTTGATTTCTGTGTTCGGAAGATGGTAAACACACTTGCGTGAAGGCACTTGCACCACAAGTAGAATTCTGTGAGTGTACCTGAGAAATTGTTTTTTCAACTTCAACAACGTTGACATCAGTTTTGTCATTTGTGGTGGAAGACCTGGTTCTAGAAAGTTGATCAAAAATATCTCTTATGTTGGGAAGATTGTCTTTAGAGTTACTCTCCAAAGACCATGCTTTATCTTCCATTGGAAGACCTCTTATTATGTCAAGATAGCAAGGAAGCGTTCTGCCTTCGCTGAGAGTGGACAGTACGGCAGGTAACTGGGCACTTTCTAAAATGCAACTTTTTTGAGGGCTTTGATTGGAGTAAACCAGTTTTGAAAACACGTCTCTGTTTGACACATCATCTTCAAGTGGTTGTAATAGCTTGCGTTTACTAGTACTCAGAGAGTAGGTTTCATCATTTTTACAAGTGGTACCTTGATCTTGCTCTTGTTCGTGATATCTTTCAGAAACGTTCTGTGTGCTTGTAATGAGGTTGTCTTCAGAAAACTGTTCAGCTGGTTCGGACTCGTTACCAATCGTTGTATTGATTTTTGGAGGTGGTGGTGTGCCCCTAGATGTAATCATTACGCAATCATCCAACTTAGTCTCTGTTTGATTATAGGCATTTTCATTAACATGCTTGGTATCACTGACAAGCATACTATCAGAACTCTCAGGCATTACGGTGTTTGGCTCTATGTGTACGGGAGAGTTACATGTTACGTCATCATTTTCGTTGGTTATTTTTGCTTCTGCTTCTGCTTCTGCTTCTGCTGCACAATCGTCATAAGAGTACTTTGACGAACCATAAAAGGTGGACGATGTTTCAACCGCGGCAAGTGTGTTATTACTCAAAAGAGTTTTGTCGTGGGCAGTTAGGGCCTTGTTTCTTGTAGGTGCTTCAGGAACATCGTCAGTTTGTCGCAATAAAACAGGTTCAGGTTCAGATCCTGACTCCCCACTCATGCTATCTGACAGCTCTACTCTAGATATTTTGACTGGAGTCTCCGCTGCATCCTGTTCTACACTCAAATCATCTTCTTCTTTGTCTTGATGATGCACATTTTGAAATAAAGAATCAAATTGCTCAATATCTTTTTCCATAAGATCCAAGCTCTCGACACTTTCATCAACAGTAACCTCTTTTATATTTTGCTTCTTGTTATCAACCAGTATCACTTCGAGGTCTTCGGACATATACTGCAGCAATTCATAAGTCTTTACGGACTTCTCAACAAAAACCTTTTTCTTAGTATTATTATCATCATCCAAAGCATCTTGCATCTCAAAACTTCTTGAAACCTGTTCGTGCTTTTGTTTTTGCATAGGTTCTTCACTTTTTTCAATTCTCGTATTCTCTATCAAAACTTTGTTGATAATTTCTTCGTCATTTTCGTCTGAGCATCGTTGCTGAGACTGAATAGTTCTTTGAACAAAATACTCGCCTTCCAGTAACTTTTGTGCGCCTACGTCTTGTATCAACTGGGATTCATTGCTAAGCTTATTCATCTCAAATGGTTTATTTTCGGTATGTTTTTCTATCGTGGTTTCCATTGCTTCTTGCAGCACGCAAACCTCATGATCTTTACCAAGAGGCTGTTTATTTTCATGTTCCTGTTCATTTTCAGTATCTTCCTGATCGACAAATAAACCCTCTTCATTTTCCTCCTTATCAACCTCATACTCATCAAACAGAGTGTCTGAACATTCTGCTTCGGAAGACGAAGAGCCAACTAAACGTATCGCATTGCCCTTTCTTTGAATCCTGTCTTTAGTAATCTTCTTTTGGTTTCGTGCAAAAGACTTTTCCTTCCACTTTTGGGTTTTCATTCGTTGATTTTCTAATCGGGTTGGTGGTTTTCTTTTAGTCAAGCTTTCTGCATTATCATTTGTAGCATCTTCCTTTTGAACGTGTTTAGCAACACCGATAGACTGGTTGTGTGTAACTGCAAGTTCTGGTAGTTGATGCGTGGGATTTTCCATAATAATCAGACTCCTATCTGTTTCTTGTGATGAGTCAGCAGCCAATTGGGTTCGTACTGGTACTCTATTAATTGATTCCTCATGAATGCCAAACCTTGGGTGCCGAGTCAGGATAGGAGTTGGGGTCAGTTTAGGATTTGCTTGGTTTGTTCTATACTGCTTCTGTAACGGTTTGAGTGTTGAAGGCATTTGTTTCAGATTAGGCTTCTTGTCTGAAATATCTTCTTCAATTCCAAACTTTGAAGTTTTGGATTTTCGAAATGTATTTGTTGACAATGTAAAAAGCTTTCCATCCCTAGGATCATCTCGAATCCCAAAAGCTTTCCTAGTGGACTTTTGTTGGGATACTCTTGTAACTTTTTCTTCTTCTACTACTACTACTTCGGGCTCTAGTTGGTCCTTTTTATCACATATATTTTCAGAACAGGCCTTTGGAGGAGGTGAGTTTAATGTATCCAAATTGTCCTGTTGCGGTGCAATTCCATTAGGGTCGTCAGGACTTGGTGGTCTTCGACTTGATTTCATATGTCTGTACTCATTGAATAGCTCAAACTCACACATTTTTTGCCTGCTTTTCAACGTTTCTTTTTTCTGAATAAACAATGGCCCAGTCGAATTAACTACTTTGAGAGAGCTCGTTTCTGGGATACAGTTTTCACTGTGCTTTGTTGTTGTTGTTGTTGTTGTTGTGGTGGTGGTGGTGGTTGTCGGTCGACGGTCTTTGGTCACATTCTCCATTGAGGATACAATTTGCTGATCCAATATGGTTTTTCCTTGTTGTGCTCTTTCTTTATAAACATTATTCTTATCGGACACTAAATTGGTTTTCAAGGGCACTTTTACAAGACTTTCACGAGCTGCTAGTAATGATTTTGTCTCTTCTTCTTTAGCTCGACTTTTTTTCATCTTCATTTTCCGTTCTTTAAGAATTCTTGCCTCAACAAGTTGAGCCAACTTGGATTTGGATGCATTCCTAACTGCTGGTTTTTGCTTTGATTCAACCTCCCTGGTGACAATCGTTTCCTCTTGGTCTGGCTGTATTGGCTCCAAATTTACCTCAACCTCCTTGGTGACAATCGTTTCCTCTTGTTCTGGCTGTACTGGCTCCAAGTACACCTCATGCTCAAAATTGTTCTTCTCTTCTACCGGTACTGGTTCATTAGTCCTTTTAAACTGGAAAAGGGACAAAAGTGAAGCTAATTTCATTTCCAAGTCTTGGGGGTCTCGATACTTTACCCTATATATTCATATTAGTTATTGATATCGTCAGGGCGGGTTTCCGGTTCTTTGAACAAAGTCTGTAGTAAAAATAACTTAATTGTTCAATTCAGAGCAGCGGAGCGGGTCGTTCAGCGATTAACGAGTCTTGCAACCTCCTCTTCTTCTTCTTCTTCTTCTTCTTCTTCCCTCGTTGATCTGAACTTATCTTAACAGAGAAAGAAATTTCACCTACTAAAAGTTCGCGTTCTTCAAATTTATTTTTTTTTTCTCATTTTATTTCAAAAATCAAACTACTGTAATAATCAATTTACACTTGTCAAACAAAACTTCATGGAACTTGAAGTCATCGTCTACTTCAAACTCTATTAATCTTGAGCCGTGTAAGTTAAAGTCAATTTCTGTTATATTGTTCTCGTGAAGAAAGTCCTCATAATCATTTCTTAAGAACAATCGTATTGAATCTGTTGTCTTTGGTGTAGTAAAATTATGTTGTGTAATATCATCTAGTTCCAATCTTTTGAATAGTTTTGTTTTCAAGTCTTGTAATCGTAAGTTTGTTGGTAATAATAATGCAAAAATGTCATCTTGGTAGTAAAATTTCACTTTTACTTTTGATATTTGTTTGCTACTGTTGGTACTGTTACTGTAACTATAACTGTTGGTGTTGGTATTGGTATTGTTATTGTTATTATTACTACTATTACTGTTATTAATTGACTCGGTTTCTCCTCCTCGATATTGAGATAATCTATCCTGGTGGGAGTTGGATATTTGACTAATGGGTTTAGATGCTCTTTTACTGTCCAGCTCTGAATCAAACCCATTATTCAAAACCTCGAATAAATTCAAGACTTCGTGGCAGCGTGATATATGTGTTGGTAACGCTATCAAGTTGGATAAATAAAAATCTAGCTTCTCCCTCCTTAGTTTCGATATTGAGTCATTGACATTAATCAAGGGCCCCGGTATAGATGGAATAGTCCTCTTGGAGTTTTCGATTTTGCCCGCTTCATATGGGAATAACTCCAATAATTTGACTTGCAAATCGTAAAAATCTTGATAATATCGATACAACTGCCTCGTTTTGCCATTTGATAATTTCGCCGTGATGAGGTATTGATATCGTCCATCGTATAGTTGGTAAGAAGAAACATTGCATTTTTCAATCCAGATTGAGTTTCTTGAAGATTGGTTTGAGGATGAAGATCTGGTACTGGTATTGCCGATATTGATACTTGAAGCTTCGTACTTTTTGGTTTGGTCTTTCCATTCTTCCACTGTGGGGATCTTGAACTCGTCAATGATCTTGATCACTTGTTCTCGGTCATAAGTATCTGTAGAAGCATACTTTGCCGGGTTCATTAGATCTATAACCTTGACATATGACACCGGCACCAACCCTGGTCCGCCTAGTCTGTTAATTGGTTTAGCGATAAACCACTCATAATCATAATGGGCGCAAATGGTTAGATTTTCACCAGGACTAACGTCTAGCTCGTCATCTCTTTCAGCATTGAATTCATATAGCGTAACGGCAAATAACGGCATCTGATAATAGAAACAAAACCTTCACTAGCTGCCTATAATAATCTCACAAACGGCGCAACTTGTAGATGTAATAATCTCCCAATTTGTCAATAGTACAACCTTTTTGAAATATGGAAATATGGAAAAAGGAAAAAAGATCTTCCTATTCTTTCTTTATTGTCTATGAAATTTTAAGAAAAAATTAATTACTTCACGTTTTATCAAATTTCGTTTGTTACTTCACCTTCTATCAAATTTCGAGATTTTCTTTTCTCTTTTTTTTTTTTTTGGTGTTTGTAGTTAGGTTGAAAGTGGTGGGTGTATAATGTAGAAATAAGATTCGTCAGATCATCACCATCCGTGTATAAGAAAATAAATAAATTTTTTTGTAAACCAAGATAATACATTTTTTTATTGTGTGTGTGTCTTTGGTTGATAGTTGAATGTTACCATGAGACATAATCAAATTATTTGGTCTTTGACTAAAAAACGTAGCGAGAAGGACAAGAATTAATGAGTCAATGAATTTACAGGAGATAAAATAAGACACTCGACACTAGACACTATCGAGCAGAGCGAGATAGTGTTGGAACAAGCTAGTGAGTGCTCCACTATCACTATCGAGCAGAGCGAGATAGTGTTGGAACAAGCTAGTGAGTGCTCCACTATCACTATCGAGCAGAGCGAGATAGTGTTGGAACAAGCTAGTGAGTGCTCCACTATCACTATCGAGCAGAGCGAGATAGTGTTGGAACAAGCTAGTGAGTGCTCCACTATCACTATCGAGCAGAGCGAGATAGTGTTGGAACAAGCTAGTGAGTGCTCCACTATCACTATCGAGCAGAGCGAGATAGTGTTGTAACAAGCTAGTGAGTGTAGTAGTCAGTGTAGTAACAAGCTAGTCAGTGTAGTAACAAGCTACTTGGTGTAGTAACAAGCTACTTGGTGTAGTAACAAGCTAGTTGGTGTAGTAAGCTAAAAAGAGGCTAGTGAGGAACCTGAATAAGAGGCTAGTGAGGAACTTGAATAAGAGGCTAGTGAGGAACCCGAATAAGAGGCGAATGGTGGAAGGTAGTGAGGAAGCTGAATAAAAGGAAGCTGAAAAAGAGTTGTGTAGATCCATCTTGATTCATATTTTTTTGGAAATGAGACTCATTTTAATAGAGCTCTAAGGGTTTCCATTTACCTTGTCATTTACCTTGTCAAATTTGCCTTGTCTAATTTGCCTTGTTTCCATTACCTTGTTTCTATTACCTTGTTTCCATTACCTTGTTTCTATTACCTTGTTTCTATTACCTTGTTTCTATTACCTTGTTTCTATTACCTTGATGCGTTGTCAATTGAAAAGAGATTATCTCGCAAGAAAAGCTTAATTAAACTCTTGACAAGGAATACCCTGAGTATACACATATCTATAGATTATTTACAGTAATTAAATTCAACGGCTTTTTAAGCCTATTTGATTTTGTTACCAAAAACAACCAAACTACCTATATAGTGTAGTAGAAAGAGACTCAAAGCTACTTGGGCAAACCTATAAAATAGGTAGCGTTTATATTTGCATTGATTGAGTAAACAGTTTGTACCATTTTCAGATACAAAGGTACTTGTGTGCCATTGCTCTTGGATAGTAAAGGATACAAAAGTACATGTGCCATTGCTCTTGGATAGTAAAGGATACAAAAGTACTTGTGCCATTGCTCTTGAATAGTAAAGGATACAAGGATACTTGTGCCATTACTCTTGAATAGTAAAGGATACAAGGGTACTTGTGTGCCCAACCTACTACGGCTCTACATTACTCTTAATCACAAGTATTAGCCCGGAGGCAATTGCGAAGCATCAACAATGTCTGCTGCATCTACAGGCAATTCGTCATCTTCATCGAATTTTTCTAATGGCGTTCTTGGTAATGCCATCATACCGGATCTAGCCAACTCTAAAATTCCAAAAGGTTGTAATAATGTAATGAAAGCATTAATTCTTGAAGGCTTTGCACTCAATTCAACAACAACGTTTCTATCGCTAATATCAACAACTTTACCGCCAAACTGGGTCGTGATTGTGGTGATGTGATCCAAATGGTTATGTTTTTGTCTCAATGCTTCACTTGGTGCCAAATTAGAAGGATGGAATGCTGAATCGCATGCAGATAAGTCAGGAATTGAAGAAGCATCATCAATATGTAATTGGTGAGTTGCAATTAATTCCTGGAAATATTCCGGTCCCAATATTGATACCCTCGCCAATAATAACTCTCTCTTTATAATCTCGGCATTAGTATAGTCCAAAACAGCATATACTGGTACCAAATCTTCAATTTGTCTACGTGCCTGCTCAACAACTCCATCCTGTCCCTTGAGAACAATGGTCATACGTGACAAATCCTTGACTTCAGTATTGCATACAACTAATGAATCAATGTTGAATCCACGTGCAGCTAATGTTCCTGACACACTGGACAAAACACCTGGCTCATTTTGAACTAAACAATTAAGAACATGTTGTTTTGGAGGAGCTTTGGAAGCAACTGGAGTTTCATATAAAATCGACGATACGGCTGTATCGGCTGACCAATTTGGTGTTTCTATCGTTGGTAATGGCGGTCTCTTTTGATTACGATGAAGTGTCTTGTACGCTAAAGCAGAGGTAGACGAGCCAGAGCTTTTAGCTCTGGCTATCTGTGTAAATGCACTTGAAGCTCTTCTCAACATAGAACACCGTGTGTATGCGTAGCAAGTTTAAGCTATTGGAAGTATAAGCTTTGGAGTAATGGGCTCGTTAAAAGTGAAAAATTAATGGCCCTTTTTTTTTTTTTTTTTTTTTTTTTTTTTTTTTTTATTATCAAGTCACTTTGACAAGGTGACTCAATGCGGGCGACACAGACAGAGAGAGGTGGACAAATGGAAGGTGGTAGCGGGGAGAAAAAAAGTGAGAGAGTTAAGAGGGAACAAGGAGTTTTATATAGTACGAGATGAAAGTGACGGTGATTGGGCGGAAATAGGGCGATGTGGAGCGGTGTGGAGGGCCCGAGATGGAGCGGAAATAGGGCGATGTGGGGCGGTGTGGAGCGGTGTGGGGCGGTGTGGAGGGCGAGATGGAGGAGAGATAGAGGAGAAAGAAGTTTATTAAGATTAGAAGAAAAGTTGAAATTAGGTTTAGACTTAAGTAACGAGTTAGATAGGTTGGCATTATCGTCAAAGTAGATCTCTATCTAATGAAATGATATACTGGTCTTTAAGTTTCAATGTATCAGGGGTAATGTTCGGTAGTCAGAAAGAGAAGACATGCGTGCTTGGCCACACAACCCACACACATTTTGGCAGATAAATCTATCATATATTAAGCTTACAAAGTATCTTTATTTTTTTTTTCATCCACTTAATTTACCTTGACTTTGTTCATCAACTATTAAACCTACAATAATAAACCTAAAGCAAACAACAATGGACCACCAACATTAGCAGCGACAACTGCATCAGCACCACCGGTCTTAGTAATTGAATAGGTTGATGTCTTTGTAGCAGTAGAGGTTGAGTGTTTCTTTGTTGTGGTGTAAGTAGTTTTCGAGGTAGATAATGATACATAGTGAGTAGTTGAAGTAGAATGAGATGACTTTGAGGTAGTGGTAACAGAAGAAGAAGAAGAAGAAGAAGAAGTGGTAGTGGAAGTGGTCTTCTTATCCTTCTTATCCTCTGCATCAACATCTTCTTGTTCATTTACCGCTTGAAAATTGACAACAATTGGTTGATTGTATTGAGTATCTTGGATAATCAATTCATCTTCATTGCTTAATCTAATTTGGTCCAAGCGTAAAGCTGAAACGGCTGAAGCAAGTGCTAATACAGTAGTGAATTTCATCTTTATCAAACTTTTGAAAAAAAACCCAATCTAGTGAAGCAATTGAAAAGAAAAGATTTCTTCAAAATAAACCAAAATTGGTAAAAGGAAAGGGAGAGAAGGAGAGAGAGAATTACCTTTAATTTATAAAAACCATTGGAATTTTTTTAGTTCCTTTCTTTTTTGTATTTCTTTGCAGATGTAATGCAATTTTTTAGATGAAATTAAATAATTAATGAATGCAAAATTTCAATTAAACAATCGAGAAGAGCAATTTTTTTGTTAGGGTTTTTGAGAGAGTCCTTACAGGAATATACTTACAATATTGACGAGGGGAGTCTATAGTGAGTTTTTTTCAAAAAAAAGACTCTACATTTACTCCCTTTCCTTTTAGCACAACTTTAGTACCATAAAGTATGTAGAAGAACACAACATTGCTTATTCAAAAAAAAAAAAAAAGACTCTTGCTCATATGATCCTCAAACTTTTATTTTAGTTAATTTAATTTTTTTTAAGTTGCTATTCGTGAGTTCTGGTACATTTCCTCCTGCCATTTACTCAATTCTCTCACTATTTACTCAATTCTATCGAGCAGAGCGTTGCTATTAAGTGCCGCACCACTATCTCGCTCCGCTCGATAGTGTCGCACTATTTACTCAATTCTCTCTTGCCATTCAGTCCAATTCTCTCTTGCCATTCAGTCCAATTCTCTCTGGCTATTATCTTTGAGTTGGAGGAATGAAAACATAAGAAGGGAGAGATACTGTAAGGGTCTTTGTTTCTTTATATTGAAATATCTTAGCATAGTGTCTCGTTAGAGGCACCAACTCCTACAAAGAGAGTGAATGGCGAAAGAACAAGAAACGGCCATTAAACATAACAAAAAAACTGCCGTTTCTCATGTGCAGCAATTACCTGTGGGGACAAAACAATCATTATAATAAAAAAAAAAAAAAAAAAAAAAAAGAAAACGATTAATTCAGTTGAGAAGGTTTTAGCATAACCTAAAAATACCAATAAGAATTTAAAAGTCTAAATTTAATAACTCCTCTAACAGCTTAGCGCCTGGACAATAATGTTTACTAGACAGGAATTCAGAAATCGCTTTAACCACCTTTCAATTGCACCTCCAGAAGCTGTATCATTTGTATTGTAGATTAAACCCCAATTTTTGGAATTTGGTATACAACCATGTCATTGTATTCTTATCTACATTGCCAGGTCCATCTGGAAATGAGCTCGGTGTGATGTTGAATATGTGATTAAGGCAAACCGTGTTTTCCTCCAACATCTTCTTTCTTTCCTCCTCCTTCTACCTCCCCCTCATATACACATATACCCGATTTTTCGTATTCCGCCCCCTTAGTGTGGAAAATAAGGGGACACTTTCATCGTATATAACCTATAATTTATTTTCTTAGCTGCTTCGGAAAAAGATCCTCATGTTAAAATACAATAAATAATCGCCGTGTATTAATGTCAAACATATAGAACTAAAATTTTACCCAATTGTTATCATCGTCCTTTTCAAAATCAGGTCTTTCTGTAAAAGATAGATTTGATATTGTGATTGTGGTTGTTGTTAATAATGACGTGGCCTAGGTTTTAAATAATGAGGAAGAAGGACCCACACTTGCTATACCAGTTTCAGTTTCTTCTTCCTCTTCTACATCTTCTCCTTCTTCTACTGCTACTACTTCGTCCCCGTCTTCTCCTTCTTCTTCCCTCTCGTCTCTTTTGATATGTTCTTCATTGTACGATGGTGGTTTGTGTGGTGGCACTAGACTATTTAGCGTGATTCTTTCATCATTCGAGTTCGCCTCTGAATATGCATTATAACTAAACTTATCTTGATTGATAAAAACACTGTGTCTACCCTTCCCTTCTTCATCGTCATCTTCTTCTTCTTCTTCTTCTTCTTCTTCTTCTTCATTATTATTATTATTATTATTTGCTTCTTCGCCATTTTTCACCGATGTCCAAAAATCAGGTGGAAAATCATTTTCTCGATCACTAAAATCATCATCATCTCCTACTTCCGATCTCTCTAACAAAATATCTGAATTGAACTTGTTATATACTGGTGGTGAAGGACCAGTTCCTTCAATTGGGGCATACCCCCAGTTTTTCACATTCCCTTCAATAAATACAAATCCACGTTGTCCCAAGTTGACATGAACCGAGCAGATATTGTTAGCTCCAACAGTTGGGAAAATTTGTCCATGATTTTTAATCTTGAAGTTTCTTATATGACCACCGATTTTTGTTTCGCTTACCTTTTTACCATTTCTTGTAAAGAATATAGTTCCCGATCTGGTTCTATAGCCTACTCCAACAACATCGCCCTCGGCAAGTTTGGGAAACGGTGGTTCATTAGTGAAACGAAATGGTTGATTATATCTTCTGTACCCATTTGAGTCGTAGCTTACTGATTGGGCGTGTCTTCCAGGAAGTCTAAACCATGGATATGGCTTGATACTTAGCCCTATTGCAATTAATGTCTCCTCGGGGTTGGGTAAGGAATAAATCTTTGATTCAAAGTAATAAACCTCATTTTTCATTGGTATTGGGATATTCGTTTGAGTCGAGCATTCAAAATTTTTGAAGAAATTCAATTCAGTCTTGTTGACCACCAACAAGTCATTAAATGTCAACATTGCATCCTTAACAAACTCAAATGCACTTATACCTTTCTCTTGGATTGACAAGTTTTGACTAGCGGACAAATCACCAACGAAATAAGGGTTATTCTGTAGATAGTCCTTTGATTGGAAATATAGTTCTTGTTCATCGCTGTTCAACTCCAAATAAGCTTGGTTTTCTTCTTCTCTTTGCAACTCGTCTTCGGATACTTTTTGAGATCTTCGAAGGAAATAGATTATAATGCCTACGATGAAAAATAGGCTTGTTATTGCAAGCATCGTGATGAAGGATATGAAGACGATATTTTCGAAATCCCCGAAATCCTCATTGTCGTGGTTATGTGGTGGTATTATAGCAGGCTCGTCATACTTGATAAACATCACTATCAACAGGCACTAAAGCGAGATCAGCGACTAGTTGGACTTTCAAACACCAAAAACGGGACCAAAACGGAGATCAGCAACTAGTTAGACTTTCAAACACCAAAAACGGGACCAAAAATGGGACCGGCAACTCCTCAGAACTCAACAACCTTGGTTCTGTTCCAATTTTGCTCTCTTTATCAAATGTTATATCAAGGGTATTACTTTTTTTACATCACGGGGTTTTTTTTTTCTTCTGTAGTGTAGCGGGATTTCCTTAGAGCCAAAAAGTATGTGACATGACCTTAAGAAAATGTCGCCCCCCCCCCC